AGTAGACAGTTGCTTGTAGTAGACAGTTGCTTGTAGTAGACAGTTGCTTGTAGTAGACAGTTGCTTGTAGTAGACAGTTGCTTGTAGTAGACAGTCACTAGTAGCTGACAGACGCTGGTAGTTGCTTGCAGTTGTCAATTACCGGTGGTTGACAGTTGCTTCTAGTCAATACTTCTCTATCATCAATAGTAGCTATCACAACTCTACAGCATGCACTCTAAACATCAGACCATCAAACAACAGCTAAACTAACTCACTACCTGAGTCACTATCTGCATCTACACACACCCACATACATCCTCTGCATCATCTACACAACTCCCTAGCGCAAACCTCCCCTCCTCACCTTCTACTCGCGTTCTGGCCCATGTTCTGGTAGCTACAAAAGTTCGGTGCCTGGATGCCGCTACCTCGCTAGTACAAAGGGTGCGCACATGGCCTGGCTGGCTGGCGGAGGGAAGACACGAGGGGAGGTGAGTGGGTGGAGGTGGCTATGCTGGGATGCGTACCGTGGGTGAGGTGTGCTGTTAGTGTGAAGAGTTGGTCGGTCGGTACTTGGGGATCTGGGGGAGTGTTTTTTGGTTTGATGTGTACGAGGAGGTGTTTGCGTAGAGGTGAAGATGAGCAGATGTTGTGAAGGATGAATTGTTTTTTTTTTCTGATGTACGGAGTAGAGTTTTGGTGATGAAACAGCGGGAATAAACGCCGATGCTGTTTATTGCCAGATCAGTTAGTCGATCCATAGATGGATGTTAGCCGCCAAATGCTCGTTGCTTTTTCTATGTCGCTGGGGTGATTTCAATCTCCCATTGTCGTCGTAGTGGGCGTCTGCATGGCGCGTTTCAAGGCCATGGTGATTCGAGTGTGATTAAATTAACTGCTGTGTGTGTGTGTGTCGTGCGTTGCGCTGTGTCGAGTGACGCAAAGGAAAAAGGTCGAGAACAAACTAAACTCTGCTGCACAGTACATCATGCCATGTCATGTAACCATCAGGCGGGACAGCAGAACTCAATTGAGTGGTACCTGCAGAAGCTCCAAACGACGGGGGAGATTTGACTACGGATCGAAGATGGTGAGATGAGATTGACGAGATCTCGTTGTTTTTTTTTTTGTTGTGAGTGAGTGTCTCAGGCGGATGAGCGGGCACTTTACCGTTTACTTACCGTAGGCTGGAAACTCATCTCTCTGGCGTATCCATTCTGGCGGGATTGATTTTCGTTCGATTCTTGAAACGGAAGATTGGTGGGGTATACGATCGCTGAAACGCAAAAAACTTTCGATGGCGACACACGAGGCGGTAACCGGATGCGCTGCTGCATGCAGTGTGCGATGGTCAAAAAATCAGAGGCAAGGCGGGTAGGGTCTTCGCAGTGTCTCATGCGTGAGGAGTGATGTTGAGAGGTTGCACAGAGCATGCAAGCACGTGAGGGATGGTGCTTGTGGAAAAGGGACGAAGTGAGAGCGAGATTCATGGGCGCATCGGCTGGATCAGGAGAGAAAGGACGACAAAAGAAAGAAGAGAGACACGATTAACATGTAGTCACCGTGTACACCAAGGATGAGACTTTTGGGAATCTCACATGCAGGTGAATAGATGGGACGATTTGTGGAAAATGGGAGTCCAGTCCTGGGGTTAGATGGTACAAAGCATATGAGATGGATGAGTTGGGTCTGGGCCGCGTGAGCCCTGTCGAAGGAGTAGCAATCGGATGTGGTTTCCTCCCGATGGGGATGCAAATCCTGTGTAGAGAGAATTGACGGAGTACGGAGTACTCCGTAGGTTATCATCAGTCCAGGGGATGAGATGAAGTTCGAGTAACTGTGAGATGGCTGTTCTTGTTCTTGTTTGTGTTGTCTTTGTGCTGTGTTGTGTTGTGCTGTAGCATGGCATGGCGCATGGCATAGTACCAGTACCCATATGGATGTCATGGCGGAATTAGCTGAACGGATAACAGTCCGTCGTGCCATGAGTCGCTAGCCACTCCGTACAAGTAATAACTGTGGTAGCTATTGCACAAGTACTCCGTCGGTAGGTAATTACCTAGGTATCTCAAGGGTGGGAGATTAGATGGCCCCAAAGAGGCGTATGCTCCCTTGACGGAAGGCCAGCCAGCCAGCCCCTCGCAGGCTATCTTGTACTGTGCGCCGTAGGCTGTACCGTTACCGTTACCGCACCCGGACAGGTGCAACGGCTGCCGGCACCTGAAAGGGCTGCAGAAGCGTGCGTTTTAGGAGATAGGCGCCGTTTTGGAGATTGTAAGGAAGCGCATCTGAAACGTTCTTTTCCTGATTCCTGGCCAGTGGGTGGATGACGCCAGCGGCGACGAGTGCCATGCCCTGCCCTGCCAGTGTGCCAGTGCCATGCCGACCATACGAAGCCAAGCGAAGGGGATTACCGGTAGAGAGGTATTTTGAAGGAGGGAGAGAGGGAGGAGGGAGCGAAGTTGTGGGAGGTGGAGTGTGTTCCGCCGCTTGCTTATTGTGGTCTCGTAGCGCAGTTGGTGGTGACGGAGGTGGAATGATAGTGGACGGATGATGTCAAAGTGCATGTATTCATTCGCCCATTCATACATCCATTCATTGTTGATGTTGACGTGAGTGTACAGTACAAAGACTTGTTGTGGTTGCTGTTATTTGTTAACAGGTGAGTGGTTCGTCGTTGGGGCGCAATGGATCATCATCCTCAAGGGAAGTTTCGGGCCGCAATGGAAGCACGGGAGGGAGGGTCCATGGATAGATGGACAGATGGATGGATGGACGATGATGAATGGTTGGCTGGAAGGATGGATGCAGTATGAGTACAGTATGACTGCAGTGAACGATATTATAATTGTGGTCTGTAGATGGTGGATTAGGCGAAGGGCGAGAGCGAGGGTGAATGCATAACCGGGACACCCCGTACATCAGGCTGAACTTTGAAGAGGGAATAAAGATGATGGTAATAATAATGATGATAATAATACTCCCAATCCATACCCAGGTGGTAGTGGTGAGGCAGAGTGAGGTGGTCAAAGGTGGATGGACCGAGTTGGGAGTGGGGAGGATACGATGGGGCTACCAGGATAGGCTGGTCGATGGTGAGGGGGGAGGGGGGGAATGGGGAAGAGGGAACTGGGCCATTGGGGACGAGACTGGATCGAGATGAAGTCGATGTTGGCATCTTGATATCTTGAGAGGTGAATTGGATGAAAGGAGGAGGAGGAGAAATAAAAGTTATCGTCAGTGAGAGAGGTGAATGGTGCGTGATGGTTCAGTGAATGAACGGTGAATGGTGAAGATGATGGTGAAGGTGCAGGTGAAGAAAAGCAAGCTTTGCACGGATAACCAGCAGAACAGCACCCTCACCATCCCTCCTATTCTTTTTTTTCTTTTCTCTCCTTCTCGAGAAACAGAAGAAGAAAAGAAGGAGGATAGAACATCGTCAATCTCTTTTCCTCGTCCATCATCGTTCTTCTTCTTCCCTATTTTCTCGTTCTTCTCTTTATCAGGGTACCTACCTACCCCTACCACCCCTCCTTATCTCAGCCTTGTGTCCCCTCCCAGATCGGGCTGTATAGAGGGGAACAGTCGAAGAGCTCAGCAGAAAAGAAATAAGAGAATCGGAAGGAAGATATTCAATCCCTTTTCCTTCTTCTCTTTTTTCTTCCACCTCCGCTGTAACGCAACGACCCCGTACTTGATTAGCCTGCGTGCGTGTGTGGTGGACACTGCGGAGCCCTTGCAAGCATCTCGGGGGCGCCAACCAGACGCCTACAAATCAGACGAAACGAGACGAGACGAGACAAGTCAAGGTCAATCGTCAAGGGTAAACCGTCAAGGTCAAGGTCAAGTTCAAGTCAAAGTCAAGACGACAGGTCCACGTCCTCTCTTCGACTGCTGCATCTGTCGCATCTGTTTGCATCTTCTGCATCTGCTGCCCTGTTAATTCCCTAATTCTCCAATTCCCTATACCTCTCCTCGTCCTATCATCATCCATTCATCCTATTATACTGCATACTCACGACCTGACCTACCTACCCTCCCCTCAATCCTCCTCCGCCCACCCCTCCCTCCCTCCACATAATCATCAACCGTTATTGCATTGCATTATTGCGCGCGCGCACCCGCCGGGTCTAGCTAGCACAAGACAAGCAAAGGCAGGCAGAGGCAAGGCGTGGCCAGACAACGGAGACGGGACAGGACGAACCAGCCGGTGGAATTGCCTATCTCATCCAATCTGCTGTGTCGCCATTCCTGTACCTCCACGAGGCGCCCGCCAGCGGAGACCAGTCCAGAGGCCATCCAGAGACGAGCGAGACGACGACCCGGAGAACGGAAAACGGAGAGACAGACCAGTAAGGACCAGTCAGGACTGTCTACTCACACTACTACTACTACTACTGTACACAGTGACAGTAACAGTACAGTACATACGGAGTGTCTACTCGTTTAACAGACACTACTGTGGGCATCTCGCCACAAAGAAGAAAGCAAGGTAGAAAGGGAAGTTTTAGGCTGGGCCATTCAGAATTGGTACGGAGTACGGTACGGAGTAGACCAGAGAGAGAAGAGAAGAAAAGGTAGCGATTTATTCTGGAATCTGCTGCAACTCTCAATCTCTGGGACACTTGCTCGGTAGCCCAAGCCACCCTCAGTACCAGTACCTAGTAGAGTGGAGTGGTAGAGACATACCTGCAGAGAGAGAGACAGCAGAGTAGTAGAGTATCTAGTAGAGATTAGTAGGGTATTGCTTTACTTTACTCTCTTTGCTACGAGTACTATTACTCCGGAGTCTACTCTTAGTTACTCTACCTAGTAGTTTTAGTTACTCTCTTCTGTTGTACTGGAGACTGGAGATTGGTACTCTACTCACTCTACTCACTCCCCCAAGTAATTGCTACAGTGCTACTGCTACTACTGCTGGTAGTACGAGTAGTTATTCATATTACCTGTCCGCCATTATGGACCCTCATCAGCCATCTTCCGCCATTCAGCACATCGCTACCGCCGTACACGAAGAACAACACCGCCCGGCATCGAAGCTTCGAAAGAAGCCCAAACAACCTCCACCAGTCGCATTTCACAACAAGACGCACCAAACGACCCTGCGCCGGGCTCCCTCCGCCCCGTCATATCCTTCCTTCTCTTCTGCTCATTCTTCTGCTGCTGCCACCGCTGCTGCATCTCTATTATCACCGTCGGCAGTGGGTTCAGGATCAGGATTGGGATCGGGTTCAGGCGCGAATCGCTCTCCAGACTTGCTTGGCGGCTCCTCATCACCGTCGTCGTCTTCCTCTTACTCCTACTTCACCGGCCCCGTCAAACCACCTACCCGTTCACCCTCCCTTCACCACCAACCCTCTCGTTCACCCGTTCACGATGCAAAACGGACAATAGGCGGCGGCTTCTCTGTTGTCTCCTCTGGCTTCACAAAACCTTTCTCTGCCGCCGGCTTCTCCTCCACCTCCACCTCCTCCACCTCTGCCAACAACAACAACAACAACTACTCCACCACATCATCCTCCTCCGCCAATACCAGCAGCACAACCATCAACGTCAATAACGATACCCTCTCTCTTAAGCGACCCACCCCCGAGCTCATCGGCCAGCCCTTCGATTCGGCCGCCATCATCAACTCTGCCAACGCAACCACGACCCCGTCTCCCACCGTACCCACTCCCACCTCCACCACCTCTCACCACCCGCCACGTCCACCCATCATACAACACTCCCTCACCTCCGACCCTCCCAAGAAGTTCAAGAAATCTCCCTCCCTCCGCCAGTCGGCCAGCTTCACGGCTCTCGCGCGTACCATGGACACAATCACCCCACCTCGCTCGACCGACAGCGGCAGTGGCAGTGGCACAAAGAGCCCTCGACAGCGATACAGCGATGAGGTCAAGAACAGAAAGTCCGATGGCGGAAAGAAGAAGGGCACATTCTCTAGCTTCGTGAACAGCATGCTGGGTTCGCCGCGAAGGCCCACAATCTCTACGCCCACGAACCCTATGCACGTCACCCACGTCAGCATCGACAACGAGACTGGTGAATACACGGTATGTACTATGCTTGTCGGATATATGCCTGGTTGCCAGCACGCTCAGACTGCTCTGGCCATGGATCCTTCCTCTAGACGGACATGTCCCCCGCATATTCCCTTTCAACCCCTCCATGCCCACACTACTCCACGCTTTCGCCATCACCCTTCCTACTCACCCTCCTCTCGCATCACCCTCCTTCATTGGACCTCGCTAACATCGTTCTAGGGCCTTCCGAAGGAATGGCAGCGCATGTTACAACAGAATGGTATCTCGGAGCAGGAACAGAAGCAGCACCCCCAGGCTGTCATGGATGTCGTCAACTTCTACAAAGACAATGCAGAGAAGAGCGGCGAGGACGCGATATGGGACAAGATGGGCCCAGTGCACTCTCAAAGCTACACATATCAAACGAGCCTCGGCAGCCAACAACCACCACAAGCCCAGCAGCAGCAGCAACAGCAGCAAACGCAACAATACGGCCAACCCCTCCTCAGCCCGCCCCAGAGCCCGCGCTTCCCCCGCAACGACCTGGATAGCTTCGAGAACCCCCGCGCCCCTCCCCCGATTCCTCGCAGTCACACTTCGCCGGGCGTCACGTCTCCGGCTTCACCTCCGATCAATGGTGCGCTCGTACCGAACAGGCCAGCTCCACGGCCACCGCCTTCAGGAAGCGCTACAAATCTTGTACCTGCTCGGGCAGCCCCTTCTGCCCCCGGCACGGTGACCCAGCAGCCAGTCTCGCAATCGCCCTTGGTGCAGAGCCCCCAGAACGAGTTCCCACACGTTGCATATCCCACCTCGACGATCACAGAACATCCTCAGCCGCAGGGTCCCTCTTCCGCTCCTCGAAGCAGAGCCAACACCACCGGAGGCACTCCGCCCCGGTTCGACTCTCCATCAAATGCCACTCCCATGTCGCCCGCGCAGCAGTACCAGCAGCAGCAGGCCCAGGCAATGATGGCCGCCCAGCACTCGATGAACGCGAAGCCAGCTCAGCAACCCCCTCACCTCGGACGAAGCGTGAGCCAACGGGCTCCTCAACCGCACCAGCTCGCACCAGCCGCACCGGCACCATCGCAGCCCTCGCCCCAGCAGCAATTTGCTCAACAGATCGACCCACAGAACATCCCGCTTCCCTCGCAGCAGGCGCGCGTGGGCCCAGCACCCCGACCGCGCCAGCGACCCCGGCAGAGCCAAGGCCCGGACATCGTGGCCAAGCTCAATGCCATATGCACCAACGCAGACCCGACGCAGATGTACCGCAATCTCAATAAGATTGGCCAGGGTGCGTCTGGCGGCGTCTTCACGGCCTACGAAGTCTCGACAAACAAATGCGTCGCCATCAAGCAAATGAACCTGGAGCAGCAACCCAAGAAGGATCTAATCATTAATGAAATTTTGGTCATGAAGGACAGCAAGCACAAGAACATTGTCAATTTCATGGACAGTTTCTTGGTCCGGGGCGATCTATGGGTCGTCATGGAGTACATGGAGGGTGGCAGTTTGACAGACGTGGTCACGTTCAACATCATGTCAGAAGGGCAGATCGCGGCTGTGTGTCGTGAAACCCTGAACGGTCTGCAGCATCTGCACTCGAAGGGAGTCATCCATCGAGACATCAAATCGGACAATATTCTGCTTTCGCTCGAAGGCAACATCAAACTGAGTAGGTTTCCCGCTTTCCCCAGGACTTCGGCATAATGGAGTTTGCTAACCTCGCACAGCCGACTTTGGTTTCTGCGCACAAATTAATGAAAGTCACAACAAGCGAACGACCATGGTCGGTACGCCATACTGGATGGCCCCCGAGGTGGTCACGCGAAAGGAATATGGCCGAAAGGTCGACATCTGGTCGCTGGGCATCATGGCCATCGAGATGATCGAAGGCGAGCCACCATACCTCAACGAAAGCCCTCTCCGCGCACTCTGGCTCATTGCGACGAACGGAACACCAACGATCAAGGATGAGCACCAACTATCGCCTGTCTTCCGCGACTTCCTACACTTCTCACTGAAGGTGGATCCGGACAAGCGGGCTAGCGCTCATGATCTCCTGGTGGTAAGTCTTGTCCCATTTTATTTGCTGCGATTCGGTCGTCCGGATGCGACATTGTGGAACCTGAGCGCTGACATGTTTTGATAGCATCCATTCATCCAAACTGCTGAACCGCTGAACACGCTGGCCCCGCTAGTGTTGTCCGCGCGGAAAGCAAGAGCCGAGGAAAGGCGGAAGAAGGGTGGTATGTGAAGAATTTCCTAGTCCATTTTCTTTTTGAAATAAATCTTATCAAAGAGCCGTTATAGTTGGGGGCAAGACGCAAGCCGCGGACCAAGGCAGCGAACCGGCAGCGGCGGCGACGACGACGAGCCGAGCATCGTTTGTCGACTGGTATGGCAAAGCGGAGCAGCTGTGAGACGTGTCGTAATGAGAACGCTCGTCGCTACCGTTTCTTGTACCCCAGGTTGGAGGATGTTCGTTTGCAGAGAGGCGGGGGGCGCACTGCTCCGCGTGGGCATCCGACGAATTGGTTCTTACCTCTTTCTGGGGTGTGTGCTGTGCAGTTGCAATTGCAAATCTCCCTTTTCCAAATCATAGCGTTTGCTTCAAAAAAAAAAGGCCACGTCCGTCCCACCGGACTTTTGTCTCCAAGTCACACACATACACAATAGCCGGCCCCCCTTTTTTTATTTTCCCTCGATTAGAGCAGAGCCGAGCGTTCGGGTCCGGATCCTCCGAAGAAGGCGTTCGCGAGTTCACAAACACACACACGTCCAAATACAACACGGCAAATATGTATTTTTCCATATATGGGAGACGAGGAGGGGGGCGGTACGTACATGGGTGGTGGTTATGGCATGGTAGTTAACGGCCGGATAAGCAAGAGAGAGGGACCCAAAGCAGTTTATTCGAGCGAATCACAAATATTCAACCTTCCCAGCGGAAAATAAGGGCGTAAATCTTTTTTTGTCTTTTTACTTTTCTTCTTCTGTTTCTTTTTTTTTCTTCGTCTACTGCCGAGAGGGGATGGTTTCTTTCGTCTTCCCCTGCCTTTATTGGGTGGGAGGTTCCTTTTTTCCTTTTCATTAACTCATTTTCTGGAATCGCTATGCACAAGTCAAGGGAAGAGAGAGGAGGAGAGAGTGGGGGAATTAGAGTACCCTATAGTAGGCAGACGAAATAGAGCGTTGAGGCCAATATCCAAAAACCGGTAATGAGAATACTAGTTCGTCAATGGAGATGAAGCCCTGAATCACGCTGCTGTGTTTGTTTGTTTTGCTTCTTGATCTTTTCAGCATTATGCACTTTCGACTTTTGCTTTCCTACGGACGATAGATAGACAGAGGGGAGATGGGGCTGACTACTTGCTTTACCATGAAGTTTGTTTTCATGTCTCTCTTACAAGGGGTACATTCCTTCATCATCTCTGCAAAGAACGAATCACCTCTGCAAAGTACGACTGCTCTCTATATACGGAGCAGGACTTCAAGATGATTTCGGTCCGTGTATGCTGTTGATCTCTATGTTTACTACCACCACCACCAGCAGAAGCACATGAACCGAGCCCGAGCCCCACCTTACCTCGCCATGAGCTTCGTGCCTTGCATTACGCGTATCATGGCGTTTCGTTTCGTTTTGTTTCCGTTCAGCGTATACGAGTTCGCAGTACGGGGATAGGCTGGGGGGCTTATACGGCCGCCACAATGCGCACGTGTCGGGCGCTACAGCCGTTCGTCATCGGTGGCGGCGGCGGTGGACTTGAACCTCCATTAACTACATCTCTCCTTCAGATAACCTACCACTCTTCCGAACGAAGTCGAAGTCTTATCTAATTTCACATTTGCTAGAGTATTTTCAAGCGATTATTTGGGGAGGAAAAGAAGATTTTTTGCTTACCATCTACTGAGTAAGATCGGTGAGCGCGCGGCGGGGAGAGAATACGTACCGTACCGTACCGTACCAAGGACCACATTTGTGGGAGAACGAGCCAGCCGGAGACGTCAGGCAGACGTACAACAACCCACCTCACCTCTCCAACAACATCCTTTCCTTCACCAACACCACCCACCGAACCACGGATATCGGGGTAAAATAATAGGATCACAGGAAGAAGCTTGAAAATACCAAAGGAGGAGAACAGGAAAGGATGTTCCGAGCACAAACGAATGCTTTCGACGACGCCGTCGGTACGTTTGGTTCCCGCCCATCCATCCCATGTGCCCAACTCCCCAGCACCACCCGCAAGCAAGAAAGTGTCAAGCTAACCTTCACTTCCCCACAGTCAAAGCGACGGACGAGAACCTGACGAGCGAGAACTGGGAGTACATCCTCGATGTGTGCGACCGGGTGGGCTCTACCGACAACGGAGCGAAGGAGGTAGTCGGCGCGCTGATCAAGCGGCTCGCGCACCGCAACGCCAACGTGCAGCTGTACAGCCTGGAGCTCGCGAACGCGCTGTCGCAGAACTGCGGGCTCAACCTGCACAAGGAGCTCGCGTCGCGGAGCTTCACCGACGCCCTGCTGCGCCTCGCCAACGACCGGAACACCCACCAGCAGGTCAAGGCGAAGATCCTCGAGCGCATGGCCGAGTGGTCCGACATGTTTGCCAGCGACCCGGACCTCGGCATCATGCAGGGTGCGTACACGAAGCTCAAGAGCCAGAACCCGAATCTCAGGGCCCCGTCGAAGCCGCAGAAGACGCAGATCACGGACCTCGATCGCCAGAAGGAGGAGGAGGAGCTGCAGATGGCGTTGAAGATGTCGATACAGGAGAGCAAGGGAGCGTCGCCGACGGCTGCCAGGTCGAATGCGCCGAACGAGTCGTCGGGTTCGCAGCCTTCGCAGTCCCAGTCCGAGCAGGCTGCGCCGCCGGCGCCTATGCCTTCGGGGACGACGGCCGCCACGGTGTCGAGGGTCCGCGCGCTGTTCGATTTCCAGCCCTCCGAGCCGGGGGAGCTGCAGTTCAGGAAGGGCGACGTCATCGCGGTGCTGGAATCGGTGTATAAGGACTGGTGGAAGGGTTCGCTGCGCGGTCAGACGGGTATCTTCCCGCTGAACTACGTCGAGAAGCTGCAGGACCCGACGCGGGAGGAGTTGGAGCGGGAGGCACACATGGAGGCGGAGGTCTTCGCGCAGATCCGTAACGTCGAGAAGTTGCTGGCTCTGCTGAGTACGAGCTCCCAGGGCGGAGGTGATGCGCGGGACAACGAGGAGATCACGGAGTTGTATCACTCCACGCTGGCGATTCGACCTAAGCTCATCCAGCTGATTGGGAAGTACTCGCAGAAGAAGGGTGCGTACATCTGAGATTGAAGGTTTTGGAGATGAGTGTGCTAACTTGGAATAGATGACTTCACATCACTGAACGAGAAATTCATCAAGGCCCGCCGGGACTACGAATCAATGCTTGAAGCTTCGATGTCTCAACCCCAGCAGCAGCCTCCTTACGGCCGTCCATATGCAGCATACAACGCACCACCGCCGCAGCAGCAGCATCAACCAGATAACTCACGGTACAACCACTACGCTCCCCCCTCCGGACATCAAGAGCAACCTCCATACCCGCCCGCAGGCACGAACCCAGCCTTCTTCATGGTACCCCCATCACAACAAGCCCAGCAACCTCCACCGCAACAGCAACAGCAACAACAACAACAACCCCGACCCCAGCAGCAAAGCCCGCTCCCCTCCCAACCACCACACATCCACGACCCGTACTCCGTCCCTCCCCCCCAGCAACAACAACATCAACAACATCAACCACAACAAGCACCCCCACAACAACAACGACCCCAAAGCTTCGCACCCCAGGAACTCGCAACCGCACACTACGACTCCCCCATCGACAACCCAAACCCCTCCCGCCACTCCTACGCCGGCCCCTCACAACACCAACAACAGCCAGACTACGCTTCCCTCCCCTCCCAACAACAACCGTACGCACACACGCAAAGCCCCCCTCCGCCCTCAGACCCCTCGGCCCCGTATAATACAGGCGGAGGCATGCCAATGGCACCAGGCTACGCGCCGCCGCCCGTCCCGCAGGCGGGGTACCAGGTCCCGAATGTTGCGCCGGGGAGTCCGCAGCCGCAGCAGCAGGGGGGTGCGTATTTACCGTATAGGCCTGGCGGGGGAGGTGGAGGAGGCGGTGCCGGTGGTGGTGGTGGGGATGAGGGGTTTTATCGGTAGGGTTGATTTGATGTGGAGGTGAAGGGAGGTGAGAGTAAGGGTATGGAAGGGATCAAGGGGGTTGAGAGCGTTCATTTTTGTTTTCATGTGGATGGTAGAGGGTGGGAAGGGGTAAGGAAGGGGAAGGGGGTATGTAGGGTGTAATTGAGCAATCAAGGCAGTAAAGAAGTAAGAAAGGAGAGTAAGATTGACGATGAAACGGCCAGAGTGAACTACATATGCACATACATATCCAGAGAGATTGAAAAATTCAAGTCGTCCATCCAAATTAGCACGAACGTTAGATATACATGTCATTTTTGCCATACCTTCTCATGCGCATACTTGAACTTGGTATCAACTCAATCACAGATACTCAGGAAAAAGAAACCAGGAACCGAGAACCAGGAAACGGGAATCAGAAAAGATTTCAACAGTTAGGAACTAGCAGTCAAGACACGCAGGACGGGAGACAGAAAGATGGGCACAGTTTCCCGTTTCCTGTTTCCTGTACTTAGGTTTTGTCCCTCACATAACGCTGTAAACTAGATCCTAGAATCAGGAAACAGGATATAGGGAATAGGGAATAGGGAAACGCAGAACTAAAATAGAGAGTCGGTATTCTGGATTTGGAAACCAGGCATTGATTTGATACAGGGTACTGAGGAGTAAAAACTAAAAATTAGAAACGGGAAAGTGAGAACAGGAAACCAGAAACTTGAAATTGGTAATATAGAACTAATACTATTTTCCTGTTTCCTATTTCCTGTTTCCTGTTTTTGATTTTTAGGTTTCAGGACTCTAGCATTAGTGGGGCGAAGTAAGAAGACTAGAAACGGGAAACAGGAAATAGGAATCAGGAAATCAAAGAACCTGAAAAGAAGAAGAAGAAAATTGGAGTCTAAAATCAGGCAACTGAAATCGGGAACTTAAAAACGCAAAACAGAAAAAATAAATACTAAGAAACCAGGGACCAGACCAGAGACATGGAACAGAAACTGGGAATCAGGAATTAGAATCCAGGACTCAGAAATCAGAATCCATGAATCAGGAATCAGAATCTGATAACCAGAATCCAGGGAGTAGGAAGTAAATATCCAATTTCGAATTACAACCAGGGACCAAGAGTTAAGAGTTAAGAGCTATAAAGTTGAAAACGGGACATAGGAACCAGTGTCCAGGAAGCAGAAAAACCGCGCACTTCGAACTTTGAAATCAAAAACCAGCAGACAGATATGCATACGTACTGCCCACCTATGTAACTACAACACTACATACATACAAGACAACAGCATTGCAAACTCTCCTACGTACATCTTCTCATGAATAGCAATTCTTCCTACCCAGCCTGCGGCCTTCTTGCTAGGAAAAAATACAGTCCATTTGTTCATTTATTGTTTCCCTGTAGATTCTCTTGAGGCAAGGGAAGGGCTTGAATAGGATTACAACAGGAACGTAGAACAAGACAACATTAACAGAAGTTAATATTCTTGTATCTCTATAAAGAGCTCAAAGAGGAAAAGAGGGCAGGATGTAGACAAGTACGTTGCTGTCGGCGCTCTATCAAACGAAAACACAGTAGCATATGTAGGGGATTATCATTCCTCTTAATTGTTGAAATGAAGATAATCTGTATATGCAGGACATCTCTGGTCTACGTAGTTTAAGCATAGAGAAGGAACATTTGTACAGTTTAAGGAAGATGCATCTCAGGTTAGTATACTGTCTGCTGTTGAGCTACGACATTGTTCTGCCGGCACTCTTATCCTAGGAGACTATTTGATTGTGTATGAATTTGTATGTACGGTTGATAATTAGAAGGATACTGGTACTGGGAGGATATGAAACTAGGAGGATGTTGATGCTGGGCAGATGTTGATGCTAGGAGGATATAAGCACTGAATCAGTGGTCATATTATCTGCAAAGGTTGCTCCTCCAGAGGCCAACACTTTCTGGCAATGCTCTAGATCGACCCCTCTATACCTCTGAAAGATTTCTAGTTCTATGATATCTACGAAACACTAGGCACAGGTCTAGATGCTGAACGTTAGTTGTCACTCTTTACTAAGTCTCAGGGACAAATGTTGTTTGCATTGGTCTGTAGCACGAATGTATGCCTGAAATATGGCGTACTTTTGTTGGCTTTGTCATTGAACCCTATTTCATTGTTGTTGGATGATGATGGCTGTTCTCCATGTGCGAAGACGTTTGAGGTGACAAGCTCGTCAGCTCTTGGGTCATGACAGTTCGGTATCATGCCTGGAAGGCTGGAACTGCAACAATAGACGACCTCAAATAAACTTAACCTAAGCATTTGCTTGTCAACTTGGGGTTTGAAACGTTCTAATTTATTAGCACGAAAGCCCTGCGAGGTGCGGAGAAGTCCTTTGTCTAGATGCTCAATCCAATAATATCATTGTCCTTTTCACGAGTCGTAGTAGCGGTTCCAACTTCATCCAATCCATCGCCAAACAAAACAACGAGGATGTCCAAATAGACTTCTTGAAAATGCTTCTTAGTCCGTCAATGGTGGAGCATAGACGTAGATCCTACCTGCACGACTGATCGGGCTGATCGGGAGTGGTGGGCTCTCGCTGAAAGTTTGGTACTCTCACAAAGCCGTGCACGGATGTCGTTTCAGGATTCCTTTCATCCAGCAGTGCGAAGATATTGGCGCAATTTGTCACCTGAATGAGGATTTAATCATCGTTGATTTAACGATATCAGCTTCTCTTGGAATCCTTTCGCCATACTTAGCAGCTCAAGCTGTGGTTATAATTGGGTTCCTTTTCCTGTACGTCGATCTTGCTTGGCTCAGCCTGGTGGCCGAATTTGGGGGCCTGCGACTGGGTGAGCAGCGAGATTTGGAAGGTCCAGGGTCATTGGGTAGATAGAATAGAACGAGTTACATGATTACATCGATTGGCGCCCCTGCTCTACCCAGATTTAGGATCAGGATGAATTGAGTGGTTGAGTGGCTGAGAGGGGGCCATAGCACAGTACAGGAACAACGGGCGTCTCGTCTGACGCCAAGGTCTCCAAACAAAAACTCGCTCTCTATTATTGAACGTGTGCAGTTGTTGATGTTCGCCAACTGAACTCTCGCCATTTCTTTCTCTATGGTGAGACACGAAACACGTTTGTCGGACCAGTCGTGCAAACAATATGATGGGTCACTTTCGTTTGTCTAGATGGGCAGTTTCTGATTCCGCCGCGGCAACGGTGATGTAGATACTGGGTAGGTCCCTGGGCCGGCTGAGGGCGTGTGCCACGTCCCATTGCTGGGGGTGGATCAAGGTGTGAGGATCAATTATCGCATATGGATAGCTGCAACTCAATTCCAATTCAATTCAGGAACCAATTCAGGTCCGGAGAGCTGTCGTCACACCTTGGAAACAGTAGCCGGTGAGGACACAAGGAGTGATAGAGAGCCAGCGAGCCAGCATGGTTTGGCTGGCACGCTGGCACGACGCTGGACCCAAAGGCACAACGCACTGATTCGTTGGCGCCGTTTCAGTGGTTGGACACACGAGTCTCATGGCGGTGGTGACCGCACTGATTGTCTTCGCGTAACACGTTTGTGGACAAAACTGTGAAACGGAATTATCGAGGTGAGGTTTGACCATTTGCGCCGGGCACCGAATGGGGGAGAGTGAGATGTCACGATAATTGTGAGCTTGGTGTTGATCTTTCAGGAACAGGAAATTACTCGCACGCGTGACCGAGCGATGACAGGTTGTCGGTCGGAGGATTTCGCACGTAGGCATACACACACACCACAAGCACACATGCGCATCTGCCAGGTACGGTGCGGTGGCAGATGCTGTAGGCAGGCAGACATAGGGTAAGCACAGCGATCTCCGGAAGGGCTAAGAACGGGATTGTACATGCTGCCGCTGCAGAGGAGGTTAAAATCATATGCGCGATGATGAGGGCGGGAGGCGGGCAGGTAGGGTAGACTGGACTGGGTGACGGGCTCTCTGCGGACAAGGCTCTGAAGCTCGGTTTGCCTCGTGTGGCTGTTTAAGTGTATGGACCGGTTGAGGAGCCGGGGGTGAATAGAAGAGAGAGAGGTGGTGGGGGTGAGGGTCTTTGCCTAGGAGACGAGAGATGGTTTCTATTCGTAAGACGAGGTATTACATTTACGAGAGAGAGCAGAGTAAAGAGGTCAACTAAGAGGCTAGAGGGAAGAGTACGAGGTGGACTTGGTAAAGAGAATTAGCGCCGTGATGATGTTGGGTTTAGGAGGGCTGGAGGGTTGAAGGGTTGAGGTGGAGTTTAGGATTGGATGTGGACCGTGCGTTTGTTCCTTTTCCTTTAAGATTGCGCCAAGCTAGCACCCCTGTCTAGCGTCCATCGTCTTGCCCTGCCATGTTGCCTCCGTCTGCCTCTCGCTCTCGTCCTCTCCTCTCCCCCCATAAACCCACTCGCTCCCTCCTTCAAACCCACTCTTGTTTCTCTTTTACCCCAATCCGAAGACCTTACCGTCAGTCAGTCTTTACTTATATCCCAGGCTTGAAGCTTGTCGCGCTGCCTTCGTGCAAAACATATCACACTCTCTCTATTCCAACAGCTATCGCCGGTTCGCATCAACATTGCTACCTAGCAACTCAGTCATATCATCGTCAAGTCAACACTACTATCGTCGCCCGAGACAACCACGCGCACACCGCAAACCAACGAGCCCATTTAAGACAATCAGCCTCACCGCACCACTCGTCGCTCTCAGACAACATACAATCCATCTTCAGGATCAATTCCAATTGCCAATCTCGGTCTCTGTTCCCTTTGCGACTCGTGTAAACAGTCGTATATCAACAAACAGCTTCGGCGCATTCCAGCCTCAACTACACTACACCACACCAACCGTTCAACTCCAGAACAACCACAGTCAAGATGCGCTCCTTCCAGCAGGTCCTCGTCTTCCTTTTCGCCGCCATCTTCGCCTTTGCTTACGCTCAGGACGCTACCTCCTACGATGAGACCGTCTACATCACCTCCACTGTCTACCGCGTCAACACCGTGACTCTCTCCACCTCTCCCACGGCTTCTCTCGTCAACTCCACCTCTACCATCTCTGCCACTCACCCAGTTGGAACTGGCTACCCCTCCCACTCTGCCAACGGCACCACTGCCATCTACCCCACCGGTGGCTCTCCCTCCATCACCTCCTCTCCTTCTCCCAGCACTCCCGTGGACTTCCCCGGTGCTGCGTCTCAGCTCAACGTCAACGCCCTCCTCGCAGTCCTCGCTGCTGGCGTTGGATACATGGCCCTATAGGATTGTTCTTCTCGCTAGGCGCCAGTCTCGCGGCGACCTGGTACTTGCTTCTCGCATCATCGACTGGTGCTCGTCTATGATTCAGCCACCCATACCTTTTCAACGGAAGCGACAGGCTCAGCTAAGAGCGCTGAAGTTCAGCAGCGATGGAGTCAATTCTCCAAGTCATGTGTCATGAGGACGTCATTCATGTTCAACCATTTACCCTTCAATCGATTACCCAACTTTACCCAAACTTTTACCCATCTTCTTTTCTCTGCTTCGACTTGGATGCTATCCAACTTTTAGTTCACCGCGACCGGATACTACTATTTTAATCCTTCTCATACGTTGAACGATTGATGAAGCGGTGTCCGAGGTTTTACTATGCTCCTACTTTCTTTTTCGCACCCACACACTTGTCGCTCGAGCCTATAGCTGTATTCCAGGGGTTCGATGACCCTCTGTAATTTCTATTCCTTCGAAACCCCCTTTTGGCATTTCGCCCTTTCCTGTACACAGTACTTCAAGCAAGCTCGTTTGCCATCGTTCAGCACGAAGCCAACCGACAGTGCGATGCGATGCGCGCAAATGAGAATCCATCCTACAACCTGCACTGTTGTCATGCGATCATCCCCAGTTCTGTTTGCTGCAATCTACTTTACCACCTTTGCGAGGCCGGATCATCTCCTCTAGCAAGGCGCATTTTGGAAAGTTTCCCACCGAATCTATCCACCTCCTTTCTTTCAGTACACACAACCAAAATGGCGGTTTTTAACGTTGGACAAGTACAGCTCAGAAGCAAGAGCAGGAACACACAGCTCTTCTTCCAACTGTCGACAAGGGCACTCAAGTCACAACTACAAAACAACATATTTCTCTGGTGGAGCTGGAGTTTGGAGATACCCCCTTTTCTTTTTTCAATAAGCTTTTTTACTAAACACTGTACTTCGACTTCTCTCGTAGAAGGATATCTGAAATCAACAAATAGTTCTCAAACCTGCTCGCTCTTGTGCCATGTGAAATCCGTCGTGCATGTGATCCCATTTCAATTCACCAAAGATTAACGATATAATCGACCTCAAATCTCCGTGCATTAAGACCACAGACCAGCTATAACTTTGTAACTAGACTACATACAATTTACACGATCGAGCCAACCTGCCCCCTTTCCCCACACAAGCGACAAACCTCAATTTCACCAACCCTAGTTCGTCTACTCCGTACTCTTCTTGTATAGTACAAGTACTCCGTGGATGTACCAAGGTAGGTAGATTCTCTCATTTGCGCGCGCACGAAAGGGGGCAAACAATTTCAAGTTACTTTACTTTGACATTTCCTTCTCTGCGAATCACACACGCGCGCGACATTCAAACTTCTTCAGAGCTCCAGAGGGAGACGAAGAGAGGTAGGAGGATCGTGTAAAATGAGCCAATTAAAACGACCAACCGCCTACCCAACCAACCAACGGTCATATAACTTAATTCGCAATGCGCGACTTCAATCGCGCATCTCACGACTCATGATTGTTTTTCTCTTCATCGTCAATAGTTAATTGATCAACACCCGTAACTAACTAACCCATAACATCGCCTTGAGTGGTTGATACTTCTTGTTGGCACGGCGGCGCGGCGAGGTGAAGAAAAAGCGTCGGAATGACGATCGACAGGCACGAGTAGTCGTACCAACCAAGTCCAGCTTTCGCCATGCCAACACAACCAGCCTGGCAGACTTGGGTGCGAGGAACATAACCGGTTTACCGGCTTAGAAGGCGTGCCTTGCTGCTTGGGGGGGAGGATGAGGTGGGATCTGGGCAGGGAAGGGAAGGGCAGGGCAGGGGGGTTAGAGGAGCACCGCCGACGAGAAGCCGAGATGCTGGGCTGGACTGGACGGGACTGGGCTAATTGCGCTGAGCAGGCAGGGCAGTTGGCGAGTGAGAGAAAGGATCTTTGTCTAGTATCTACGGAGAAAGAAAGGGTTTTCTTGTTGAGTGTGCTTTTTGATTGATTGAATGATTGTTAGGGGTTTTTTTTTTTTCAACGGTTGTAAATGGTGTGTGCATTGTGCGATTGATTGTTCGCGAAATGTATTTTTCGTTCTTTCTTTTGCTTCCATTCTTACTTGCTGAGAGTCGCAAAGTGGAAAAAAGAGCAGGGAAGAAAGAACCACTTTTTTCTTGTCTGTTTCTCACTGCGCTTTTTTTTCTCAACTGTTCTCGGCTCTTGGGTTTTTGACTTTTCTTTTCTTTGGGTGATGTGAGTCAAGAATGGTCCATAGAATGGATTTTTCTTTTCAAGAATAGCTGATCTGGTTGGTTATGCGCATTTTTGTGCATGCATGCTGTGGATTCACGGTGCGTGCCGATTTCATTCCTATTTGCCGGCGACGGAGCGTCTGAGTGGAGACCGTCTTGTGCGTGCGCTGGCAAGGCAACCTGGCATGCCTGCCTCTCCCCTCTACCCTTCACGTTGCTTCCGAAAGGTGGGGACCGCAAGCAACGGAAAAAAAGCTAGAAAGTGAAAAACGTGACTGCGTGGAGGCGTACCTTACGTGATTCCCGTGTGTGTGTGAGAAGGTGATGTGAGCAAAGCAAGCCACCGTCATGCATTCATGCATCATAGTGCGGTTCAACCGATTTTGTTCCCCTTGCACATGGGGCGAGACTCGAGACCTACACGATGAGACGAGAGACGGGATACACCGCGGGAGACGGGGCTTTTCTTACACAACAGGATGTATTCCCGTCAATTCATTCGCTGGTGAAATTGATGTTGATGGATAGATGGATCGTCATGGGAAGGTGAACCGTGGGTGCGATGTCTGACGGGCTAATATTGCCTTCCAGTTCTCTCTCTCTATGTCTTGGGGGACGGGAAGTAGAGTACGGTACCGTTCCTGAGCGATCGAACCCGTACCTTTTTTCTGTTGGCTTGTTGGCGAAGCGAACAACGTGGGTAGAATTTCTAGTGCGATTCCTTGCCCTCCCACCGTCAGAAACTTGAAAGGACCGGCGCGCGGAGCGGTGCGCTTGGGAGGAGGAGGGACTGACGTGGTTGGCGTGGACGCTAGAGGCGTGAGGGTGGATTGTATGCACTGCTTGCAAGTTGCTGTAGGGCAATGGCAAATGCATGCACGATGGTAAGGCCGAGTTACAATTAGTGTAGGCTGCGGAGCTCGAGTCGAGTGGCACCAGTCGGTCAGATTAGACTAATGTAGAGTATGCTGTACAAATGGTCTGGATTGTTGAGTACGTTTTTTTCCTATTCACTGCGGTGGGGAATACATTCAATGTGGTGCCATTGGTCGCGCGGGTTGTATTCATGCATTCCGACTGGGTGTGTTCTATGTTGCTACGGCGAGATGTAGGATTTTCTGAGTGGAATTCATGGCCTTACGCTAGGAGTGTAGTGTAGTCTGGACTAGAATCATACATTTTACAAATTCGCTAGAATGGCTTAGGATTGCTTTGTGCGCATTCTCGTATTGGAGAAATCATTGCATTCGGATGAGGCCGGAGGACGCTGGAAGAACGCCTATCATGCATGTTACTGACTGTCACTGCTAATGCAGATGTTGAGAGTGAGACCAAGCAAGTAGCCATAGCAGCAGGTAAGGATTCTGCTATTGCTGTGGCTTACTCGAAGGTAGGAAAAGAGCGCAAAATGGTTGTTAGCCGATGACACAATTGAACTCCGCATATTCGTTCGATTCTTTACTATCCGTCGCCTACCCTCGTAGTTTAGATGAAATTCAGTTGTCCAAGGCATCGTCGGTCCGACCTCGCTTTGCTCTACCATTCACGATGTCTGTCTTGATAGTGCGATAGCATACAGACTGCAAAGAGAAGCATAGGAAGACACATTGTGTCTAACGAGTCGAATAGCGCATTGCCATCATGCGATGATTCAAATCGTAGTGGATTCTTCCTGATATCCGGCCTTGAATTCATTCGCTTGAACGTGATGACAATAATTAGTACGACTGGTAGAACATTGTCCTCAGCTGGCTGACCACAATAATGGTCTCGAGCGACACCAACCAATTCGCCTAAACACTTCCAGTAGTTAGTCCAGAAGCAGTCGTGATACGTTTACACATCTTGTGTTATTGATACGATGATACCACCTTACGTCTCATCGTCGCATTAGATAGTCTGCTGGATAGGCAGTCGTTCAAGCAGAAGTCCTTATCGGACATTGCGAGGGCGGTTTCAGGGACGTACGTCGCGCGATGCTCGCTTAAAAGCACTCGTACACACATACTCGCGCGACGACTCCCAAACTACTCGTACCTACCGCGTCTACGAAGAAACGACGGAGTAGTGTAGGGTAAAGTGAGACAGACATCAAGCAAACCGCAACGTTTGCAATGCGGAAAATTCCAAGTTGAGCAATCGCGATGGTGTCTTGCTTCCCACCTACGCAGTGCGTACGACTATATCGCTTACTCCTGTCTGGTCGCACGAAAGCCAATAGCGTGCGTGGTGTTGCGTTGCGGTAGTGGCTGCCGTGCGGGTGCAGCGTGATGGAGGCGTTTTCGGTGGGCAGATGCGAACGGGAGGCCTGTGGTGGATGTGTCTTTTGTGCTACTTTGCGTTGCGTTGCGTTGCTTTGCGTCGTCGTAGCTTGTGTTCGCGAGACGTATGGCGTGAGTGTGAGACAAGAGTGAGGTCTTGCTCGTATGTGTGCATGTGTGTATCGTTGTATCGCGTTGGCGAGTGCAATTTTGTGTTGCGCGGAATTGATTAAAATCGATTTTCGCAAGTCTTGACGGAGGTACTGTGCCAGACTCTTGGTAAGGAGTCCATGATGCCATTGAGAGCAGTTGATTGAGCCTCATATTAAGCACGTCAACATTCATGATCTATGGGGTTCAGAGTGCACCTTCCACCCTTAGCTTAACGCTCTATGTGAACCAGACGACCTGCCTTGCTTCGTCCTCCCATGTCCTGCGTCCTGCACATGTATGTACATTACTGTACATGCATGCATGCAGCTGGTTTTGTTCCTGGGAGTACAAGGACCCGTGGTTCCGCATGTGGTGCTTTCATGGAGCATGGCATCTCGTGAGTTTCCTGCTCATAAGACATGTCTTAGACAAATTGGCAGTGGAGACATGTCTTAAATGGGGGAGATAGGCGGTGTGAAGATGTCGATGGACACGATTTGTACAAGATAGGTGTATAATTAATTAGATGTCTCATCGGATATGGGAAACAGCAGATGAGGAGTTGCAAGTAGTGACTATTTGGCGATGGGTTATGATACCCATACAAACTGACTGTGCTTGATTAAACCAGAGTAGAGGTCAAAGTACGAGGCTTCGTTTGGTAGGTAGATGAGATTCACTATCCATGGTGGATTGGTCTCCTCACAGTGTTGCTTTCTCGGACGTATCATACAGGGCCAAATGAACTGTTGCTGCATAGGCAGCTTGCGAGAAGATGGTATATTTCGTGGCCTCATAATATGTAGACTCATGTCTCACGCTGTCTTCCAAGATCCCGTAACGGTCCCTCTTAGGTATTCATCTTGTAGTCGAAGGTAACTGCGGAATATCATCAGTCAACTCAGATAGGTCGATGGTGTAATGTACTTACAGAAGAGATAACGACACAAAGTTCACGGTACTTCTTCCCCCAATGGCTCCAATTCCCCTGTTGCGTAAACGACAAGACTGTTCCTATAGGAGTGCCCGGACTGATTTCCGCATCGACTGATGCCTTCTGCCAGGTTCGATATTGCAGGTCTATTACAGGATTGAAGAATGTTTCTGTTACTTTCCTCTTGTATGTGATCCGATGTGATCCGCCTTGCTGTCGATCTTCTTCTGAGATCGGGTAGATCAACACGGTCATGGCCGAGTTCTGGGAATATGGTAGCACTGATTTCGGAACAAGATATTGCTTAGACAGATTTGAGTATCGCACATGAAGGTTGAGTTCCTGGAGCTCTTGCAATTGGTACGCGTAGTAGCCCGTGGGTGCAGTCGACGGGTATGCGGTGACCTGCGACGTCTTGATTTCCTGCGATGCTTGGTCCGATACTGAAAGTGATGGCTGTGTGGATTGCTGCTTGCGATTTCCAATGGTAGCTTCTGAGGGCGTGTCTTGGGGTGGACGAAGGGTGTGTACCGATGAAGCTGCCTGTGAATATTCGAGTAAAGACTCCGATGCCATCCCGCTACGCCCTCTGTTCGTACCCACAGAAATCGTGGTGTCACGCAAACTACTAATGTCCGTACTCACAGGCATACCAGGTTCCCTTTGAGTTAACACGGAAACACTGGATGGGCTGACCAAGGATGCACTGTGAATCGATGGAGCCCTTTCTCCAGTGGTTTCAGGATGAACATCACGCAACCATGTGGCGATAGCGTCACGATTAGACGCAACATCCGCCAAAGAAATATTATCACCAACCAACTCTTGCTCTAAATGAATGATACCCTCCCGGTTCATCAGTAGCGAAGCATCTCTTTTGCCGGTAATTATATCATGATGAATTACACCTAGTTTTGCTCTTATCTGACCAAGAGCCGGATTCTGAACATTCTGTAATGCATCGTTCGGATATGACGACCTGTTGTGGAGTACGTCCAGTAGGAGGTTTAGCTCAGTCGAGTGACTACTGAGTCTATTCTGCACCGCATGTCGGAACGCATCGGTGAATACAGTTCCTTGCTTAAGTTGAGACCCATCCGCTTGCATCTTCTGCTCTAACTCTTCAAGGTCTTGCTTGGATGTCCTTACGATATGTCCAAGCTTTGCACGCACTTCGCGACTCAAGTGGGAGATGGGAGAAGTAGGATCGTCGATTTCATCTTGAAGTTCATGCAACGCGACATGAAGAAGATTTGCTAATTATTCTTAGATCACGAGCCCACGGCATAGGGAAAAGTACTTGCTCTCTTTGCTTATTTCTGCGAGCTCGAGACCTGCATTCTTGCTGTCTTTGTACAGTCTCCAACATAACCCCGTCACACAGGCAACGTTGCTGGACGAAATTTCGGACTCGGCCATTTGGACAAGATATATGTCGAAATTTGGTGATCCAAACATTGAGCACTACCACACCGTCCATCGTAACAATATAATCTCGAGAGCCTACAAGGCTAAGCCACATCTTGAGGCCGTGATAAACGGGCGGTGCAAATCATCTACCTTGTCTCCAGGCAGTGCCTGAGAGAAATACGACCAATCACATATCCAAGCAGCCCGAACATTTTCATGCTTTCTGAATACTTTAATTTCCTTGTAAGATGCTCTAATGGTGAAGGTCAAATATGAATTATAGTCAAAGTCACGTGGATGTCGTCAACGCTGCTCTTTCCCCACTCGAACTGTATCGGAAGTGACGCAAAATGAGTCACTTTGCGCTAGGCCGCATTTGTAGCTCGAGGAGTAAGTGCATTGGTTATATCAACTTGGAGGCGAACGTTTCGGATTGCGCAACTTGAATACTCCAAATCGACTTCGAAAAGGTGAACTTTGGAATCCTGCGAAGAATCTTAACAACCGCAATGGTACGCAGAGAGAAAGAGAGCGCCGTGCCTGTGGAGGAGCAGTTTGGCGGAGGACATATAACAGTTACCGCGCAGCAATCCAGATATGCGCTTGATGCTATCGATGCACCTGCATCAAAAGAGGTTAGCGCAATTGCCCACGTCATTGAATAGATGATGTTAACTGTTGTGAGCAGATACTTATCAAGGATCTCTCCATTAGTGTGAAGAATAGAGAGCTGTTGTCACATGCACATCTTCATCTTGTGGAGAGCAGGCATTACGTTCTTGTTGGAAGAAATGGAACCGGAAAGTCGACATTGCTCAAAGCGATCGGTGACGGACTGGTGCCCGGAATACCATGGAGTACTAGAATTCTACTTCTCGGTCAAACACGCAATTCCCTTGCAGAAGATCTAGACGGATTGAAGATTGAAGATGAGACGGTTTTGCAACATGTGGTGCGAAGTGACCGTATGAGGGAACAGTATACGCGAGAGGCTAGGATACTCTCTGAGGCGATCGACCACCCCAATCCCATAGCCCCAGTCAAGGCCTATCGGCGACTTCACCACGAACGATCACAGCTGCAGCTCAAAGAGGCCCATCGCCTTGCAGAGAGAAGGAGTGGCGCCCGAGGCAAAACGGCGAGGAAGGAGTTGATCAAATTTGAGGAGCGTGTGGCAGAGTCCCAGGCAAAGCTTGAGCAAGCGGAAAGTGACATCGATCCCAGTGTTATAAGTGCAGATACCCAAGCTGCAGCAGACATGCTCACCAATGTTCAATCCTCCCTTGAGCTCATGGATGCTTCTGGAGCGGAGGCCAAAGCCAGGACTGTTCTCATAGGACTTGGTTTCAAAGACGACAAGATCGACAGGCCAATGTCGGAACTGTCAGGTGGGTGGAAGACGAGGTGCGATTTGGCCTGCGCTCTTTGTCAGTACGCAGATGTTCTTCTCCTGGATGAACCAACCAACTTCTTGGATCTACCGTCCATCATTTGGTTGCAAAACTACATCCAAGGTCTCCAACAAACCACAGTTTTAATCACCACTCACGACCGTGCCTTTGGTGATGCAACTGCAGAAGAGTTACTGGTACTTCGGAATCAAACGTTGGAAAAATTTCGAGGGAACTTGAGCCTGTACGAGAGTGAACGACATAAGAAAGCTCGATATCTGACGAAGATGAAGGCGGCACAAGACAAGCAAAAGAAGCATATGGAGAAGTCCGTGCAGAACAACCTCAAAGCTGCGCGAGAGAAGGGAGATGATAAAAAGCTTAAGCAAGCGGCTTCCCGAAAGAAGAAACTGGACGAGCGAATGGGCATAGAGGTCGGTCTCAAGGGGGGGAGGTTCAAGCTCAACCGGGATCTAGGAGGCTACCACCTCACCAATCGAGCAGAGATCGAAATACCAGACTTTGATCCACCAGTAAAGATTGGATTCCCCAAGCAGCCGCCAGACCTTCGTTTCCCAGGTGCGATCGTGTCACTTGAAAAGGTATCCTTCTCTTATCCGGCACGAAAACGAGTGCCAATACTGAATGACATTGATTTGACCATCCATCCGGGCTCACGAGTCGGCCTGGCTGGTCTCAACGGGTCTGGAAAGACGACCCTGGTGTCTTTGATCATGGGGAGCGGGGACGATTCTCCAGGTGGCCTTGTGCCTACGAAAGGTACCATTAGTCGACATGCGCGGGCCAGATTCGGTCGATTCTCCCAACAATCAGTTGAAGAGATCTCGGAAATTGCTTCTCGAAATCCAAAAATTTCGGCACTCGCCCATCTCATGGAGTTCTGTGGAAGTGAAATGATCGAAAAAGACGCGCGGGCACTGTTAGGACAACTGGGTCTTTCAGGTCAAGTAGTAAGTGATGTCCCTCTTGGACTACTTTCAGGTGGCCAAAAGGTTAGAGTTGCGTTGGCGAAGCTTCTCTGGCCGCCGCCACAGTTGCTCATACTAGGTATTGTATTCCCAGGAATATACATTCAAGTTCCTGGCTAATTTTGTGGGAAGATGAGGTCACGACGCATCTAGACGCCGATACCATTCTTGGTCTCATTAACGCCCTGCGAGAGTATGACGGCGCAGTGTTAGTCGTTACCCACGATCGATTCTTTATGAGGTACGTAGCCCTTGTTCCGAAATACCAATACAAGGAAAATAAAAGCGTTGTTTGGCAATGATGATGCTGATGATGTCAACAGAACTGTGGTCGAGGGAGATAGCCCATATAAGCTAGCGTCAGGGGCCGAGGATGAGGATCCAGAAGAGGATGAGACGGATGAAGATGAGGCAGGGGTCACTGCAGGGACTGTCTATCGATTGGTAAAAGGCCAATTGAAGAAGCTCGACGGCGGGATGGAGCAGTACGAGGAGATTGCATCGCGTACGGCCGCGAAGCTGGGAAAGGGAAGTGTAAAGGCTTGAGTCGAGGACTCGAGTCCCTTTGACTACTACTTATAGTAGGTAGATGTAGCGAGATCTCGGAGCTATACAAGAAGGTACAATCTCTGGTCGGGATAACGGGCATCGTGACTATCGACCCACAGGACGGAATTAATCCATCTACTAAGGACTAGGAAAGGGAGAGATCTTATTCCAGTGGATGGCTGGTGGCTGATGGCTGGTGGCTGATGGCTGATGAATCATGGGCCCAATAATGGCTCGCCGGCAGAACCAGATGGTCGCTTGGGTAGACGGGAGGTGGGCTGCGTGAGGCTTGTATGGTATTTTCATTGTCCAGACTGCGGGTGGATTATGAGGACGCGATGAATGGTGAATGGTGAATGGTGAATTCGCGTCCGGGGAGAAAATAATTTGGGACAATAATTTGGGAGCTTGGGCCACGACGCGTCCCCCCTTTCACGTCCGGATCGTCTTCCTAGCAGTTCACTACCCAACTACTCTACTCTAATTATCACCAATCTTCCCTCCCGCCCTGCCTCCCTCTCCTGTTCTTGCATCTGGGCGAACAGACAGCTTAGGGGGAACGGTTTGCAGACCAGGCCAATGACTAGACGACCGTCACCGTCGCCCTGACCATCCGCTCATCAGGCTCCACGCCAAGTTTCTTTTCGTTATTGTCTAGAGTGGTAAATTCATCTCTGCTGCTCAGCTTACGCACTACTTCCACTATTATTATTACCTTACCCGCCCAAGAAGGGCGCGTCGCTCCTTTTGCACTACTCGTACCTAACTTTCCCATCCATCCATGTTCATTCTCTCCTTATTGCATTCATTCAATTTCATCAAAATCATGCGTTGAGCCCTTTGGAAGTTCTCTCTGGTGTAGCTGTCACCTGGCATTCGTTTCAGACGTCCCTTGCTCCCGTATACCCGAACTCTCCTCCTGGCCGTCATGACCGAATCAACACAAGTTACCCCTCGCTCTAACTCTGAAACACAGCAGCTAAAGGCTCCAAAAGACAAGAATTGCCCCTTCTGTGGCCAGGCATTCACATCCTCCTCACTCGGCCGACATCTTGACCTCTACATACGGCAGAAGAATCCAAAAGCCGCAGATGGCATACACATCGTCGAGGAAATCAAGAAACTCCGGGGTGGCATAACAAGGCGTCAGGCGAAGAGTGCAATAAAAAGGTCATCGCTCAGCACGCCGAACCATAAGGGCGATCAGTCATTGCTGGAAGATGAAGATTCGCCAGCCATTGAGGAGTCTCCGCTTGATGATGATGACGATCTTGTGTCGGCAAAGCCCAGGCAGCGTTTCAAGGATGTTTCGTGGAAGTCATCAACAAGCACACCGCGTGCATCGGGAGGCAAGACAGAGACCAGGCGAGGGGTATCTCGTCACTTTCAGAAGGCCGACCTGGACCAGCGACAGAAGACTTCGGCAGAGGAAGAGACTATCAGGGCCACAGAACTAGCATTGCGGGAGCTGTTGAAGACGGTACAGGAAGCCAAGTACGATTTGCCTTACACTCATGATCAACATTGCATTAGGAACTGACAAAGGAAACAGTGCCAAAGCATCAGGCCCTCGCCTCTTTGACTTTGACCCATACACATTAACCTTCCCAGGCCTTTGCCTTCGCATATTACCGGCTCCGTCAACTCTGTTCTCCCCGACGCCCTTCCCTACGAGTGAATCGTGGTCAATCAATCCACCTGGTCAGAAACAGTTCGATGCACTGAATAAATATGTTCGGGAACGACTTTTGGCACATCAGCGTCAACGGCAGATCAACCAGATGTATCCCGCCAACCAGCACTCGAATCCAGGCTCTGCCGCGAATTCGCCTCTACCGACACCCCCACTCTTCGACCCGGACCCGCAGAAGCTCTTCTGTCACCTCGCTGACGCCTATAATCACTGGACCGCGCATTCAGACCAACAAAGGCAGGAGGCATGGCAATTGGAAATTCTACGCTCATATGCTCGCGCGGACGAATTGAGAAGAGATGCTGATATGAGTTTGGAGAACGCACGGCGCGAGATCGAATACTTGAAAGCGAACAGATGGTCCTCGGGCGGTTCTGACTCGTCCCCAGTCAACTTCTCTATTGGAACGGAGACGATCAAAGAGCTCGGGAAGCTCGGCATGGATTTCCGCAACTGGGACTATGATCGCCTTATTGAAAAGTGCAAAAATGCAGTACGAGACACCAAGTCTGCTACCGGTGGCATGGCTGCACAGAAGCCATTGCCAGCCAGCACAAGAAGCTGTTCGATGGCCAGCCTCCCGGCCCAACCTTTCGCCACAATCCCTGGGACAGGTCAAGATGTCAAAGTCTCACAAGTTCCATACTCAGCACCTGCAACCACGATCGGCACTGAACCAGGCAGTGATCAGATTGATGCCGAGGGCGAGGATGATGATGGCGATCCAGATCTAGATGCCGACGCCGCATCGGATGAAGGATCAATCGATCCTCCCCCTCATGCAGTACCTCACCAACAGCCTGTACAGCAGCCTGCTGCTCACCATGCCGCTCAGCTGTCTCCTCATCCTCTTGCGCAGGCCAGTGCTCAGTTCCAAGCGCAAGCACAGGCACAAGCTCAAGCACAGGCTCAGGCCCAAGCGCAGGCATGGGCCGCCGCTCGACAGCACATGAACCAGAGCAGGAACCAGCATCAGCACCCTCATCCACACCAGCACCAGCAAATGTCGCCTCATCCGCAACACATGGCGTCTGCCGCGACCAGTCGACGTGGCTCCCATGCTTTCATTGATGCCCACGGTATGAACCCTGGCGCCATGCTCCCAATGGAGGGCATCGAAAGCCACCAAGACCAATTCCTGCACATGAATATGAACCTTGCAAATACCTTTGTCGGCCCGAACGGAGACGGCGTACAATAATTCACCTTATCCAAGACACATCGTCAACAGCAACATCATTTTCTTAATCTTTTATTCTGTACACTCGTTTTTTTGGATACCCATTATTTGTTGTAATACTTTTTCTTGATTCAGCATTGCATATCGCAATGCTACAGATACCACCTTCAGCCTTGTCAAACAGTTCTTTTGTTCTAGAATTTTTTTATTACTTATTATACCCGCCCTAGCACACAAAGGTTACGACGCTTCGTCCTCTACCTGGGCATGTTACATAGATACCTTTTGTCCTTCATTGGATTGAGCGGCGGCGGCGGCGGTCATCGTTGCCAAATGTTTTTTTACCAGCGTTTTAATTCTGGTGTCAGGATCAGATTTTTTTTCGGCCATGTTCGTCCGTTACTCTCGAGAGTTGGAGAGTCAAAATTGTTATATACCATTGCTGCGAAAGCAAGGCTGAAAGCCTTACTTCAATATCACTCTCCTCAAAGACAAGTTGTCTTTCACCTAATCCGATAATTGGTTTTTGCTCATCATTATCACTATTGAAAGCCAGGTACCTGTGACTCCCACTACCTGATTATTTAGTCAAGTCCTGATCAGGCCGATCCTTTACTTTCACTTCTCAATTGTGCTCCTCGACGACGTAGACTCGTCGCGAACACAGTGTTAACACCTGCTCACAATGTCCTCTGTGGCCAGAACCCCGGAATCACCTTTTCCCAGCGACGAAGCCCCGGCTGAAACATCTGTGGTTATCCAGGTGCCCAGATCTGTCATACCATTGTGAGTGCCAGATCATAAAGTTCAAATAGTCGTTTACTCAGTCTTTTTTAATAGGCTTCGTGGACTTGCTGTGATTGTCAAATCCGGTGAATGTGCTTGGCTACTCCCCACAGATCTGCTTAAGAGTCACTCAAAGTTCTTTGACAAGCTGCTCACGGGCGACCATGGAGTGACAGAGATTAACCTCCCTCACGATTTTGATTCTGGCACCTTTCCACTCTTCGTCGAATACATCTTGACTGGAAAGTGCATCATGAAATGTGGATCTGCGGACTGGAACATGTTTGAGCTCGAACCGTCAGGGTTGTCACCTTCAGGCTCGTCGGAAGCATCATGGAATATCAAAGCTACCATTTGGTTATACGTCCTTGCATTCAGACTAGGAGCTTCGAAGCTCATGAACATCGCCATGAAGTGGATCTACGGATTTTGGGCCGAACTACCTGGCATTAATTTCATCTTCGCACCTTACCTATACGCCAAAGTCGCCTCATATGCGTGTGAAGGCTGGCAAGGTCAGACCTCACCATTGAGAGACCTCGTGTACCACTTCATCTTCGAGAACTGGAAGAGAAAAGATTTGTTTGAGGAGAACAGAGAGGCATGGAAGGAGTTTTTCCAGCATCATCCCGAACTATGCGTCAGATTGGCCGTGGACTCTGACCAACCAGTTGAGTATCGACGAGAGGAGAACATCGGGTCTCGCAATTTGAAGTTATACTTAGTCAAAGAGGAATAATACCAACGAGGCCCAGGAACAGTCAAGCAACCGAGACTTGCCTCAAAGTGAGGTCTCTCACAAATTTCTGGCATGATCATGCATACCTGGGTTCTTCATCAATGCATGACTTAGATCAAGAATTCAATTGGACTCGAAACTTACTTTTTGATTCAACATCAAATACATTTTGAAGCAAGAAGTCTATTCATTTCACATACGAAATTCAGTAGTAATTATACTACTTACGGCCACATATCCTCTCGTGCCTCTCAATGCCTGAATGTGCTATGAGGAGTACAGAGACCCTCGAATGCTTAGTAATAATTAGAGCAAGCTTAAAACCAAGCTCATGCAGGGCAACTCCACACCCCACACTCTTTACCCCAGTCCATGCATACTTCTCTTCTTTGATTATCATGCTATGCCGCCTGTAGTTTCTCGTAGGGGTCAAAGAATTGCCTCTAAAGCATGTGATAACTGTCGGGATCGCAAGGTCCAATGCGTGTTCGAATCCCCAGAAAGTCCGTCTTGCCGCCGCTGCACCGACGCCAATGGCCCTTGTACATTCTTGAAGGAGAGAAAAGCTCGTGGGCCTCCTGCTCGGTACGATAATTCAGTGAATCAATGTTCACTTTCTACATGTCATGGGACTATATTGACGAGTAACCTAGGCGAGTCCCTAGCACCCAGGCTCTTCCGGTGGGCAACCTCTCAATTGAGCTACTATGCCCCCACGATGTATTTCTCAGTATACTAGAAGATTTCTTGCACATCGTGTATCCAGTGCTACCACTTGTTCATAGGCCAACATTTCGGCTGCTGGTTGAAAGCAAAAGCTATACCAGCGATCCGGCCTTCTTCCGCCTTTGCATCGGCCTGGTTGCTGTCACGGTCGCGTCGATTCCGCGGAATTTTGAAAAGTATGGCGCTTCAATGTATCCAGACGTGGGTTCAATGGTTGACAGAGCTTGTCACTTGGTCTTGTTGAGTAGGATCTCGCTCGAACCTCATTGGCAGAATCAGCCCTCGATGAACTCAATGTTGGTCTCCATTTTGCTGACCATGGCTTCTCATTACGTTGGTCGCCAGAATCAAGGATGGGGATACGCGAGCGAAGCAATCCAGTTCTTCCGAGCACTTGAGCTGTTCAGGAAAGAAGGATACGAGAAGTTGAGTCCGTGGGAATGCGAACTTTGTAAGCGGGCATTCTGGGTGCTTTACATCATTCAAATGTGCGTGATAACTCCTACCAATATGATCCCCCAAAGAATAATGATGAGTTGACACAGTATAGTCACGATCGATTATCGTTCATTGTGCCCCACACAGGCCTTAGTTTCGATCCCAAGCACACAGACTGGGAGTTCCTTTTGCCAGCAGAGGCGGGAGACGATGACCTGACGGCATGTACGAATGACCCAGACACCTATCACAATGGAAAGGAATTCTACAACCGAGAGCCGCCCCTAATCTGTGGGTTCATCGCACTTGTCAAGGTGTTTCTCTGCGTTGTGGATCTTCTTTCAAGCGGACTTTTCCCAGGGACAGCACCGCAAGCATACGCAATGACTGGCGGATCACTCACATTACCAGAAGCAGCAGGAGACCGCATTTCGCACTCATCAAGCAGATCGACACTCAGTCTAACTTCGTTGCTTCGCATCATCAGAAATCTACAAAGTGCTCTAGAAGAACTCCCGGAACAGCTCAAAATCACCACAATGGATCCGCAAGTTCGATCTCCTGATGGATCGGAGCACGCACTCAGCGCCACCACACAGTTTCAATTCGACATAATGCGCGCCAACATCCATATCACAAGCCTTTATATTCAAAGCACCGTCTTAGAAGCCTGTTCAAGTGCGTTCGCAAATAACCCCAACGATTCTTTCGCACCTTCTCCGGGCGACGATGCCCATTCCAGTCCTGGATACACACCACGAACCCAGCTATGGAAGTTTCGAGAGAGCATCGCTAGGGAGTTACTCGAGGTTCTGCACTTCTGTTCGACTCGCACCCTTGAGGCTAGCGGGTCCTCGATGGTATGCCCAAGTCCTCACAGTGGCCGATTTCAATTGCTGATTGACCGTCCAGATTGTGAAAATTCGAGAGATGGCTGCGACACTCCTAGATTCAGATAACGATCTCGGCGTCCCAAGCGAGAGCGAGGAGCAGCTAAGACGCTATGTCGTCCAGTTCGCAGATATATTAGCGAATCTCGATTACATGGGTCATTCAACAGTCATACCAGCAATCTTTTCGGCACATTGAAAGACAAATTTGTAACACTAAGTACTAATCTATCACTTTGGAAAATAGATTATGATCTATTATATTATTATTATTTGTAGCAATAGAACATATGCATACGCAATCACTTGTGTTTTAGCATCCAACAGAGATGCTATAACCGATTCCAACCCCTTTTCAGTGTTCAGAGACTGCAGTCTTCGAGTCCTCTGCCACAGTCACAACCTCAATCTTCGACCACTTCCTTGCGGGGATGCCGCGCGACCACAGCTCGTCCAACTCAATGTACGTCCTCCCTTTGGTCTCGGGGATGAAGAAGAAGATAAACACGAACGAGAGCGCCATAACGGAGCCGAATATGAAAGCGATCTTGCCTCCCAAGTTACCCTGATCGGGGTTGATAGCATACGGAAGGGAGAAAGACCAGATGCAGGATGAAAGACCGTTCATCATCGTGGCGAGAGACTGGGTCGGCGCTCGGAGACGCGATGTAGGCGTCTCTGTACTGATCGTCCATGCAACGCAGCCGATAGTTCCTTGATAGACTGTCGCTGTGTTAGTGAAGGTAAAAGTGAGCACTAAGATGGAGTGGACTTACCGAAAGACCATACAGCCATTAATGCGACTTGACCCCAGATGGCACCAGGAGTCTTGACGACAGCGAGAATACCAATGACGAAAAGCGTCGCAGCCAGCATGGCCGATCCGTACAAAGCCGTCCCGCGACGACCAAACTTCTCAACGAAGAACCATCCAGCCATGTTTCCGACAACCATGAGCCCGGACATTCCGACGGTGGCATCGAAGGACCTTGCAGCTGACATTCCGCCCAACTGCATGAAATCTGTAACATTCGCATTTAGCACTTGTCGTGACGGGACGGTGGATATCTACTTACAACTCATGTATCCAATGACCCAGACGCTGCCGCTGGCATTTTGGATAAAGAAGACCCCGGTGGCAACCATTGTCCTCATGATGTTTTTCCTGGAAAAGCATTCCGCGATCGAGCCCTGAGACTCGTCGTCTTGGTTCAGACGTGCGAGCGACTCGTGCACTTCAGCCATGTGACCGTCAACATCGTAGTCGGGCGCGTGTAGCTTGGCGATGTTGTGTCGTGCCTTTTCGTGCCTGCCGTGGGCTACGAGCCAGTATGGAGATCTGTTGTCGTTAGCCTGATGAACGAGTCTCCAGATCTACGGTCCGTATTGACTTACTCAGGGAAGAATGGAAGGATGAGGAGACCCAAAGCGACGTATCCCCATTGGGTAGCAAAGAGAATACGGTAGGACATCTTTCCGGTGTAGAAACTCGCTTCTCTCATCACGCCATATCCGATGAGCTGTCCGAGGACAATGGCGAAGTTCATTCCTGCAGTGATGGCACCGCGGATGTTGAGGGGAGCCATCTCGGAGGCATAGGTAGGCGCAACGGTGGTAAAGCAACCAAGGGGGATACCAGTGAGGATCTTTCCGCCGAAGAAATGTGCGGGTGTTGTGGCGAAGAATTGAAGAAAGATACCGCCAGTGTTGATGATGTAGGAAACGAGAATGCAAGGCTGGCGACCAAACTTGTTAACCCCAAATCCTGTGATCAAACCGCCGAAGATGATGCCTGAAATCTAATTAGCAATCGTCTTCATTATGGATGTACTCGAAGACTCACCGAACAGCGTCGCCGCTTGGAACCCGAGCTGCCAATTGGCGTCAACAACATAGTCTCCGGCAAATGGATGTCCAAAGTCCTTTCGAAACTCTACAATGGAGACTACAACACCTCCAGCAAGCGAATCGAAACCAAACATGATGCAGGTATAGAACATGAAGAAGCACCACGCGAGCGACTTCCAGTGCTCCTTGACTGCTTCCTTGCGCGACAGGGATTGCTGTCGGGTCTGGAAGTTCTTCAGCAGTTCCGTCGATCCAACGACAGCTGTTGCGCCATCGTGAGTGGACTCGACATGGTCGATTGCAGTATCCTTCACGTCCGCCATGGATTCTGAGGAGCAATGGACGTAGAAAAGAAATCGACCAGGAATTGGACAATACAAGCAGCCTGTGTGCCGCAGAAAGAGAGCGGAGAGTATAAGCAGTGTATCCAAAGACTCGGGTCGCCTGCAGAAGCTTATATATTTTTCAACCCCATATTCCAGTCCGTTTGGGGAACCCCACAGACGAGTGCCAGAAATGCAGGTAGTACGAGCAAATGGGGTTGAAAGACGGGCGTGCTCTGGCTTTGTCTAACGGAGAATCTCTGGAGAATCTCTAGTCCATCTCTAGATCATCTCGCCAGTATCCGTAACGAGTCATGTGGCGTTTTTCGGCTACTTTCAATTGTTCTTGCATTATCCCCGAACATTGTTCTCGACATCAACACGCTACAGCAATAGCCTGATGAGCCTAATCGAGAGGGAGTATGGTCATTAACTCAGCAGCTGAAACGGTAAAATCGAAATCATCACGCGGTGCAAATTTCCCCATAGTAAGATTTACATATCTGAAAGAGAGGACCACTTGCGGGGACAATAATGTCCCTAACAGGTAAGTTTAGCCCCCTCCACGGCTTTACCATGGCAGTTGTCCGTGCACATTCTCTCTCCAGCCATGGCTCGGAGAATCTCCAAGATGGTTTCTCCGTTAAACGTTATAACAGCCAACATGAAGCTCTTCCGTCGGAATGGTCGAGTCATCAATATCCGCGTGCATTTGTCAAAAGGATTGGAAAAATAAGCCACGTGAGAAACATACATTCACATCATGGCTTTAGCGAATAGAGGCTCCGCAGACAGCTTCGGGGACTTAGTGAAGCAGTTGACGCTGGAGGAGAAGATTTCTATGCTTGCGGGTAAGAATGTCTGGGAGACTTTCGATGTAGAAAGGCTCGGAATACCATCCCTCAAAGTAAGTCTAAGCCTCTATCTTGGGTAGAAACCAGGTCTACATTTTCAGTTGGAGACATCCTCATGGAGATAGCACGGTTACCATCCTCTATATAAGGCCATCATTTTGATGACTAAACCATCATTACACGCTATACAAGGTTCTGACATCACAATAGGTCACTGATGGTCCCAATGGTGCAAGAGGAGGAGAATTCTTCGACGGAACAACCGCAGCATGCTTTCCTGCGTGTGTATCACTAGCAGCGACATTCAACCGCGATCTTGCGCGCAAAGTCGGCAAGGCTCTTGGACAAGAAGCGATCACCAAAGGCGCATATGTTCTGCTCGGCCCAACAGTATGCTGCCATCGATCTCCGCTCGGTGGAAGGAATTTCGAAGCATTCTCGGAAGATCCTCTTCTTTCTGGAGCCTTGGCGATTGAGTACGTGAAAGGGTTGCAGGAGGAACGTGTGGCTGCGACTGTAAAGCATTTCCTTGCGAACGAACAGGATACGAGGAGATTCTCTGTGAACGAGACCGTCTCGGAGAGAGCGCTGAGGTACGTATTATTCTCGATGTTTACTAGGTCTGCACGACTGACTTCTGGACAAGAGAAATTTACCTGAAACCTTTTGAGATGGTAGCAAAACAGGCCGACCCCTGGTGCTTCATGTCAAGTTACCCCAAGGTTAATGGCAGTCATATCGATGCGAGCTCAAAGTTCCTCAATGATATATTGAGGGGTGAATGGGGCTACGATGGCCTGGTCATGTCAGACTGGGGTGCAGCTAGCACCCCCGAAGGTATAAAATACGGGTATATTTCGTCCCTAGTCTCTCACCTTTAATCTATCGCTGATGTATAATAGGTTGGACCTTGAGATGCCAGGGCCTTCCCGCCAACGAACTACCGAGAAGGTCCAAGGCGCCCTCCAAGCTGGCCAAATTAGCGAAGAAGACATCGACAAGCGTGTACTGAACATTCTCAACTTATTGAAGAAGACGGGAAAGTTCGATGATCGAAAGAACCCGGTGAAGGAGCAAGCAATCGATCGCCCAGAGCATCGTGCACTGATCCGCAAAGCCGGTAGCGAAGGCATTGTATTGCTGAAGAACGAGAACAATATTCTCCCGATCGACGTCAAGAAGACCAAAAAGATTGCACTCTTAGGCCCGCTTGCGAACTACTCGGCAGCCCATGGTGGTGGGAGTGCATCATTAAGCTGTCATTATAAGGTATCACCATATGATGCATTCAAGGAGAGGCTTGGAAAAGATGTCGAGATTACACACGGGAAAGGAGCTCACATCTTCCGCGTATACCCAGATCTAGAAGAGGGCTGCACGAATGCGAAATCTAATCCTGGATTTCTCGCAGAGTTCTTCATGACCCCAGAGGCAAATGAAGAGCCATTCCGCGTCGAGGAATACCCACGAGGGAGCTTCACCACACTAATGAACACCAACGTCGTAGGATCTCAAACTGTCCGATACACAACGACTTACACACCAACTACAGCCGGCAACCACTACCTAAGCTTTTCCGGTCTCGGCCCAACAAAGCTTTTCATCGACGACGTAGAGGTCGGCGAGCAAAGAGATCCCATCAAGGACGCCATGGGCTTCTTCCTCGGCGTCCAAGAGGAGGTCCGCATCCAATATCAATTCAGCAACCGACCATACAAGATCCGCCTCGAAACCCACCCATCACCAGTTTCAAACTCAGAACTCTACCTCATGGACAACCAATGTTCCATTCATCTCGGATTCTTGAGTCAGGCCGAGATGGAGCAGGACGTTCTTTCAGAAGCCATAGAGCTCGCCCGCTCTGCAGACCTTGCGGTCCTCTTCGTAGGCAACACCACACAATGGGAGACTGAGGGTCAGGATCTCTCTTCCATGACACTGCCTGCCGATGGATCGCAAGACAAGCTCGTTGCGTCTGTTGTAGCTGCCAATCCCAATACCATCGTCGTGAACACAACGGGTGTGCCCGTCGAATTGCCGTGGATCGATGATGTCCCGGCCTTCCTACAAGCTTGGTATGCCGGCCAAGAAACCGGTAACGCAATTCTGGATGTCCTACTCGGCGAGACATGTCCGAGCGGCAAGCTGCCCATCTCGTGGCCGAAGAAGTACGAGCATACCGGCTGCTACGGTAATTTTGGCCTCGATAGCTACGACTCGAGAGAAGTGACATATGTGGAAGATGTCTTCGTTGGATACAGGTGGTTTGACAGGCTCTGGGAGAGTGACAGAGAGGTCAGATTCCCATTCGGATACGGTTTGAGCTACACAGATTTTGAATTTTCTGAGGCCTCGATATCTGGCGAATTGGCTAATGCTGCCGACACGAAAGTGAACGTCACAGTGAAAGTAAAGAACGTGGGATCGATTCCTGGCTCAGAGACTGTTCAGGTGTATGTCAAGCCTCCTGTGGGGCCATTTCTAGAGCGGCCTGTTAAAGAGCTTGCCGCCTTTGCGAAAACAACATTATTACAGCCTGGCGAGGTTCGACTAGTGGAAGTAGAGTTTGGAAGGGATACAGCAGCCTTTTGGGATGAGGAAAGGAAAAGATGGTCTGTCAGTGAAGGCATCCACGACATTTTAGTGTCTACCAGTTCACATTTAAAGGACGTGAAAGCAGTACTGCAAGTAAACGTTGCCACGGTGTTCCAGTTTGAGCCATGATTACACTGCATAGCTTCTGCCTTTCGTACTTGGATAAGTATGTACGTAACCTAGATTAATTAACAATTAAAACATCCACGGTTCTTTTCACCTAGCTGTCATTAAATAAATGTCGAGGGGAAAATAACATTTGTACAAAAAGCAAACAAACTAATTAGAGTAAAAGTAAGAAGTTGTAGCTGACCTTATTGTAGACAAAAAATGAATTAGCAAAAAAGCAAAAAAAGACGGGCTGTTATGCGACACCTGTGAGATTCGAACTCACGCTCCCGAAGGAACCAGCTGACCAAGTATGTGAATTACTATAGCAGGCTGGCGCGTTAACCACTCCGCCAAAGTGCCTTGGCTGAGCTCGTTTGATGTAAGACTTGTAAATTTTTACGTATATATACTCACAACAATGCTTTTTCAACAGGTGCTTCACCAAGTCTTCGTATCTCTTTGCTGAACCAAAGGGGCATGTGGGACTCATGTGGGGTCAACAAACCCTGGCGAGGCTCTAAACCGCGCGTAATTGGCCCGCGGAAAACAAGCATGTGATTGGGCGGATGTGAGATCTCAATGGGACGATTCCGTCATGAACCATGAGGCACGCATCGCAAAGGCGAAACTTAGTACGCGTCAATTACAGTTACACGCATCACCTCCGTGGCGCATGCCCGGGTTCTCAGCTCCCGCTCCCTTAGCTGGACCCTTATATTCTTACATTCTGAACAATATGAATGTTCACAGGCCCAACTTCGAGGCTTTGCATGTTTCTGACTGGCGGTCTGGTCTCTTCACATGTTTAGTTGACGTGCGCTATTCGTGGGAGACTTGACGTCGCCGCCTTCAACACCAAGTGCTCGCCCTAAATATAGTACTACTTATTCAACATTTTTCTCCTTCTTGTTCTGTTACTATCGCAAGTGTCTCTCAGTCCACAGTAAAATTTGCATCTACATAATACAATGTTCGGTTCCGAGCCTGTCGTCGACCCGGCGTCGCGAGACAAGTACCTTCTCCACATCAAGGCTGGCCCATCCAGAGATCCACGCACCCACCAAACCGTCGCTGTTAACGGTCCAAACTACCGCATCGTCGAGAATGATTTAATGACCTGCTACATCAAAGTTCGAATAAAAGATTACCATGGACTGCCAAAGAATTCGCCTGCAACTTCAGACTACTTCTCCCATCCATCGCACATTTCAGACAGATACAGTGTAGCATTCTCCTTCGTACCAAAAGTTGATATACCGGGAGAGGACATGGTATTCGGCTTCGATTTCGACCACTCGATCAAGGACAGACTACCGCCAGGTTTCAGATACGCCATGAGGATAGTAACAACGCTGCTAGACCCAGGAATCTACTCCGACCCATACTCGGATAAGCCGTACCTGTACGGCCCAGCCCTATCATCCTTCTTCGCCTTCCACATTGGCGAGCTCGTCAGCAAAGAGCCAGTCGAACAGCAACTCGAATCTCTCGCCAAAGACCATTCCGACATAATATCCGAAGGCTCGACCGGCTCCGGCAACGCCATTCGAAAATCCCACAACATGCCTTCGAAGTCGTCAAAGCGGCGGAAACACTTCCTCACGCCTGAAAACCTGAAGAGTTTCACGTTTGAGAAGGGGAGGCTGTATCAGTCTGATTTCTTCAATCCTTACCTTGATTTCGCCAATTTCGCGCTAAGGATCCCGGGGTTTTCGATCAGCGTGGCGAAATATATCGATGATAAGACGCATCAATTACGACTGGTGCTGAAGAATAGGAAGACGGAAGAGGTGTTGTTTGTGGTCATGTTTACGCTTTTATTCGGCCAGAAGCTAGATGACGTGCTAGAAGATGAGAGAAAGAAAGAAGAGGAAAACAGTAGAGTGCCGCTATCTCAAGAGTCGCCGGTCGGGATTGATGGAGGCGATAGAGACGAAGGTGGAGAGAGGAGAGGCAGGACTTCATCCGAGGTCCCGACACCCGTGTCCTCGTCACGATCATCGTCAATGCCTGACTCAGACCTCGAAGATGAGGAGAGGAGAAGTAGGCAGACAGCTGCGTCGACTTTGGCCGGATCCATTTATTCGAGCTTCGCGGCGCTGGGCTTCGGAAGGTCAGCAAGCGCGAGTAGTAGTGAGAATAGCAGCAATGAAACATCGCCTACGAGGGATCCCATCAAAGAAGAGAGAAGGGCAGCGGAGCAGATGAAGGCCGATACGAAAGTCGAGTCCATGAGCGATACGAAAGTTGAAGAATTCCTCAAGACTAGACATGGCAGTGTTTAATGTCAATATCTGGGTCTATAATCCCTTTAATCATACATCATCAACATCGCTTGAAGCGAAAGGGTAGATAATTCTCGGTAGAAATATTATGTTAAATGAATTATGATAAGAATATATTCTCCCTTCGCGGTTCAAGCCCACTTAGAAGTGTCTCCTTCATTTCTCTTGGGCGGATATGTACTGCGCACATTGATCCCCTGCAATCCTGCCAAAAACGACACATTCGAGCAAAGAGCTACCACCAAGCCTATTTCCGCCATGCACGCCTCCTGTAATCTCTCCTGCCGCCCACAACCCCTCAATCGCTTTCTCTTCCTCTCCTAGGACCTCACTCTTCTCGTTGAACTTCACTCCACCCATGGTGTAGTGCACGATTGGCGTCACTGTACCAACATACACCACAGATTCCTCTGTCGGATCGGTCAGACTCCAGTTTGCGAAAGATGTTCTCTGGAGATAATCCGAATGTTTTCCTGCCACTGCCTCTGCGTATTGCTTGATGGTTTCAAGCGAACCTGGGGCGAGATCGGCTATTGTAACCTTCTTCATCAGACCCTTGAAAATGTAGAAGTCAATGTGGGATTTGGCTGCATTGTAAGCTCCCTCATCCAACACAAGCTGGACCTCCCATTGCTTGGGCGAGTCCGATTTGGGTTGGGTGGATGTGATCGCGTTGGCGACATTTTCACGAGTATCGAGTTCATTGATGAACCGTTTTCCATTCAACAAAAGAACTCCACCCTCCCCGCGCAACACTTCTGCGGCCAAAAACTTAAGAGCAGATGTCGGATCTTTTGGGTCGACGAATCCTGTGGGATGGACCTGCACTTGCTCCATGTCAATCAACTGCGCGCCCACGGCCGTGAGCAATGGTTGTGTCCCCGGCCTGGGGTCGTTCGTCGACGGGTAGCCAGCGAGGTCAGGTCGGTATTTTGCGAGAAGGCCTTCAGCATCGCCACCGAAGCCTCCAGATGCAAATATCACAGGTCCATGGGCCTCCTCTTCTGCGCCGTTCTCGCAAATGTACTGGACGCCGGTAACACGTGACCCGGCTTGCAAGACCTTGGTCACAGTGCAAGAGGTTTGTAGATGAAATAAGGGAGACTCCTTCAGGGACTTCAAGAGTGTGCTTATAATTGAGAAACCAGGTGGTGTTTGCCCAGCGCCACGGTGCGTTCGGGGGATCGAATGCCCTCCTAGTTGGGCGACTCTGCTCAAATCAACGCCTTTCTCGTCAACGAGCCATTCTACAGCACTTTTCGAGCTGTTTGTCAAAGTGTTGATCAAATTCTCGCGGTATGGTGTTGACGAGGCCATAGCCTTGCCGGCGGATTTCACTGTGTCGGAGAAGAATGCATCGTCCGGGATCTGCTGGAATCTGGTTGGTGCACCATTGATACCGGACGAGGCCTTGATGGAATTTCCACCAGGTTTTGCTGCTCGCTCGATTAGACGAACCGGGATGCGATGGCTGATGAGCTGGCTTGCTGCCGATAAACCAGCCAGTCCTGAGCCGACTACGATGGCGCCGGATCTAAATGCCATGTCTTCGGTGTTGTGTTCAGATGTCATTGGAGCGTCCGATATTCTGTTAGTATAGAGGTAGGCAGTAAAAAGGCCAAAAATGCCTAGGGAAATAAGAGTCAAAAATCCGATGCGACTCATCACGATCTCACATTACGGAGGACATTGGAATGTAGAAATAATGTAGTGGGCGTCATTTTCATCGAAAGACGGCCGTTAATAGATCTCAGGTGATCGTCACGCCGTCCGGTAGGACTACGTAAACGTACGGTGGCAGCCGGCACCGGTACCATCGGTCAGCAGTTCCAGGCTCAGACTCGCTATAAGAACTGATCGAAGAAGTAATATGATGCCACATAGAACGACAGAAATCCTGATGGAAGAATCATGGAAGCCTCACATCTCGGGGCAGTGGGCCATTGAGGGACCGTTTCAGGCCTAGCGTGGAACCCCCCAGAATCTGAGTCCTGAAACCTCTACTGACACTCATTGTGCATCCGAACTACCACACAGCGGCAACAATAGACGCCCAACCTACACAGAACTTCTCGCGGAGTAATTGTAGTCGAAGATGGCTGTTGTTCAGCCCCGCTATAGGTCGAATGCGCCAGTCGGCGTTCAGGATCCTCATCTTACAGTCGTGGCGACCAGTAACACGACCTGTGCCCTCCTAGTGACAGATCATACACATTCGGAACATAAGCTATCCATCTCCTTCACAGGATTTTCAGAGCACGTTCGCTGAATACGTACCCAAAGTGTTGCTCCCATGACCCTCTTCCTCCCGGGTCCCTCACTCCCGTCGATAGACTGCGTTCCAGTACGCACGGCTAATCCGTGGCGCGGCTTCTTATGCATCCGAGCAGATGTACCCTCTTATATTCCCAGATCGCCATATCTTTAATCCCAACTCATTCGTCCAAACCCACCAAACCTATCTGTAAGTGAATATTGGTTTCTATTAGTCTAGAAACCATGATCACTACATATTTCGATGCTGCGCTTTTGTGCCCTCCAATCCTTGCCGTCCTCACGATCAAGCATCCCAAGATGGGCATCAAACACTCCAATCTGCAATACTACTTTGCCTTTTCGTTTGTTGGCCTGCTTGCGTTGAGGTACTTCAATAATACTTACTTCTCTATTCCTAATTACATTGCGTTGTCGTTATGTTCGAGTCACGATCATCCGAATCCTGTAGCTTCACTGTACCCTATGAATGCCACCGGCACTCTCAATGGAACTGTCGCTATCATTCCTATATCACTGGCCCTCGCACGTCAGCTTATCCCACCGCAATATGGCATCCTCGAACACGCTTACCGCGCCCTACTACCGTCTTTTCCTCAAGGCATGTATCCGGCAGTTGTTCAAGCACTTCATGACCACGAAGTGCAAGCATTCGGATACAAGATCCCCGACTTTTCTGTAAGCCCCCTCCCTCCATCGCAAAGCACGCAGTCACTGACCTCCCCCAGCGCACTGGTGTCGAATTCCCCTTCGTCGACATGCTCAACGACAACCAAACCTCCTTCAAATGGGCGCCCTCGCTCCTCATGACCTCCAACCACGACATCGCCCTCAAAGGCGCCATGGACTACGGCACCACGACCTTCGCCGCCAAATTCGAACCCAGCTGCGACGCCTACCGTCACGTCCCCAACGCCACAGACCCCGGAACCACCTTCTTCAGCGCCATCAGCTCCGACCCCGGCGCTGCATCGCTCTCCACTTTGTTCTCGCCGACAGAAGAGTCACCGTTTCCCCTCAGCTTCTTCCAGAACTTCACGAACCAGCCCACCTTCGCGGACGGGAAGACCTGCGATAATATGATCAGGTTTTTCAATACGTCCGCGACTACGTCCCGTGGAATTGAGGTGGTGAAGGGGACGGTGCGCGCGCATATCCCGCCGTTCGATGCCCCGCATGAGTGGAAGGGCGTGTATGGTCTGCGGATGGGGACTGCATTCGTCGAGAATAACTATCTCCCCTGTGAGAATTTCCGCGGGTACGACGGGTGGGAGTCAAGATGATGGCGGAGAAAACGCGCTCTGGCACTGCAAGAAGCCAGGATGACGAGAAAGTCAAACCACCCACGGGATGGAAGAACAGGAAGAAGAGAAGCGCATATCGAGTCTCCGCAAGTCTTCCATGGAATACCACATCCCATGGACGACCCGACAATCGCGATCGCATTCTAGAGCAAGGAGTTAAGAGACCACAAAACCCGCACGATACGAGCATTTACAGATACCTCGCTTGTCATGTCGTCGTCCGCAAGATACCCAATTTTAGAATAACCACACGGCCGGGCATTTTTTTCGCTTCTAATTAGCATTTGCATATATAGTTCATAGATGCCTTCTTTACGAAGCATCGACCGGAAAAAAATACAGATAATTTCAAGATTCGAACGTGTTTTGCAGATTTTGGTGTTCTGATGACCTGGAGATGTTGGACGATTAGCGATGGTGATCATAATTGTAGGGCTGAAAGTTGTTTCTTTCGGATGGCCGCGATGGATCATTCCTCGATGGCCTGGGATTAGCATGCCGATTCTCCTACGCAGCGAAAGCTCGTTTTGGTTTCTTTTGCGTGCCAATTCTGCTTTCCGCTGACCCCACACGTCAGCACGTATAATAATCGCCGAAGCACACCTTCGGCACTTGACCTCTTTCCCCTCGTTTCACACATCCGCAAACCAAGGATGCCTAACCGCCTGATGAGCACTCATACGCTTGAGCGGACTCAGCGTCATCAACTCCCTCATCAGATCTTTAAACACCTCATCCGTAACCTCCGGCCACTCATCGAACGGCCTGTACGCGTGGTACTCCGCATACCGGTCCTCCCAAAGCATCGACAGCACCGTACAGCTGCGTTCATCGTCGTCGCGAAGAATCGTCATTAACCCATCGAGCTCCTCCTGTGTTCCGAAGTACGACACCTGCCGCTGCAATCGAATCGGGTCAGGTTCTGCGCCCTTCCGCACGTGGTGCTGGAAGTCGTTGTCCAGGCCGAAGAGGACTTTGTTGAGCATGGCATAAACACACTTTATTCATTCATTCATAAGATCCTCTTGCATCCGAAGGTGTTGAAATTTTGCAAGGCACTCACAACAGCGCCGAAAGCGTACATATCAGCGGGCTTGTACACCTCAGCTCTAAAATGCATTTCCGGGCTCCTCCAATTCTCGTTCCCCCTCACAGCGCCGCGGAGGGCTTTACCGGGGGGGATATAAACCGCAGTCTCTAGATCCGTGAGTGCGACGTCGCTGACAACGATACCGTCTTCGCTTTCCTGGTAGTCGATTAAGACGTTACCTGGTTTGACATCTGCGTAGAAGTCACGTTGGAATGTTAGATATCAAGACGTGCATCTAGGCACGACCACGTACCGAGATGTAAAACATCGGCTTCGTGTAGTTGCACGATTCCTTTGAGTGTCGCTTTGAGGATTTGTTTGGTAGCCTTTACGGGGATTGCTTTGTGGACAAGTGAGAGAAGGTCGTTGGTCATGTACTTAAACACCAGGACGTTCTTCTCGGGGATGTGGTCAACGGGGAGTCGTAATTGAGGGGTATCATGAAGTCGTGGCTTTATGTTGGAATTCCAGTTCGACATGAGCTTGGGATGCACGTCTTTGAGGACTTAGTGCTTTTGGTCGTGGCTGGGGGGAGGTTAGTATGTGCAGAGTATCGCTAGATAGAATTGATGAGGGAATAGTACGTGGATACCCATACGCAGCCGGTCTCGGGGCGTATTTGAGGAGGGTTTGCGCGGTGTAGTGGGCTCCGGTTGCGCCTGTCAATTCGACTGGGACTTGTGCTGAAGCACGTCTGGAGAGCGTGCGGCAGAACATGGCGGTTCTTGGGATTGGGGGAAATGAGTGAATGGTTGGTTTTGGTCCGTGGAAAGTTGTGTTGCGTATACTCGATATATCCTATTTGATATTTAGAAATAAGGCTACCTTTAATGAAGCCAAAGTGAAGATTCTCGATCAAATGATATCGAAATGCCCTTCAGCCTCATCTCTTCAAGATAGGATGGGATGTTGAATTGAGGTAGTACATACATGAGGTACTGCAGGCCAAGGCGCTATCCCATTTCCATCTACAGCATACAGTGCCTTGCTTCAAAAGAAAGCAATCCTGAAAAGCTATCCAGCAAAGGTGGTTGTGAGAATGCATGATTACAATGATTCAATTTTGTCGTCATTCCGGGTACGGAAACTTATATGGCATCTTATATTCACCCACTCGAACACACTCACCACTTATAAGAAGTACCAGTAGTCGCTATCCTCCACATCACTCAGCCAACCACCAAAAAGGCATCAACACCCTTTTTCGACTTCCATGTGTAAATCGGACTCGCACTCGCGATCCATTTCCGAACCAGATTATATTTATTTCTATATTAAGCCCCCCAGGACCCAGGACGAAAAACCCGGGGCACACAATACCCAGCGATATTAACTCCCGTATAAGCGAGGTCTCGATAGATGGGACCGCAATATGGCAAACCCGGGCTGCAGCACTTGGGTACTATGAAGAGGGAGGGAATGGAAATGGGATACCACCAATAAATCGAGATGTTGATGGAGCGGTCTGGGGTGCGATGGGGTTTTTAAGGATCTTGGCTTTGGGGATTGGGGGATTTGGGGGTCATGTGGAGGGTTTTGTAGATTGCGGGTGGGAGTATAAGGATGCGATGGCGCCTCGTCTTTCTGATGTATTACTGTGTCGTGTAGAATTTATTATCGTACTTGATTTTTGATACGAGAAGAGCAGGATGAAGCATCTTTCAGCGCTGGTGATAGGCATGGCGGCGCCGCTCGTTGCGGCCCATGGTTTCGTGCAAAATGCTACTATAGGGGGGAAGGAATATGATGTATACACTGCCCTCTATTTCTATGCATTTGAGAAGGCGTGGCTTTGCACTAACACATGAGTAGTTTTACCATCCCTATCAGGACCCTTATATGTCACCTGCAGTATGCCCGGCCGATTATCTTGTTATTAATGACATACTGATGTATTGACAAACACAGCCACCAAGAGTCTCCCGCAAAATTTCCGGCAACGGCCCCGTTGAAGACCTCACGCTGATCGACATGGAATGTGGAGGATGGACTGCGGGAAAGGATGCTGGGTCCGCACCTGCGGCTCTACATGCGCCCGCAGAGGCTGGGAGTACCGTGAATCTGAGGTGGACGCTCTGGCCGGAGAGTCACCAGGGTCCGATCATCACTTACATGGCGAGGTGCCCTGATGAAGGTGAGTCGATTGAAACGCTCGAGCCGGATTCCCTGCGGATTTGTTCTGTACAGCTATCATTTTATGAGCATGTGCGCTGATTCATACGGCACAAACAGGATGCCAGAGCTGGACCCCCAACGGAACAGCGGTATGGTTCAAGATTGCAGAGGATGGTCTGCACTCCACGAATCCGGATTGGTTGAAGAATGTGTGGGCTGTCACGCCGCTCATATCGTATCCTAATAAGGGCGTCGACTACCAGGTCCCGGAGTGTTTGAAGCCTGGATACTACCTCGTGCGTCATGAGATCATTGCGCTGCATGGCGCATACAACTACCCTGGGGCGCAGTTCTACCCGGGATGCCATCAATTGGAAGTGACCGGAAAAGGGACGAAAGAGGTCAAAGAAGGACTGGTCTCGTTCCCAGGAGCGTACAAAGAGACCGACAAAGGTGTGCTGTACAGCCAGTATGATCAGCTGCCGTATGAGATTCCGGGACCGAAGTTGTTTCAATGTTAAATGTTGATGAGATCCAATGAGTATAAAGAGACTTTGGCCAGCATGTACATATCGAAGATTTCTAGAGAAACAACGTCGTCATTGAGAAGAGTGACTTTTGTGATCATTACGATGGTACTTGTCTCCGACGAGCTGAGGTTTCGAAGAGACCGTCAAAGCCTCGGCCCGTTGATCAAGTCCGGCATGAAATCTAAAACATCTATGAATAAAAGACGCTGATCTACTCTCTTTCAGATTTTGCTTTGAATGGGCGGACTGGAGCATTGGTATTAGCATGGGCCGAGCGGTGGACACTTCGAGGGAGGGGAAATGCAGATTGGTGAAGTGAGCTGGACCGAATAACGCATGATGAATAGCTATCGAGCTGACGACGCTGAATGCTGATTGAGCATGGTTGCTTTGTGAGATATTTTGTGATGCGCGTAGGTGGTCAGGTGTAGTGTCACTCGAAAACAAGCTGGAAGCTAAGGTTCGTCTGAAGTAACCTACGAGATAGATGCGAATATCACGACAAAGATCAAATGACATAAACTTTGCCGAGGTGACTAGCTTGTCCTCGCAGAAGGAACAAACTGTGTAGGTCTATTGTGGCAAACGGGGGTTCGACTTGAGAGAGAAGAGGTATCAAATAGTGAGAGGGCAGCAGCGATCAGCAAGGCTCCGACGTCCAATGTGGCACACGGGTAGGCCCGCCATACATGCAGCATGTGAGAGCCGCTCGTGCTACCTAGGTAGGTCTGCGCGCGCGCAAAGTTATTGTACAAAGTATGGGGAGCCAGCTCGGTAGGCTTTGGGCTGCCACGACTGTAGGTGACACCAGCGGTTAAGGCAGACCGAGTGTGGCGTGCCTGTGCGAGAAAGATTGTTTGAGAGAAGATGGATGATGTGATTGGGAGGACCAGGCGCGAAGGGGTGGCAGTAGGCTCGTACGTTGTCGGACTATGGAGAAAGGTGAAGCAACGGGTTGGACGGAGTAGAGGAGATAATACGAGGAGGAGAGTGGAGGTAACGGCATGCGGATAGGTAACTAGAGAAATGATGATAATATTATTACTGTGTTGGGGTGGAAGAGTGAAAGAGTGAAAGAGTGAAAGTTGAAGGACCGAAAGATGATTTGAGATGGAGGGTTTGAGCAATCTATCCCCAACCCCGCCCCTCGTAGGAACAGGAAATACGCTAGCCGCATCCATCACTCTGAAGCGGGAACACAGGGACAACTGGCTCGTGATTGGTTGTCTATTGCGGGAAGTGTGGCACCGTCTCCGTCTCAGATTATGCTTTCGTGGACTTGTATGGTATTATCTTGAATCCTCCTTTCGCTCTCACCTAGAAAGAGGGGATGAGAAGAGGGATTATTTACCATCTTCAGACACGAACCCTCCCCTGTAGCTACACGGAAGTACGGCCAACTGAGGCTCCAATAGATGTCCTAATCGAGTTCAGCTCTTCGTTCGCTAAACAATGGCGACTACGAAGAGAGAGGGGATAAGAGGATTCACGGAGTAGATCGTGCGTTCTTGAGACTCGCCGTTCGCATACATACCTGGGCCCTGTGGTTACCCGCCCGCCCAATCTGCACCTTCCCTACTCGTTCGGTCGTGCCTACCTTGTAGTTACCTTAGTCTTAGTCTTAGTTGGCCCCTACTGCCGCTTCCCGTTCTCCTCCTCCCCCTCGTCCTCCTCCTTCACCCACTCGTGCTCCCACAACTCACAACATCGTGAACCTCTCCAGACGCCGTGCGCTCTGCTTTCCTCCAGTCGCTCCTTTGCATCCCAATAACCCCCAATTACCTGTTCGTATTCCGCTTGTTCCTTTGTCGCCGCACAATAGCGCGCGCGCTGCACTCATTCATTCCCTTTGAGCGCGTCCGGATTCCAATTGTTCCGCCACCACAAGACTCTGTATTCTCCTTGAAAACAATAGGCCACGAAAAGGTCACAATAAGCTCCAGGAAGAGGAACAACTTATTCAATCCCTCCACTGTTCCTTTGGGATATATCTTCCGGCTCCTGTCACGGCTCGATCAAAATCCGCCGACCGCCTCGCTGTCGAAACATTCGCAGCATTGCGACACCTCAAACACTTGACGCCCCATATCTGCCTCTCCCCGTAATGCGCACGGTTTGACGTATCCAATTCCTGCTTCCACCGGAATTCCGAACGACATACGCTTGGACGCTTCTTGCGCTCTTCCCACGGCCTCCTGTCGCCAGCCTTCCTTCACCTCGCTCACCATCAAAACCATCGGCGCCCCCGGTCACTCTTTCACCAGCTGCTCGCTAGTGGTGCGCAGCCGGACTGTCACCACCACCTCTATCGACAATCGTCTTCGCCCAAGGTCGATCTTCAAGCCAGGACTCACATCCTCTCCATCGCCTTGAATTCTCATACGGGCCTGTCTACATGTCATAGCTACCGCTCAAGTCACTCTTTACACCCACAGCTGGACTGCAAGGAGACTGCCGTTGACCGGACCATTCGATCCCTCATTCCATTCTCTTTCAAACCAATACTACACTAATACTCCCTCTCACAACTATCTTCAATCATGGGTTGCGGCGGTGATCGTGAGAAAGGTCTCACCGTTGCTGAAGAGCAGAAGTGGGACTACATTGTAAGTTCTATCCAGCCTCGTCATCTCTGATAACGAGTTGAATGTATATGTACTGACTCGAGCAATTGCAGACGCTCTCCGACTTCAAATCCACGTCCTGCCTCACTCCCCTATCCTACGTCTGGCTGTGGATCCTCATCCTCGTCTCCGTCGCTGTCTACGCCGCCGATGCCTTCACGGCCATCAACCTGCTAGCCTTCAATAAATGGTCCAGTCAAGTCCGACCCAAAGTCAGCTTCGACGTTGCTAAATGGATCTTTGCCATCTGTATCATCATATCATACGTCTTCCTCATCTACAGGTGGATCAGGGCTGTCCGTGTCATTCGCTCCGGCAGTGTCACGGAATGCTACTTGGAACCGCTTGCTGCCATTATGCAGAGTATGCGCATGGGCAAGAACGGCCAGGGATGGAGGAGGTTCCTCGTCTTTGCCGAATTGACAAAGAGCAGGAAGGGCGTTGACTATATCGCTCTCTTCGTCTATTTCCAATTCAAAGGTACGTGCATTATGAGCATTCATTGCACTTGATGCTCACAAAAGAGACAGGCGCATTGATCATTATACTCGCCCAAGGCCCCCGAATTGCTATCAACGCCCTGACGCTGTGGGCTGTTATGGAAGCACAAATCATTCCCACTGGAGATCACGCTGCTCCAAAGGACCGCTCTCCTGTCATCCAGTTCTTTGTGAACATCGAGACCATCATCAATGAGGGTAACAAGCAGGAGACCGTCATCTACTTCACTATGTTGTTCTCCCTTGTCATCTGGGTCATTGCTTTCCTTTCCCTCTTCCTTTCCCTCATCTTCTATGTCTTCTTCCTCTGGCACTACGTTCCTAGTTCCGATGGAACCTTGACAAACTACTGCCGAAGGATCATCGAATCACGTCTAGAGCTTATCGTGAACAAGAAAGTCAAGAAGGCGCTTGAGAAGCAAGACCAAAAACGCAGGAAGGACGAACAACGTGCGATCAAGAAGGGCGACCTCGATGCACCATCTCTACGCGCGCCGACTCTGCCAAAACTTGGTGGCCCCGATGATGATACCGCATCCGTTTTTTCGATGAGCACTACTACCACGCTTCCTCCCTACGCCCCTAACGGACCGACGAGATCCAACACCATGAGCAGTTCGAACACCGTCGGTACTGCTCGTTCCATGCAGAAACCTACGCTACCATCTCTGAACGAACGCCCTATTCCTGGACGCAATGATACCGATACAAGCTACGCTTCCAATGCGCCCCTCTTGACACAGGCCGAGAGCATGGGAATGGCCTCTCCTATCCCTCCTCTACCCCCTCTCGACCAGAATGGAGACTACATGAACAGTCGGCCAATGCCTGGAGGTCTTCCGTCACGCCCGTACTCGCCAATGACCCAAGGCCGCGGATCTCCAGCCCCTCGTCAACCACGAAGCGCTCTTCCTCCAGTGAACACCTCCTATGGCAACGGCCCCATGTCGCCCCAAAACGGTCCTGGAAGAGTCCTCTCCCCCAACCAAGCATACCCCCCTCGCGGACATGGCCCTTCAGGACTTGGTGATCCAACATTTTCTCCCTACGAGGGTCGAGGCCAGGCGATGGGTGCTGAGTATGAGCTCTCTCCTGTCGACATGACCCCGAGTGATTACATGGCTCCACAGCTGCCGAATGCGCTGCGACCTGGTTCGCCTGCTATGTCCACCAGCAGCGTTGGTTCGGCAGTGCCTCCTCGAGTCGGTACTGCGGGTCCGCCCAACGCTCGTCCTGGCCTTCCTGCCTCGCTTCAGTCCGCCATCCAGCGCCGTGAAGCGTCACAGCCGATTCCAAATCGGGGACCGAACGGCTACGTTGGCCAGCAGCGAAGCGCTACCGCTCCCATTCCACCACAGGGATATGGTCAAGGACCTGCTCCTCGTAGCAATACCACAACTCCCGGGGCGGGACCGCGTGGATATAACAACCAGTACGGCGGCAACGGGTGGTAAATCTGTATATTTTGGATGGGCAGTAGACGAGTGATGAATGAATTGTTTTGTGATACCCTCGAAAGTGTATCTCGTCTTTGACCATAGAAGAGGAGCGCGATTGTCCTAAGTCATAATTAGGACTGATCAACCTCTTCGTGTGCTCTGGATATTTCCTCGGGTTTTCGTTTGTCTGATTTCTTTTTGTTTGCCTGCCGAGGTCGAGTTTCCGGCATTTATGCATTTATGAGGCGTTGATTTTCCTACTTTCTCACTCCAGATATCCTGGAAAAGGTTCCAACACCCTTTCCCAAGATGTCCGTACGTCTGTCCCGTCCGGTCGATGCTTGGGACACGCCCTTCTCTACGCTTCAAACCAGGCCCTCGAATACGAGGCCCGAATAGGGAGGAAGAAAGGGATTACTGAATGTACAACCACTACTGACTGACGTTCACATCTTTCGACGGGCTTGACGGTTTTTACACGGGGACGGCGGATCGATTGATTGATGAACTAAATACTTTACACTACTTTACACTTAGCAATCATATCCACGGACAAACGACGGTGGTCGTGGATGCGAATAAATATGATTACAATTACAATTGCACTCGGCTTTTCTTGGTGATTGAGATTCGAACGAGGCCGCTAATAAACCACCCTCGTGCCTCCTCGTGAATGGCATAGTATGATTCATTCCGAGACAGAAGGGAAGTGAAGTCGAGCGAAGAAAACCCAATTTTCACAGAATCGTTCACGTCTTCATTCTCGAGACGTCTGCAGCCGTAGGCGTGGTGAGCGCCTGACTGGCCAATCGACCCAATCCATCGCACTCCATTCCCACACTTGCCTTGCTCCTGGCATCACGTATGACATCGTACAGTACGAACAGCCTGGACAGATAAACAGCAAGGAAAACTCAGTACAGGCAGACGCAGTTGTCGCCCGCCCATGCACGCAAACAACCCCAGACTCCTCACCAAACCGTGCTTGTATCGCCCAAATCTGCTTGTAGTAGACCTCGATCGTTCTCCTCACAGAGGTTGACGACCAAGTGGCCTGCTTGCTTACTTCGTTATCGATAGGCACCGTGCTTATTTTACGGGGGACGGGACGGTATCGTCTCGCGCGAAAGTGTGCGGGTTATCGATAGGCGTATGCACTGAGTGTAGGTGGGACTAGCTGAGATTTACGCCCTGCGGGTTGCGGGAGGATCACGGATCACGGATCACGGATCACGGATGCAGCACAGACGGGAGTGAGATTCGTGTATGTGTGTGTGAACGGGAGTGATGGATGGAATGGGAGGGTTGTTGAGTGAATAGGATGGGTTTGCCTGTTGTGTTTTGTGGATTGGGAAGGTGGATTGAATGTGTGTTGAGAGCTGAGACGGGTGCGAGATTGAACAGTGTAGAGCAGACAGACACGGCAGATTAGCTGAGTGTGAGTACAGAGTGCTCCGTAGATTGTGGTGAACAGTTGGTTGTAGTTAGTGACCATTGGTTGGGAAGATTGAAGCATATCGATACGAGACGAGCAGCAGATGACGCGTACGGTTACAGTCAACGATGTGATACCTTTGAATTCCTGCAGTCATCAATTCAACAGATAGTCAGTCGAGAGAACGAGCATTCACTCGGGGTTTCTTCGTATGTGAGTAAGCTGTTGTGGACTGTTGGATAATCGTGCTCGTTCTCGTCTGCAATGCCGGATGGCTGGCTGAAGAATTCTTCGATGCGCATTTTCGCCCAACCTTCTCTCATTTGTTGTCGCGGGAGAAGGAAAAATGCTACCTGCCGTGACTGCAGTAGTGCATGTGAATGTGTAATTCAACACGACCACGATGTTAACTAATTTACAATTTGAATTATGGTAGAAGGCGCAAATTGGGGTTGTGACCATTTCATGTGGGCTTGACGTTGGTTTAGACTGGGTTTTTCTCGGCGGCGAAAAGGCGTTTTTCCTTTGCGGGCAGAAGACCCACTCGGACCGATGACCGAACACATGGCTAGCTATCGTAGCTCCGGCCTCTTGCGAGCGATTGCGATTTCGGGAAGGTAGACGGGCGAAAAAGGCAGACGAAAAAAAAAGGTCAAGAAATTCTTTACCGTTCCTGCAATTGTGATTGGACGGGTGCAGGGTGGAATTGTGGAAAAGGACCCACGGGAAGGATGAAAAACGTTCTGGATAGCTATCGTGTTATCGTGCAATGGCCGTTGACTAGATGCCCAGAGTGGAGCGGACGGCAGTGGATCTTTTGACAGTCAGGCAGCTATGATAACGTATAACGTCTACTATCGGTAAGATACCGGTAGAGTGCCCCATAGCAGAGCAGGCGGCAGTCTAGTACACGTAGGAAGAGTAGCGAGAATGGTCTTGTCGTTCCGGAGCAAGCGTTCACTCCGGGGACATGGCAATAGGCTAGAAGCAGCCATGGACTGGCAGAGAGGGTCTTCGCAGCAGGACGAACAGGATCGCAACACGTCGCAACCATGGTTCTGACCAAGGACGATGTGATGACTTTGCTGCCGGCACGGCGTCCTGGACTGATGAGCACTTGCATTTGCACTTGCACTTAGAATGATGGATGAGTGGATGGGTCGCGAAGCGAGCATCTAGCGAATGGCGGATGTGCCTGTTCGTAACCGTTCCTGTTCCTGACCTGACCCGACTGGTGGGTTACTGCAGGTACACCGGAGACGAATCAAGGAAACAAGACATGGTCACCAATTGTAGGGTGTGGACGGAGTATCGCGATCAGTCACTCCCTTGCGCGCGCAGCCACGTTGCGATAGGATAGGTCTCTTCCTTATCGCCGGGAGCTTTGTTTTCCTTGCTTTGCCTTGTCACAGGGCTGCGGTGAATGGATACAAAAATGGCGCATCTGATGGGCTGCATGTATGCAAGCAAGCATCAAGGATGACCATAAGAGGAGAAAAAGAGAAGCAAGAATTGCAGAGAGGGCGCATGAGAAGGTGGAATGTGTGCGTCACCATGCGTGCGACGATGCAGTAGTCATATGGTTGAGTAGGTAGTTGAGGAGCTGATGTTGCATTATGTTGGATTGATAGTTATTCGCTGTAGCATCAGAGATTTCTCGAAGTTTTTCGAAGGTGGCGAGCGGAAGCCGATATGATTGATCGGTTTGGCGGGGAACGAAGTTGCTAGAAAGTAGCAAAGAAGAAGTACGAGCAGTGGGAAGAGGCAAAGGCGACGGTCGGGTGAATGTGGAGTGTCGAAGGATGGATAGTAAGTTAGTGATGAAGGCTGAGTGAAGGAATGAATAATGGATGAGATGTTCTGGAAGAGTCAGGACTCTGACTAGGAAGGAAATGGGAAGGAGACTGGGAAGGGAAGGGGCGATCCACATGGACAGTGGCGATTGGATCGGAGAAATCTAGGCATCGCGACATGGCCAATGAGGAAGAGCCGCTAAGAAAAGGAAGAATTCCCCACTTGGGACGCCCATCGCAATTGCGCGGCCTGAATCCACTTGGATTCCTAATTAATTTAATCTTCTCATCCATGATTCCATACTATTTTATTACAGTATTACTGACTGAGTGCAGACCGGAAATAATTCATGTGCAGGTGAGGCGAGGGTTGATGGAAACAATCCTTGGTAGGAATAAGGCACTCCGTGTGTTATGTTTAGGTAGGTAGATGCAGTCATGAGTGAGACTGCACTCTGTAACCAAAATAACAGTGGAAACTCTACGTCAGCGGTGCATACTTACTTGTATGGGGTGGGCGGGTAAATGGGTGGAGGGAACGGTGAGCATGATTTGGTGTCACGGCACGGTTACTGTTAGGGTTACGGTATGGGCGACACAACAGTTGAAGGGTAGGAGTAGGTGACTACGGAGTACAAGATAATACTATTGTTGTTGTCGGGGGCAAGAAGAAGAAGAAATTGAAGAAGAAATTAGATGGAGACGGCGAGATGAGTGTTTCCATGGTTGAAGAGACTGACTGGCACATGGAAGGAGACCAGACACATGGAAGAAACAGGCAAAACTCAGGAACAAGTGACTACCAACCCAACCCAGGAACACCAATCAGAGGTCGACTGTACCTGGTGGATCAATTGGCCTCCCACCCTATCGTTCCCACTCCTGATTGGCTGCAACCCGGAGATTACGACCAACGAATCCATCATTTACCACCTCAGCAGTCTACTACCAAGTAATTTAATCATTACACAAAGGCATAGATACAACACAAGAAAGGACAATGACACAATGAATACACAAACACAGCCTTTCATCATGGACTGCGCATGGGTCAGAGACAAGGAAAGGTTCACGGACAATAGGCACAAACACAACAGACAAGATAGGCATGGACAGGGGCCTTTCAACAATTATTCATCCTCCCGTCGTCTCATGGGTGTTGGGGGGGGGGATGGATGGGGGAAACGGGAGATGAGCTGCCACCCCGTTCCCTCCATCCCCTTCAGCAAGCAGTCTAAACACTTCAAGCCCGGCGCCATCGCTGGCTCGCTCACCGTGACTAGACGTAGTTTGACGACGGAGGGGACGGCGTCGTGTCGTCGTGTCGTCGTCGTCTTGGTCACTGGGATTTGTGCGCACTCGTGTATTCGTGGTTGCATGGTTGCGTGGCTGCATTCGTGTCTTGGTGGTCGACGAAGCGTGGGCGGCGGTGGTGTGTGTGTGTGTGAGTTGGTTGGTGCTGTGCCCCTAGTAGTGGTTAGGCCTGGGCTTGATCTACACACAGTAAACCTCCCGTGCCTGCCAACCTACCACAGTCCCTACCACAGACTTACTGTGGGTTCCCTTTTTCCATCCCCCGTTCCCCGGCTCTCCTTCTCCCTTCTCTCTCCCCTTCACTTCACCACCACCACCACCACCACCACCACCACACTAGGTCGATTGTTGTTATATCACCTCCCACGCTCCCTCACCCTCACTCTCTCTTCCTTCAATCCAACAATCCCCGCGTTCACTCTTTCACGCGAGTCTTGGTCATTGTCGGAGTCACTCCTTTATTCAAACAATAGTCGTTCACTACTCACACTCGAAACAATCAATCAATACCCAAAGGCACATAGACCTTTCGCCGTCCTTATCAACGATATCCCTCATACCTGCATCTTCGGCAGCTTTTTGAAATCGAACATCGAATTCACAACCGTACATCCAACATGCGTTTTACTTCTGCTGCGGTGCTGAGCACCCTCGCTGTCGGCCAGGCCGCCGCTGCCAACATCCGTCACGCCAGCTTCCACGCCCGCCGTGCTGTGTAGGTCACCTCCTATCACTCCCAAGCCACCATCATGCTCAGACTCATGATCGCATTTCTGTTTTGCGCACCCTGACTAACCCTTTTCCCACAGTGAGAAGCGCGAGGACAAGCCCGTCGACTGGGCCAGCGTCACCTACGACCTCAAGAACGTCGATTGGTCCAAGGTCAACTGGAACAGCGTCTTCAGCTCTTCGGCCACTCCCTCCTCCACTCCCCCTCCCAAGGTCGAGGAGGTCAAGGTCGAGGCTGTCTCTACCCCGACTCCCACCCCGACTCCTACTCCCTCCTCCACCTCGGCCGCTCCTGCTGAGAAGACCGAGAAGCCCAACGTCGTCGAGCACATCACCAACGACATCCTGAGCGGCCTCGACTCCTTCCTCTCCAAGCTCGGCATCTCCCAGAAGGGTGCCAACTCCTATGAGCCCAACGGTGGCATCTGGCTCGGCGACAGCGACTGGTCTGCCGAGTTCACCAACGGCGGCAGCAAGGACGTGAAGCTCTTCTGCTGGAAGGCCAACGGCTTCTCTGGCATGTCCCTCAACGTCAACCAGCCCGCCATCTCCATCAACCTCGCCCCCGGCGCCTCCCAGAACGTCTCCTTCGCCGAGGGCGTTCCCTCCTCTTGCGCTCCTGCCGACGACAGCACCTCGCTTGCCATGTTCGGTGGTATCCAGAACACCTGGTGGGAGGTCACCTTCGGCTCCACCGGTGCCTTCGATGTCAGCCGCAACGTCTGGATGCAGGGTACCAACATCCACTCCCAGGGCTCCAAGTGCACTTCTGACATGGACACCTGCGTCTTCAAGTGCAAGGACGAGAGCGCTCAATCTTGCGAGAAGGGCTACGAGCTGTACAACTGCGACGCCGGCAACGGTGGCGGCGGTGGCTACGACCCCATCATGGACGGCACGGGCGGTGGCTGCTCCATGGGCTCCTCCGGCGAGCACGTCAAGGTCACCTTCTCCTAGACGCACATTTCTCAATTCGTTCCTTTTCACTGGGTTCTGGGAGGTCGGAGTTGCGCGCACCATACATACACACTTTGTCCATATTTACCATTCTCGGGGGGGGATGCTAGCCCGTTCGTCACCGTTTCCAGCCCGCTGCTTATATGCTTCCGAACATACCTATCGAGATACCCCTGTACCGGACGATTCCCTTTGCTAGAGGGGTGGGGTTGAGCATCTAGCCATCCATTGCGTTGGATGCATCCGATGCTGGTGGTGATTATGATGATGGATTCGGCGACCAATGGGTTCACCATTGCTATCGTCCCATTTGACTCAATGTATATCTTGTTTAACTGTCTAAAGTCGATGGAATCTAAAAGTTCATAACACGTACTGTCCTCATGCTTGACTGTGAATGTGTTTAATCTACTGTGCATTACGTATCCCATCGTGTCTTCGTTTGTTTTCGTTCAGGTTCGTCTACCTAACTAACCTCACCCTCAAATGAGAGATAGCCAGTCTATCCTATCGTTCGTTCATAGCCATGACCAACAACCCACGAATCTCCCATCACACATCTACTGTGTGTCATGCCATCTGGACCCAACTAATCAACCAATGAACAACACTCCAAGTCTCCAAGGACAATCTCTTTGTTCGTCACCTCTCCTCTCCACCTTCCCTTCCCTACCTAGACCCTCTCCCTCCATCCATCCAGAACGTTCGACAAAGTTCGACAAACAAAGAACACACGCACACGCTACGTTTCACCTCCCACCACCTCCCACCACCTCCCACCACCTCTAATCCACAGAAGCCATCCAACTTTATTTCTCTTTCAGCTTTTCAACCACTCCTTAGGCCAGTGTTTCATCTTCCCGCGTGTCGTTGCGTTTCTGAAAGACGGCGGGCGCTTAGATGCGCTGGGCTGGGCTGGGCTGGGCTGGGCTACTGGGGGTGTTTCAGCCTCGTGATGTTTCGTGATTTCTTTGTTTCGTTTGTTTGCGCGGGTGGTGATGTCGTTGGTTCTCTTTCGTCTTCTTGGGGTTTCCTGGTCTTCCTTGAAAGAGGTGGTCCAGTCGTTAGGTTGTAAGAGTCGTACAGTCGTTTACTACAGCTGAAATCGTAGGAATGTCTTTCATACACGATACACGATCCGCAGATCGCGACATCGCCTCCGGCTCCAGTGGTGCGGTACGTGGGTGGGTGAGTGGTTGGCGCTGGACTTTAATCGCTGTGTGAGTGTCGGGATGTGCGTGCTTTGTTTGCAGTTTCCTGGTCGATGACGCTCACTCTGAAGTTTGAATGGTGAGGTTTGCGCTGGTGAACCCCTGTCCTGTCATGCTTGAAAGACTATCCCATAGCCCTCACAGCCGATTGAGCGTGTATCCGTCCCGAGCGAACATCCATTCACCCCCCATCCATAATCTGCAGCACAGTCGAGTTCTTCACCGTGCACGTCTCCCGGCCGCGACACCCCAGCGCCGCGCGGATCGCCTCGTCGTCTGCGTTTCCATCGCCGCCGCGCATCTGCGCGATGATGACGGCTGCGGCTTCGCAGGAGATGTTGAGGCCTGAGGAGGTGGAGGTGGTTGTGATGGTGGTGGTGGAGGGGGCAGGTGGAGGGGGGCAGAAGCATGTTAGTGTTGTTGGGCAGTCTTCTGGTGATGGGTCGGTGGAGGTGGTCGGTGGTGAAGAGGGTTGTGGTGGTGCATTATGAGGGACTGGAGCCGCGATGTCGTTACTTTGTGGTTCTGGTGTACGTCGAGACTGGACATCCGTACTCGAACGACCACAACCATGTCGACTTTGAACTTGATACCCACCCTCTGCACCCCCTTCCAACCCACTCCCCTCCACTCCAATCCCCCTATGCTGAACCCCCGTCGCACATCTTTCCCGTGACACAACATCCATCCCCACATCACCATCACCATCCTCACCCGCCCTCAACCAAGCCTCCACTTCCTCAGCCCCAACCCCCCGCATCGCCAGCAGCGCGCGCAATCTCACATTGTCCCGCGACACCTTGCGCGCCGCCTGCTGCATCTCCAGCGTCGCGGCCACGCCCTGGCGCTCAAACTCCTGCACGCGCTGCTGGAGGCTCTGCAGGTGCGCGGCGCGGCGGGACCGCGAGCGCCGCTGGTTGTCGCGGATGCGTGTTGCGGAGGATGGATCTTTGGACTGGGAATCCCTAGGTTAGCTATTGGTGAGGGATGGAGGGGATTTGGGGGGACGGACCTTTTGTGACATTATTGTGGCATTGTGGAGGGAGTGGGAGGGGGTTTGTGGTATGTATGGTATGGTTTTTGTGGTGGGAATGGAAGGATGCTGGTGATCTTGGCATGTTTGCCACCCTTCGTCGCCGCGGTTTTGGAGTGCTCGTGTAGAGCTTCCTGCTGAGCCGCCTCAAGACGAGAAGACCATTGGGATTTTGTGTTTGAAAGTTGCAGTTTAGAGTATGACATCCCTCCGTGCGTGGCAAGACACCGTGTATGCTGAGATAGATAAAAGGTACTTCAAGTTTTCGTAACTATAAAACTTATACGGAGGAATGCAAAGGTACTGTAGGTTACCATATTTACGCTCTATACTGTAATACAGTGCAACAATACGTTACCAGCTCTACTCTAGTAGGGCCAGCTAGTGTTACTGCCAATACCTTGAAATTCCTTCTCTGTATACTATATACATAGAACAGTTATTTTATGATAAGTAACGTAACTGTAGATGTTGCTCTCTTCGCCAAGTTGAAGCTGTTCCCGGTCTAACTCATCTTACATCTTAAGAGACAATCACCCAAAGCCGTATCAATGAACAACATACAAACGTGGACAAAGTAATAGTTACACAACAGGCTGAAAATGCCTGAGTGGCGTCGTGGCGATGCTGTCTCCTCTCCATTTCGATTTCAGCCTTATCATCTGCCTCGCTCTACACTGCCCATCAGCACAGCAACAATAAATGTCTGTCCTGGGCCTTCTACCTTTTTTCTCATATTTCCAACCGATCAGGCCGTCTGTGGAGCATCCAAAATGTCTAACATCTGTACGCTGGATGGCAACGCTGACCTCTACGGACGAGGTGTTCGGGTTGGATACTACCTCCAATGGTATGCCGGCATTCTTGCAACATGGATATGTCCCAGCGAGGTCCCGAAGATACGCATCGCCAACACCTTTTTCACCTCGGCAGTATTCATCGCCCTACTAGTACAAATTAGCAGATCTACCACATTCGAAGTCATCGACATCTACATCACCATGCTGTTCACTTTCGGGTGGGCTGTTACCGGGCTGGTCGTTCTGCTCTGGCGCATCGCTACCGGTTTTGATGTACGCTGGGATCCGAGCCTCTACCACAGGAACAAGCTTACAACGGGTCATCTATTCCAATCTTACTATCCCCTCTTTCTAAATGTGGTGTTCGTATTCCAGATATGGTTTTGGACGACGAAGCTTGGTGCGACCGACCTACAGGATTGTCCACGGAACGGCTTCTTGTTTGTGAAGATCGCTCTCAACAACAGATGGTTTAGAGCGCTGAATGCATCTATCTACGTTCTGTTGCTTGCCCTGACGACCCTCTTCCTGGTCGCGAATTTCAAACCCATCGCTGCGGTTGGCGGCTCTGGAATCTACAACCGCTTGACCCAGACGAGAAGGTAGGAAGGACAATTCCATTGCTCTTCAGTAAAGAAGTCTCGCCAGCCACTCACTCGCTTACATGATCCGGAGACGTCGGTTCATGTTCATATATCATGTTATTCTATGCTGACATTGTGGCAGCGTTTCTGCATCCCTCGCCATGTCCTACTATATATTCAACACACTTGCCGATCTCTTCGTCGCAACCACGATTCTGATTGGCACGGAGCTCTCGATTCGCTGGAACAACATCACCGGTGTATCATCCATAACTAGCCCAGGGCAACTGATCCCTTTGCTGATTGGAATTGCCTGTGCTATAAGAGTCCTATATGGCGGTGGGAGAAGGCTCTTTAACAAAACCCGACTCACCATTCCAGGGGTTCTGGGGCCCTCCACCCACGATCCCGACGAGAACATGCAGGATCAAACCAACGGTCCACCAGGCTCACACAATGATGAACCTGCTCCACTCGAACTTACCGCAGCCTCAACGCCATTGCAGGGCCCTGATATAGCGTTGCAACACTTAGAATTTCCACAATTGCTTCTCAATTCTTTCGGTCCACCTCCAACAGCATTGCAGGACCCTGATATTCCGACGCAACACTTAGAATTTCCACAAGAGCCTCCAACAGCATTGCAGGACCCTGATATTCCGATGCAACACTTAGAATTTCCACAAGAGCCTTCCGATTTTTACAATCTATTCACGCCACACCCTTCCTCTCAATCTGTGCCCCGGACCGTCCGCCGCGCTACTTCGACATCAACGTCAATCTCACCCACGTCCCAGCAGCAGCCAAGCCTGACCCCGAGAACCTCGAAGAAGGTCACTGTTATTGGCAGTTACGGCGGCGGCAATTCGGTCTACTACGGTGGCGGCGGCGGAGGCGGGCCGCGCGATGGCGGGTAGGGTAGGACTCCTGTGCGCTTCAAGCTCACGCTCACCTCACCTCACCGCGGTTCTCAAAAGATCGTACAATAAAAGACGAGAAGAGAAATTGGATTTCCGCTTTTTGTTCTGAATACAGACTCTACTTGATAAGAGACGGGTAAGATATGCGTTTGAACGAGCGGATCCCTCCGAGTCGTGTTAGGCACCCTTTTTTTTTCGATGACCGGCGGTGCCAACGGCGTTGCGTTACTAAGGTGGAGTGAAATATGATGGTGTGTAGCTGTGATGCGAAAGAATTGACGTAGACATAGTCGAAGTTGTACGATGGCTGTGTTGAAAGCCGATTGCTGTTTTGATGATAGACGCACAGAGCATCAACCTTGCTCCGAACCTAGAGTTTGGATTTTATGATGGTCTAAGCCCTTAGCAAAGGTACAGTATAGACACAGGTCTAGTAATTAGCATGATATTTATATATAATTGATAAGATAAGATGTATAAAGTTATCAAAGTTATGGTACCTCTTATTTATCTTAGCACAGAGGGCATCTTGCTATGAAGGGACAGACGTTACAACATTGTTTATCTAGGTAGCTTTCAGTAGTTTCACGAAGATCACATTCAATCACCATGTCACGACAACGAACGACTTGTTTGAATAATTTTCATTTCGGAATACCTTTAAAAGACTCCAATCGTAACCACCCAGTTTCAAGTAAAGTCTACGCCTGCAACCTGTTGATGTTGTTTTGCGGTATATTGATACACGACCCTCCCCCATAACATTTCATTTCAAAGGGTCGGCTGGGTAATTGGGGCTCATGATGCTGGGGTAATATGTTTGTTTATGTCTGTTTCTTCGAACCTTTTTCCTTTTATAATGCACACGTCGGTCGTTGGCTAAGTCTAATGCTTACAACTCGTCGTGGCCGGCATCATCGCCTTCGTTGTCGTAGTCAGGCATGCCTCCAGCTCCGGACTGGCCGTAGAGCTTAGAAGTGATGGGGTAGGCGACGCCAGACAACTTCTCAAACTGCTCGTCAAAGTCCTCGTTGGTTGCGGCGGCGGCGTTCTCCTCGAGCCAGTCCTGGGTCTCCTTGATGGCCTCGAGGAGAGACTCCTTGTCGTCATCCTCGACCTTGCCACCGAGTCCCTCGTCGTCGTTGAGCTGGTTCTTCAAGCTGTAGGCGTAGTTCTCGAGCTTGTTGCGGGCCTCGATGCGCTCCCTGGTGGCCTTGTCCTCTTCGGCATACTTCTCGGCCTCCTCAACCATGCGGTCAATCTCATCCTGGGTGAGACGGCCCTTGTCGTTGGTGATAGTGATAGACTCGCTCTTGCCAGTGCCCTTGTCAACAGCACCGACCTTGAGGATACCGTTGGCATCAAGCTCGAAGGTGACCTCGATCTGAGGAACGCCACGGGGTGCCGGGGGGATGTTGGTGAGCTCGAACTTTCCAAGCAAGTTGCTGTGGAGATAATTAGTATCGTGAAACGAAGAGAAAGTGTAGAAAACTTACTTGTCCTTTGTCATGGAACGCTCGCCCTCGAAGACCTGGATAAGGACGACGGGCTGGTTGTCGGCGGCGGTGGAGAAGATCTGGCTCTTCCTGGTGGGGATGTTGGTACCACGCTTGATCAAGTGGGTCATGACTCCACCGGTGGTCTCGATACCGAGGGTGAGCGGGTTGACATCCATGAGGATGATCTCAGTGGTAGCTTCGTCACCAGCGAGAACACCACCCTGAACGGCGGCACCGAAAGCAACAGCCTCATCGGGGTTGACGTCCTTACGGGCCTTCTTGCCAAAGTACTCCTCGAGCATCTGCTGGACCTTGGGGATACGGGTGGAACCACCAACGAGGACGATGTCGTCAATGTCAGACTTCTTCATCTTGGCATCCTTGAGGACCTGCTCGACGGGCTTGAGAGTCTTCTTGAAGAGGTCGTTGTTGAGCTCCTCGAACTTGGCGCGGGTAAGAGTCTCAGAGAAATCCTCGCCCTTGTGGAAGGACTCGATCTCAATCTTAGCGGTCTTCTGGGCGGAGAGGGTACGCTTGGCCTTCTCGACCTCGCGCTTCAGTTTACCCATAGTCTTAGCGTCCTTGGTGATGTCAACGCTCTTCTCCTTGTCTGTTGGAATGTTAGCTCGGTTCAGAGAATGTCGAAATCTGTCGGCACTTACTGTACTTCTTGGCGAAGTAGTTGATGACACGGTTATCGAAATCTTCACCACCGAGATGGGTATCACCGGCAGTAGACTGGACCTCGAAAACACCCTCCTCAATGGTGAGGATGGACACATCGAAAGTACCACCACCAAGATCGTAGACGATAACCTGGCGCTCCTTCTGGTCGGTCTTATCAAGACCATAGGCCAACGCGGCTGCGGTAGGCTCGTTAACGACACGGAGGACGTTAAGACCGGCGATAGTACCAGCGTCCTTGGTGGCGGCACGCTGGGCGTCGTTGAAGTAGGCGGGGACGGTGACGACGGCGTTCTTGACGGTCTCTCCGAGATAGCTCTCAGCGACTTCCTGTAATATTGTTAGCATGTGCTTGGTGCAATGACGGACGTCTGGAAACACGTACCTTCATCTTGCCGAGAACCATGGCGGAAACCTCCTCGGGGGTGAAGGTCTTCTCGCTGCCCTGGACATCAACCTTGACGTTGGGCTGGCCGTTCTTGTTGATGACCTTGAAGGGGAAGTGCTTGATATCATTCTGGACCTCCTTCTCGTTGAACTTGCGTCCAATGAGACGCTTGATGTCGAAGATGGTTCGGTGGGGGTTGCTGGCGTATTGATTCTTTGCGGCGTCACCGACAAGGCGTTCCTCATCCGTGAAAGCGACCCAAGAGGGAGTGATACGGTTACCCTGCACGTGGTGTTAGTGTTGCTGTGTGGAACCGGTCATGCAATTGGCTGCTTCTTACCTGGTCGTTGACCATGATCTCGACCTTTCCGTTCTTCATGACACCGACGCAAGAGTAGGTAGTTCCCAAATCGATTCCGATGACGGGTCCAGAGACGGTGTTACCCGAATCATCCTTCAACGGTGCCTGCTCAGCTCGGGCTGGTCGCGCGAGCATCAAGCCGCCGACGAGGACGAGGAGAAGGTAGAGGGCGATGGACCATGTTGAGCGCTGGCCGGCGCTGCTCCTTGACCTCCGCGCCATTGTGTGAAATGTGCGGTGAGTGTCGGGAGAGAGGTGGAGGGAAAGTGTGTGTCGGAAAAGGCTCTCAGAGCGGTGCACAGCAGATGTAGAGTTCTTCCCAATTAGATATGAAGAGGAAAGAAAAGAGAAAGATAAAAGCTGCTCAGATTGAGCTACGCTGAGGAAGGCGGATTGTCGATTGGGATTCAAGAGGATTTCGGAGCTACGGTGTGGGGGGTCCTTAAATATGTTCTGCTCGCTCAACTTTTGGAAACTCTGTCCTTTGGATTTCTTCCCGAAATGGCTTAGTCGAATCACCCAAGCGCCACCCGCCGTTCACCACCACAATTGCCATACGGACAACAAGCCCCCCAAGAGTCATCATCTGCGGCCTTGGGGTTATTGCTAGAAATTTCCATACTCCTTCCTGTGTGCACTGTGCTGTACATACTAGCGATTCCAGGCACCGGAGCACAGTGGCTGGGATCACCACTCTATTCATCCTGCAGGGGTCCCCACTAGCCAATATGGCAGCTCCATCCTCCAGGACCTGTAAGGAGCAGTAAGTAGCAGGAGCAAGAGGCATCAAATCCCATTCCATGAACTTTAATCAGACTTCTCTTATGGTAAGGTGACTAATTGGTCAAATTACAACTACACTGAATCAAATTTCCGTCTTCAACTTGGAGTTTCGTTCAAGATGCCGCAGAGCTCTATAATCAACCTAATAGTCCCAATGGAATGGTTGCTACAATGAGTGACCTCCATTGTCTCCAAAAGACACACTATGGTTATCGATATAGCTGTGTTACGGCTCACGAGATGATGCCTTGAGACAATCATTCATCGCTCGCCTCACGAGTCTACTGTGTGCTGTCTCAGTGTCTCAAGCTGTCAGTCAGATCCCTGACCCCTCCCCTCCCTCCACTTATCAGACGCCCGTATCGGAGACGGCCTGTGCGCCACGCGAACTTCAGCCTCCTCCGTCACGGTTAGCGCTTCTCATTGAGACAGATCTGTCCTCTACTCGTACCTTCTGCTGACCGCAATAATGCAATTGTACGGTGAATCTGCACGGCAAAGTCACACCTCCGTCGTCGCCTCGCAGCCAATCCAACATTTTGCCGCCTGGACAGTGTGAAATTCTCCGTTCGAACGGTGCGGTTGGAAAGCTGGCCTTATTGGACCGGCCCCTGATCATCAAGACACTTGTTCTCTCTGCGCTTGACTGTTTGGTACAGCCTTTGTTCGCAACAAAGCAATCTCCATGGTCAATAGTAATAATAATGTGGACACGTAGATTTAATTTGACTCACGTCGAGGAGGACTCACCAGCATAATACTAATCAAGAAATAACAATGCACTGGGACCACAGAACATTCGAGTTTACTCATAGCATATGACGATGTTGCCATGGTTCGCTTGTGAGGCGGGTGACCCCATATCAAAGTCGTACTCGGATCACACGCGGTTGTACCGAGGGTAAGGTTCTAGAAGCAAGGCAACTGATACAATCCCCATAAAGGCATCTATAATAGTCCTGCTTGTATTGTCATTTGCTCTGGAATGGTTAACACTAGTCCAATCGTGGAAACACTTGCTTGATAGCGAAGCTTTCTCGAATAAACTCGTACAACATCGAAAGACTTCCATTACACAAGGAAGCGTTTCATACTCAACCCCCAATCCGATGAGCTACGCAAGACGGCAGAATTCGTAGAAGTGTTCTAACGAAGTCGATGAGAGTGAGATTAATGGCTGGTCATAAATGCGTATCATTTGGAGTCTCTATCCCCTATCTATGGAATATCTATGGTATTGATCATCATCCTCCTATCTAGTCTTGCATCTTAAAAAGATTTACTGCGACTTCTTTTGACGTCCGCGAACGCCCCACCTGATCTGGTTTGCCCATCGTGCCTCAACACCAAGCTCGTCAGCCCAAGCCCAGACAAGTCCTGGATTCTTCTGGAATGCTCGTCCAACAAGGACCAGATCGAGGTTTTCGTCCTCAAGGTATCCGTTGGCTTGCTTGCCCTCGGTAATGGATCCCACAGTGCCGACCAAGAGCTTGTCTCCAACCTTGTCCTTGATGGCTTTGGCGAAGGGAACCTGGTAACCCGGCTTGGAGTGGATGTGCTGCTTCTCGTGCAGACCGCCAGAGGACACGTCGATCAAGTCGACTCCCTTGGTAGCGACGATTTCGGCGAGCTTGACGCTCTGGTCGATGGTCCAGCCCTCAATACCGGCTTCAGAAAGCCAATCATCAGCGCTGATTCGGAGAAGAAGGGGCATTGTCTCTGGGATCGTTGCACGGACGATGTCAATGACCTCGAGGAGCAAACGAATGCGGTTCTCGAAAGAGCCACCGTACTCGTCAGTGCGGAAGTTGGAGGCCGGGGACAAGAAAGTGTGGAAGAGGTAGCCGTGAGCACCGTGAATCTCAATAGCATCAAATCCGGCCTTCAACGCGCGCTCCACTGCGGCCTTGAATGCCTTCTTGAACTCAGCGATGTCTTCCCTGGTCATCTCCTTGGGCTGGCAGTGAGTATCGTTGTACCTGACGGCACTGGGTGCCTTGACATTGTCGGGCCATCCGTTCACATCGGTGCCTGCGATGTCACCGCTGCTGAGCCACGGTGCGACTGTGCTTGCCTTGCGGCCAGCGTGTGCGAGCTGAATAGCAATCAACTGGTTCTGAGAATGGGCGAATTCGACAATCTTGCGGAGTGGCTCAATTTGCGAATCCTGCCAGAGTCCCATATCCTCAGGAGTAATGCGACCCTCAGGGACGACGCCAGTTGCTTCCATGATGGTGAGACCAGGGCCTCGCTGGACGATGCCGCCGATGTGAGTTTCATGCCATGGAGTTGCATGGCCGTTTTGAGCAGAGTATTGGCACATGGGTGACACCTGTATAATGATGCGTCAGTGCAATGAATTTGGAGATTCCAATGTAGTAGACTCACAGCAATGCGGTTTTGTAGATTCAATCCACGTAGCTTGAGGGGATTGAAAATCTTTGGGATCTTCTCGCTGCCATCTTTGTTGGATAGAGCTGTGCCTGCTGGAATCTGCTGGGCTGGTGTGAAATATGAGATCTATAATCAAATTTAGTACATGATATGATTCAAAAACAGAGAAAGACTGACGCCAGGGGCAGCTTCATTGACGTGTTCTGGGGCGGTCATGATGGTGATTTTCCAAGGCTCAACGCTGGAATGAGGTTGCTGGAAGGAAGTGAATTGGTTTGGATACTGCACAAAACGATGTAGGGCTTGCCGTTATTTATACAAAACATCAACACCCTCTGTTAGATTTCCAATCATGACGTGGGTGTTTCTCGGCGCGAATCGGGTGATAAAATTCCTTAGGTAGGTTTGAATACTCTATTCCCATAGCCTCCGCAGAGTCGCAACCCAAGTAGGTTTCGCGGGGCATTCGTGCAGCCATCCCCACTTACTCGATTAGGACATGGACGTCACCTTCTCTGCTGCTTGATTTGTAAGTCAACGTCAATGCAATGATCATTATCCTCAAATTTTCATCTCCCAACAAGCTATTATTCAATGAGATTGTGACATCCTCTCAAAGTGTACCCATTCACATGCAACATGTGTATCGTTATTCCCGAGCTCCCTGAACACATCCAGTGGGTCTTACCGATGTGGGTGTTTCCATTATTGCGCCATCACAAGCCTCACAGTGTTTGAAGACCTCGCAAAGTAAGATGCACAGTCCATTCGCCTAAGAGCTCCGTCTTACACTTCTTTCTGAACGAATAACATGATTTCTTTTAAGTGCGTTGACGCAGGGTGTTGTTTCCTGAGTCCTGCCAGGTGGTTAATAAGGTACCGCTTGCTTCCCATTGGCTGGGCGAACAACTATATTGGTCTTTCCCGTTCTCAACCGATTTCGAATGCGAGAAACATCCGATATTATTGTTCTTCGAGTGGATTACGCTCGTTGCTCGTGTTACACATCTAGCTCATGCCTCTTATAATTGTTACGAGGTTGTTGAGTCTGTCTTCCGGCCGGACAGCAAGTCCGGCCAATTATCGATGCTTCGCCGGCATTTAGGTACGTTTGTCAGCGACACTGCCATACCGATCAACAAACGCAGGGTCACCTGGAAAACTTTGCCAGTACTTCAAGGCATCTCACAAGAGTCCCGATATATCGGCGTTTCTTCATTATTGCTGAACGTAATGATATCACCATGTGCGCCTTATGCGCCTTACGCCCATCTACCAGTGGCACATCTAGAGATCATTTCAGGGCTAGCGTCACAGATATCGCAGGAACTCTAAGTGCTCAAAGTTCGCATTCTCATTTTTTCGCAATTCGCAATGAGACCGTTCATTGTGCTTGGACTTGGCTTAATCAATCACCATATTAGATCCGTCTATTCGTGGCTATCCTTTCTCAAAATGTGGTCTTGCCTTCTGAATATTCCAAATGGCCCAGCAGTGGCGAGCCACAATTGTACGACCCTTTCCCTTGGGAATGCCCAGTTGCTTACGGCCAAGGGATACTGCGCCAACCCTTTAGTGCTGCTTTCAACACTCATAGAGAAACTGCCGTTTCTGGTAGGCCAACGTGCGGCGGTGATGGATAATTGATTGATTTAAATCATTGCGAGGGTATTTCCAAAGTTTACCCTGGCCATCACGCGTACGAATCCTTGACTCTACATGCACCTCGTGGTAACACAGTCCACATTGAACATTACAAAGCAAACAATTGAAAGACATTAGAAATCTATTGAATGGCCACTCAGACCTGATGCCTTTCGCCTCTCAAGGTCGATACTGACGGATCGTTTGACCTGCGAAGTTGAACAGAACCAGCTTGAAGACATGGCTTTTTACCGGTTATGATGATAACTTGGTGCTATCTCCCAACGCCGGGGTGCCAGGGTCTACTCCAGGAACGACGATCAGAAATTTACAAACAAATACGGCTGTCGATCATTATTGGTATGTACCTTTCCCCACAATGTGTTACGAGCTTCTGTCCGCGACAGAACAGATTATACACTGTACAAGGAGACACATACCTCCGTTAATAAACTCCGATGAACTCGCCTTCAAGCCTCTCATTATACGAGGTAGAATACTAATTCGTTAGAAATACTGCGTAATCGATCTACTCTGACCTCAGGAGGAGGAACGACGTCATCTCGCGAAACCTGCTGAAAAGAAGTGTATGTTTAAACGAGCCACAAACTCCGACTTGGTAAAAAGCCACTCCAGCAAATTCAACCACAGATATTGACGTCGTGTTCCTGATAATACGAGCGCACCATGTCTCTAACCCGGCTGATCCGGAGCGGTTCGGGGCGATCTGACTATTCTCCGATAGCGAATGATTGACCAATCACACGAGAGCTTATGTCGCCTTTGATTAGACCAATCATGAGTTGAACATCAAGCAACAACATTGGAAGAATGGACACACTAGGGTCGTATGATCTGCACGAAATCTGGAGCACTTTGCTCTCACTATTTTGGAGTGCATGGTAGGTCTCCTCAGGGTCTTCCCCAGGTCTAATCTCTTAACATGTTTCAACAGTGGATAGCGCAGGGGGTTGGTCTTAGCTTGGAAAGTATGGACCTCAGTTCTAAATTCAGATCCCAATATGTGTGATGGTATTGGCCAACAGGTTGTAGGTCCATCCTTCCAAATGCGAAAGGCAGATTGAACAGCTGAAGAAACAGGTATTTAGTCGGTCGGTCCCCGATGGAGAATTTCCGGTGACTTGTGTTTCGTGAGGGGAAATTTTCATAAAAGTCGTGGCCTGATGCGGGGATGGACTTCAAGCTAAGGTTTAATGACTCTGGTATGATGCATTATTGCTCGATTTTCCTGATTGACTTTCTTCCTCAATGGTTTTTGATTGAAGACCATGTTCTAGTAAAGGATTAACATGGCATAGATGAAAAGCTAGATAGACATCGCAAGTTGATGATCTTCTCTTGGAGATCGAATTCCAAATTCCATGAACGGCCTACATTGTGGTAAAGATCGTCATGGCGAACTCTATGCTGCTGGTCGAATGATCATGCCTCGTAATAATGATAGAAAAGCGGGAAAGTGAGGCTCCAATCCACTTAAACGTATCCTAAGTAGCTTTTAGCGTCTGGGGATCTGCCATTCCCTGCGACGATTTCGCGATCGCTACCGAGCGATCGAGCCGCGTTCCTGACTCGCGACAAGGATAGATCCTTCCAAACATCGAACATCAGTGATTTCGGGACTTTTCCATTCCACTTATCGCTGTTGAAGCTACTCGGAACCTCCTGCCGAGCACTTATCGCCTGTGTGCTAGATTTCACAGAGTTAGTGGACTCGTATCAGGTTGCCCCTACCAATGCCTTGCTATGATTCTAACAGCCTGCGTCGAGATGGAGTTGCAAATCATCCAGAAGTTCAAGGGAATATCCCAACCCACAATGCCTAGTCTTTGTATGCAGTTTCGACCATTGCAGCAAGTGGCTATGCCCCCTCGACGCCCAGGTGGGCTGATATATTCTCCTGACACCCGTTGAGGCGTGCCGAAGTGGGCCTCCAGTTTGTTCTTTTTTTTCTTTTTACACTTTCAGAAATCTCAGGGATATTCTGCAGTTTCTAAACAGGCAAGATGGTTCTCGAGAGACAGCTTGATGCGTACATATGTCTCATTGTTACCTTTTTCGCCGCTGCTTCGACTCTCATCGCAAGACTCTTAGCGAGACGTTTGACGAAACTTCGACTTTGGTACGATGACTGGTTTGCTATCGTAGCTTTCCTGTGCGCAGTGGTATGGTTTGCTTTAGTGATCTGGTGTAAGTGGGCGGAAAGGTTCACATCCCAGATTATTACTCATATTCACAGGGCTGCAATATGGGCTCGGTCTCCATCTTAGCAACATCGATTTACCGCAGGATTATGTACTCGAGAGATCTCGACTGATTCTCTGGAACGTGGAGATCTTTTATGCTTTCTCTCTGGCATTCTCGAAGCTCGCTATCCTTTCGTTCTACTGGCGCATGTTCAGGACTTCGAACATTCTGTTACCGATTAAGATTCTGATCGGCTGCACGGTGGTATGGCTCATAATCAGAGTATGCTATTTCTCAGGGACAATCATTGGCAGCATCAGTTCTAATATGAATGTAGACTTTTATGGCAATCTTTCACTGTGTTCCCGTCCATAAGTTTTGGGATATTAGCGTGAAGGGCGTTTGCAACATTGACGGTATGTCAGTCATGATGTCCAGGTCTCAGACACGGCCGTTCCTATGTACATTCATGAGCAACAGCTAACAATTATGATCAAAGACTCAAAATTCTTCTTCGGGACAGTCATCACCCATCTTCTGATCGATATCGCAATCCTCATACTTCCTGTTATCGAGGTTCGCAAACTGCGCCTTCCGCTCTCCCAAAGACTTGCAATTATCAGCATGTTTCTGTTCGGAATCTTCGTGTGCATTGCCAGTGTAGTTGTCCTGGTCTATTCCATTGGGTTGGATACCAAGGACATTGAAGTTCCTTACAACACTGGCCCGATTATCATATGGGCAACTGCGGAAGTGAACCTTGCGATTGTCAGCGGTGCGTATTTCCACCTCCAAGATGATACATGAAAGATGACACCCGACTGACGCTCGCCCAGCATGCCTCCCCATACTCCGACCAATTTACCTCCTCATCCTCCGCCGCCCCCTTACAAACAACTCATCATCCGACCCCCGCTCCTACGCAAAATCAAACTCGCACATCACTTCCCACAAGCTCACCACCCTCACCACCCACAAAGACCTAGTTCGAATCCCATCAGTAACGAAATCCGCGACCGAGTCGACCCACCATCTCGCTGAAAGCGCAAGGGAGGGGTCCATAAGTAGTTTGTCGGAGTACAACGCGACTACGCATGCGAATACAGGGCCGGGAACGCATGGCAACCATACGGTTGTTGTGGGGTCTATGGATGCTACGGGCGGAGAAGAGCAAGGGCAGGTAGGGAGGACGAGGACGAGGGGAGAGAGTTGGAGTGGGTTGGGTGGGATTATGGTGACGAATGAGACGAGTGTTAGGGTGTCGAAGATCTCGTCATGAAATGCCGGTAGGAACATCTAGACTGAAAAGTGTGTAAGTGGAGGTTATAGGTTGATACCCAATTATTTAATCAGGATGCATTATAAACGGAGGCAATATTGAGATGTTATCGAGACCAAACTATGAATATAAAAGTCTTGAAAGCTTTTAATGTTCTTAAATGACATCACGAAGAGACAAAGGGCATATTATGAGTTGTGATACGTTTATTGATATGAAAACTGGTTTGGGCTCTCTAACCTTGAAGGGGTTGATGAAGGATCTCCCATATATAGTCCCACTATACAAGGCAGATAGGAAGATATGCGTCTAGTCTTCCAATCTATCCGTCCTCTAATAATCTTGCCAATATGTCCCTTAATGTGGACATTATAGCTCAGCCTGTCTACCACGCAAGAAAACACCATACATTGTCAAGCGAATTACGCCTGGCCGTAGTACGAATAAGTCTCCTTAACCCACTGAGCGTCTAGAGGTGATGGATAACCGTTGTGTGCAATTACCTCGACGCCAGCGGCATGGTTGTTCGGATCTCGGTATTTGACCAGGGGACATGTGCTCAGGTCATTGGCACAGCTGACCAACGTCCCATAGTGCATTACCGAATAGAGGTCGTATTGCGCCGAGTCCGAGAAAATGGGGAACACCCTGGGCTGGCCCTGATTGTCCGAAGCACCAGTCGCATATCCAGACGTCCAGTCCCAGACCGGGAATCCGTACCGTAGGCCGATAACCGGGTCTTCACAGAGCTGCCTCACAGTGTATCCAGCCTGGCTAGCAAGAGCCCATGCATTGGCGAATTGAGGGACGCGTTCGCACTGGTACTTGACATAAGTATCGCGATCTACCCGCTGGTGCTCGTGCACCATTCCGAAGACGTGGCCGAGTTCGTGGACGACGACAGTGGGCTCTGCTCGAAGACCAATCTGCATTTGCATCTTCCAGGCGTGTGGGGGGTTCATGTTGTAGTATCCCACTGTCGCCCTGGCAGCCAGTTGAGCGTTGGTAACATGTCGGATTACCAGAGTGTCAAGGGGAATCAAGTGGTTCCAATTCTCCCATGACCCATGCTCATAGCAGTAGAGCGGATAACCATTGTACTGCCGTTCCTTGAAGACGATGCCGTGACGTGTGGCTTGTGAGGCCGGTCCCCCGAGAGCCCGCATCCAGAGTTCAATTGCTGCTTCGATGAGTTGGCTGGGAGCGATCATTCCGCGAGAGATGTGGTCGTAGTAGCAATAATTGATGACGACTCGACCGGTGGCAGGATCGCGAGGCCAGAGCTTCGGTGCATATTGATCATTATGGCCAAACATCGAGGCCGAGCCGAGAGATCCAGGGTCCATGTTGCTGTTGTTGGCTAAAGCCTCAAGCTCGGAGAGGGTCCCATTGTCCATGGGAAACGGTATGCCGCATCCCAGTTCAATCGCATTGGCGAGAGCTGAGAGCCAGAGAAGTAGGAAGGTAACGAATGAACGCATTTTGTGATATAAAAGGCTGTTGTATAGAGACACAAGTAAGGGTGAAACGATAGGAGTTGTGGTTGTTACTTGTGAGAATGCGGTTGTGGTCGTGATATCGATACTGATATGAGGAAAGCCAAAGGGGTTTATATAGCTTAGATTGCGAGCACGGTGAATACCGCGAGCACGGTGAATACTGCGAACACGGGCCTGATGGGAGTTCGAGTGGAAATCGCATTGTGAGTCAACATGGCTGAAGCGTAGTATATGAATCACTGCTTCTCTAATCAGTGAGGAGATTGAGTGAAAACTAAGCCTCAACATGAAACAACATGGCTAGGATATAGAAGTGTTTTCACTTCTTCTCCACCAGCAACAATTCCTGGAAGTGCAGTGATTCTAACTTGAGATCACTTACAGTGTATATCAAACAGCGTTCTCACAATGTCGAACTCTCTCGCCCTGCCCCCTGGATCAATGTAGATATCTGATATAACGTTGGAAGCCAACAACGTCCTAACACTTGATTTCTGGCCGAGGGCCCTAGAAGTAAACCCAGACACAGTGATGCAAAATCATTGCAACTATTAAATGCAATAAAGAGGCCCGTTGTTAATTAAGTCAGTAAACCTGTAGTTGTACGTATGCATGGTTTTCCGTTAGAGATTGAACGCTCTGGTTTCACGCCTTACAGACGAAATTGGTGGTCAGGATTTGGATTTTTCTTTTTCTGAACATGTTCGACCGAATCAATGTGCCAGCATCCAAGAGGCGTATATAGTTTCCAATGTGTGTTGCTATGTCACATGGAAAGCGTGGAAATTGGACAATGACGTTGAAGAGGACGCCAGTACGTTTTGGGTTGTGCCGACACCGAGGTCCATCCCATCATCCGGAGAGACAGCCTCAACATCCCACTTCAACTCACCCCTCCATAATATCTCTTTTCTCACCGCGCCACCCGCGTCCCGAAAAGATCTTACCAAAAAACGTGACCAGTTATTAATTTGAAGACCTCGGCCATGCCAATTGAATCATGATTCGATTTCCGTATGGCGTGCGCGTTGGATGATTTCGGCAACATGGAGAATGCCATCTGATCCCCACATTTACAATAGCCCCGATTGTCTTGTGGAGGAATTAGCTCTTCTTATGGCGACGTCGCCGGGCCTAATGGGCTCCGCAAGCGTCCATTGATGTTTCTGGAACAAAGTATTAATACTGCCACAGATCCCTCTAGAATCGTGCTCCCGCCTACCTTTGAAGTCTTCAGCTCCTTGCACCTTATCACCAATTCCACTTCTCTTTATACCTCAATTGATCAATCATGCCTCCAGCTGCCATCATAGACGCTGCACCAGCAGCCGCCCCAAATGGCAAACAGCAATCCATTGTATCCTCGGTCAAATCAGTCATTGCCCCGTCGTCCAGCATAGCCGACAACTCGACGTCAGTGCCCGCGTGGGTCAAGCCAGACCTCACCCGCCTTCTCCGGGTTGAGCATCTCGAAGGATCATTCGCCTCACGATCGATATCTCTCGTCGACCTCCCAGCCGGAGCCGTCTTCGCGCGAATCACGAACCCCACCCCCGCGACTTGTGCCTACACATCCGTTCAGGCCTCCAAGGATCTTCACATTGAGTTGAACAGTGACTTGGTTTACATCAACCACTCCTGCAACCCCACATTGATATTCGATATGCCGCGATGGGAGGTCCGAGTGAACCCAGACCGTGCCGAAGGACTGAAGGCCGGCGAGGAATTGACGTTCTTCTACCCCAGCACAGAGTGGGATATGTCACAGCCATTCGACTGCCGTTGCAAAGAATCGAACTGCCAGGGTGCTATATCAGGGGCAAAGACTATGCCTGCTGATGTGCTTAGCAAGTACTGGTTGGCTCCACACATTGAGTCGTTACTCAAGGAGCAAAGGAGTATAGAGAGCAACGGAAACGGATCCAAGAATAGTGCATAAGCGGGGTATGGTTAGGACAATGTCCGGGTATAGAGCCAGCGTGGTCCTATAGATGTTCTATTAGCGTTAGAGGAAGCGATTTGTGCTGCGTAGAAGAATACATTACATGACTTTGAAATGACCTTGAAATGGTCCTTTTCACCCATGAATCACCCAAGAACTCCAGGTTATATAGATTTTGAGAGTACTCTCTTCAGCCGTGTGAAAGTTGTTCTACTTTGAAACTCTAGGGACGGGTAACGTGCATATCTATACAAATTTCCTGTTTGCTTTTGTTATTGTTTACCCATCCACAACAAAGGCAGGTGTTGTAAAACACCCGTCAAAGACATTCAGAGCTAAGACTAAACGGTACGAAGAAGAAGGTCCAGGAAAGAAAGTACAATAAGTTTTGTTTTGCGATGATTCTGTTGCCCATAATATACCACATGACTAAAAGCACTGGTAAAGCGACACGGTCTCTTTATGCGGGAACTGATGATCGACACGGCCGACTCTAGTCGATTGTAGAGATTCTTAGCCCGACTATGAGGCTTTGAGGGTGTTTTCAATTTAGAATATATTTCGTTTTCGAATGGTTCTCAAAGTATTCTATCTGATGAAAACCTTGGCTTAGTCAAGAGGAGGGATGGATTTCTTTAAGCATGCACTAATGTTCAGATCATCACCATCATAGTTGCAGAAAACTAGCCATCTGGTAGTGTTCATAAAGTTCTTATACAAAAGTCTCTCGTGGCTGTTCATTATATACTCGGCGTTTGTCATAATCCATATGCGTTGCGTTTCAAATATTCAATGGATGAGTGCCCCCAAACTACTGCACATGTGTTCTTACGGTAGGACGGGAATCTGTTCGATCCAAGGCGGGAGTTCCCAATCATTGTCTTCCTTTTTATCGAGGCAGTCTGATCGAAACTCCGCTGCTTTGCTCGTAATCTCTTCAACATTAAAATCCCGCAGGATACCGCGAGGCCGGCAGTAAGCCTTGAAGATATTTTCAAAGACGTCAGGGCCTGCAAAGTCTTGCAAACCATCGAGCAATGCCTTTACTTGGTGCGTACTCCATTCTGCGCTGCCGGTATTGAAGGGCCGTAATCTTCGCTGGAAAAAGGGTTCCCGCTCGAATGGGACACCGTTGGCATCTAATTCTTGGACCTGGTTAATTGGGCGGAGCCAGAGATGATTTCGCCTCCGCAGATCCAGACTTGGTTCACACAGCTGTCGCACTTGGTGCAGATGCTGCCAATGCGTCCAACGCTGAGCAGTTTGCCTCTCTGCCTCTCTCTTATGCTCTTGCTTTTCTTTTTTCCGTCGTATCTGAGCAAGCTTCTCTTGACGAAATCTTTCAGATTTCTCCGCCTTTTCTAGTTGATCTCGTTTTTGACGGAGCTGGTCGTGGAATTCACGGAGTGGCAAGATGAAGGTTGCCAGTACCTGTCTCACCACGCCTTCCCCTTTTGCACGAGGCGGTACTGCAACATTCCAAGCCGTAATTGTGCTATTGAGATCAATGATGCTCATCGCGAAAGGAATAAGAATTTCAAGTGCGGGGAGGGATTCTTCCAGATTATCGTGCTGTTCTTTTGCCCAATCATAGACTGCCTCAAGGAGACGGGCTAATGAGTAGAAAAGATACTCATAAGCGTCTTGTTTGAAATCTGACCGATTTATAGGGTTTACAGTGTTATCAACCCTTGCCAGTAGTTTCTGAACCACCACACACTCATCCTTTACATTCTTATGGTCAAGTTCTGTTCCAGTTTCTGCGATGCGCTTTCGAACTGTGTTGCAGATTTCTCTTATTTTCTTAGCTTCGCTTGTCGAGCAATCTCCGCGATGCCGTTCAGCATCTAGAAATATGAAGACAGAATATTTTGTATCTGTTTGAGAAGGAAGTGTCGCAGTGTCATTTCCATCGTGACTATTGTCAATATCAATTACTGTGGTAATCTGCTGCTGGACAGAAGCCACATCCTGTGGTTGAGCGACTGAGGTTGAGCGAATGCTATCGTCGTCAGAATCGTGGATAACTTCTGGTATGAATAGTGAATCGCCATCATCACGGACCCTAGAAGAGTTCCCATTCCTCGGTGCCTCACCCTCAATCGGAAGTGTGTCCAGACCGGTTTCCGCCGGCATTATGGCTTTGCTTGCAGCGGTTATCTTCCTTGGTCTTCCTCTTAATCGGCGTGGTTCAGGAGCTGCACTTGAAGCAAGTGTAGATGTTCTATTGGTTTCCCCAGGGTCTAATTGGTCTGCCGTTGGCGAGGGAATGGGATGCTGATTCGAGCTTGAAGTATTGGTCTTGACACTATATGGCTTCGAGCCCGAAGGTTGTTTCTTCTTAACGATCTTACGGGGCGTCGTGGGCTCTGCCTCCACTGAGAGATCACTCTTGCGCTTCGATCTTTGAGTAACTCTTGGGGTTGCCTCGGGCCTCCGTTCCCAATCAATATGATCAATATCAGCATCCTCGCCAGCTATGCGACCACTTTTACGCCGCACAGGTGTGTTCGTATTTGTCCGTGGCTCCTGCGTGGCGATTTGCTCCTGCGTGGCGATTTGCTCCACTTTTTTCCGCCCTACAAATTGGAGCTTCCCATGATTGACAGTCTTAGGAAGCTTATACCGCGTTTTCTCTGGAGATTCTGGCATCTCATATACATTCCAACCCCTCTCAGACAGCCGCGCAGATCGCTTGGGTAGTCTCCCTGAAACTGCATTTGGCTTCGGAAGTTTGCCTTTCTTCTGTATTTCTGCTATCCCCTGCGCCTCAACATCCGATGTATGTTCTGTTATTGTATTTGGGGATTGCGCGACGGCTGGCCGATGGCTGCGAATGCGCGCGGCGTTTAGTAGGTTGGCGCTTGCTACTGAAGCTGGAGTCGGCAATTTCGCAGTTCTCGGGACCTGTGACTCTGCGAGGAGCTGGAGGCTGGCAGATTCATCGCCGGAGGCATCGTGGTTCTGTGCTGCTGTTGAAGTCTTCTTGTTCAGGGTCGCCATCGGTTCTTCACGTGTGAATTGTTGATGCTCTGTGTTTATTTGGGAGGCTTAATTCAGTCTCCGTGCATGAGACTGTTGGCGGTGAACTTGTTCTTGCTCATGATATGAGCGCGTAACGTTGTTGGGTGAACTGCCTCAGTAATATTAATTCGACGACGAGCAAGTATTGTCATTGATGTAGCTGTGGTGATTCAAGCATGCTGATCATGTATGCAAGGAAATGCAGGAGGTTGGCGTGGGGAACCGTAGAGTCCGTAGACTAGTTGGAGGGAAGCAACGACGACCCACCCGCACTGACCGACCTCCGACTGGTTGACGCGGGGTCACTGGACATCCGATCTAACTATCCACTGAGCACAAGACTTCCGACTACCAAATGTCCATAATGGCAACTTCGTCTGCAACTCGTCAGACGCTGGAAATATTGACTAGTAAACATGATCACCAGTTTGCAGTTCCAGTGAAACGCATCAATGATGGGCAGGATGTCGATTTCTTCCTTGCCAGCAAGGCATATTCGGACATAATGACGTTCATATTCCAGTTGAATGTTGCCATGATGCCGAGAAAAGAACCTGCCCAGAGTGAGAATAAGGAGAGCTTTAAGGAGTGGCAATTAGGCGATCCAGCAACCTCGTTTCCCCCAGTTGTTCAGAGGCTTGCAGAACTTCTGCAAAAATTAAGTGCGATCATTGACGAGGTTCCACCGGAGAAAGGACCACGACGATTCGGCAATATCAGTTTTCGAAAATGGTATGATGTCGTTGCTTCGAGAATCTCTGATCTTATTGAAGAGTTTCTCCCAGAAGAGATATTGGCCGCAGATTCTCATTCCGAAGTCTCTGCAAAGAAGGAACTCGAAGCATACCTAATGGGCGGTTTTGGTAGTGCGCAACGTCTTGACTATGGCACAGGGCATGAGCTGAGCTTCCTTGCCTTCTTAGCATGCTTATGGAAGCTTGGTGTGTTCGCTGAGTCGAATGATGGAGATCAAGAGAGAGCCATTGTTCTAGGGCTCATAGAACCGTAAGTTCAACAGATCTTGTTTGTTTCTCATCACACTAATAGCTAGCCCAGATACTTGCAACTCATTCGTCGTCTAATTTTGACCTATACACTCGAGCCGGCCGGATCTCATGGAGTATGGGGTCTAGACGATCACTCATTTCTTCCATACATATTCGGCTCTGCACAATTCTCACCAGCCATCACCTCTGTCTCTGATATCGTTGTAGAAGGGTCATTGCCAAGCGCCCCAAATCCAGGAGATGTTGCAAAATTAAACGCCGTCCAACGACAAAGACAGCGAAATATGTATTTCAGCGCTATTGGATTCATCTACGATGTCAAAAAGGGTCCGTTTTGGGAGCATAGCCCCATTCTGTTCGACGTTTCAGGAGTACAGGCTGGATGGGCTAAGATCAACAAGGTAAGGGCACTATTGACCGTGGGATGACGACAGCCTGTTGATTATGAAATTATAGGGAATGTTGAAGATGTATCATGGCGAAGTGCTTTCAAAGTTTCCAGTCGTCCAGCACTTTCCATTTGGTTCTTTATTTTTATGGGAAAAGGATCCTGCTGCCGCCGAAGTCACAAAGACGATCCACACAAGTAGTCAACCATCGAGAACTGCGGCACCTCATGCAACAGTTCAACCTTCACTTCGAGATCCAATGGCGGAACCTGGAACACAGACTACCCGTGCGCCGTGGGCAGGTGGGCAGAACCCACCACCACCGGGTGCTACGGGGGCTCCATGGACATCATCACGCAGCGCTCCGCGAGCTACAACTGGGGTGTCAGTACCGAGTGGTCCAAATCAACCTACAAGAGCACCATGGGCAGCGTCAACGCGAGCGCCGCCTCCTCCCGGAGGTACAACGGCCGCCCCATGGGCCCGACCTAGCGGAACTGCGAGCGTGCCTGGCGCAGCAGCGGCTACTCCGGCTCCTTGGGCAGAGAAGAAGCCATAGAGACATCAGATAAACACTCGCCTTGAGTGCGAGACGATCATTGTAAGAACCGCGTGACGTTATGCCATGGACGAAGAGCTACAGCAGTTCGCCTTGTGCAGCATTACCAATGCCAGGGAATCTCTGCACTATAGTGACCCGATTCCTCGGAGTGTGGTTTCGTTTCACATGGAGTGGCTTACATCAAGTTGGCGTCCCCTGATAAGAGAAGTATCGTCTACATGGTGGCATGGACTGGAAGAGAAGAAAGGAGGAGATATTGAGGAAGGAATGTACGCGTATACTCGTGTACGTTGGTAGAGGGAAGCAAGTGGGACGAGATGGGACTAAAGCCAAATGGGGGTTTTTCTTAGACAGACACACGACAACTGTCCGTCTGTTCCCGTCTTTTGGTCTATGCTATGCATACAATATACAATACAATATGCTCGATCGAGTCTGATAGGCGACACCCCGGACTCGTTGTGATACGAGGGTTAAATGTCGCAGACCATCTTGGGGTGGCAGTGCTCACCCGCGTCGCGCGAACATGGCCGCAGAACCACTGATCGAAGTCAACAATCGGCCTGAAACACAGGTGTCAAACGAGGTGCATGATCATCATTCGTGCTGCACGCATCAGCTAAAAATAAGCAAGCTCAACTGCAGCAAGCCATTTGATTCTCGAGAAGGCATTATTGAGTCCTTACACAGTACGATAGGGAAAGGAAATACAGCTCTCCGTCTATCTATGGCATAATAAAGCTGGTCATCACTAGGCCCTCATCTCCCCCGTCTCCCCAATTCTCCGTATTGGTGGTAGCTTGAACTTGTTGTCTGGGATCTGGGACGGCGTAGGTGAGCACTGAGGACCGTGGAGTTGTGGGGCGGCTCAAAGAGAGAGAGTGAGAAAGATCGTGAGATGTAATTGGCTGAAGATTTGGGGCCAGGCTCTCATGGGTGGCACGGTCCATAGGATAATCCCTTTACCATGACTACAAGCAGTTTAGGTGACTTTACTTACTTACTTACACCGTCACCCCTTCGCTTTAATTAAACGACCAAACCCTACGGCGTACGCTCTGTACCTTGCCTGACCTTACCTTGCCTTCAACTATTACCTCTAAACTACTACTTGACTCTTACTTCACTTCATCTCACTTTACCTTACCTACGAGTAGAGTGATACTCAAAAGACGGTCTACGAGTACTCTCACTTGACGTTTACGAGTACCTCACAAGCACAAACTACAACAATCAGTATCTCCTCACGCCGATCTGATCTCAACTGTGCTTAGGCCTTGTTCAGCTCATCCGATTCCAAGACTAGTACCTTTAATTGTATGTTCTCCTACTCGGCCTCACAAGCATTATAAACATCATCCATCATGAAGATGACTCCGGTCCAAACTGTTTCAAAGCACTAACATTCGTAAGCAATTATCCATTACATCTTCCTTCGAAAACAACTTCGCAACCATGCCAGGAGTTCGTAAGTCAATATCAATCCCCATGCAGCTGTTCTTTCCTTTGTGCCTATGACTTTCATACTCGATCTACTTGTTCTCTCAACTCATTCGCCGTGGACTTGCTTCTCACAATTGCATCTACCCTCCATTTGGCACGGTTCCACTAACATGTTCTCTCCAGCGCTTGACGCCTTCGATACGGTCAAGAAGAACCTGAAGAGTCTTTTCCGCTCCAAGACCAAGAAAGAGAAGAACAAGCCTGCCCCCACCACCACCGGTGAAGCCTCTACGAAGCCCACCGAGACGCAACCTGCTGCTCCCGCGCCAGCGACCGCCCCCGCTACGCAGGCAGCCCAGCCCTCTCCACCCCAAAACAAGCCAGCCGATGTCGCACCCCCAGCCGAGGCCCAGGCTCCTGTAGCCCAACCTGACACCAAGAAGGAGGAGGCTGCTCTGACCGAAGTTAAGAAGGCAACAGAGAGTAGGTCGAATTTCCGTTCTGGACTTCTCAAGTCCTGTTTCAAAGACCCCGATTGCGATGATGGTTCTCGTTGGAGACATCGGACCTCGAGAGACGATGACTGGCCTGGTCGCCTATAGACCTGATGCGGATAGACAGCAAGGAGATGCCGAGAAACCCTCGGTCTGCCTTGCATTATCCGCCATACAGTGGTCTTAGGTGACTCTACAGCGCCCACTGGTCTACCTTTCAACATGCATATGCGTGTTCATCGCTTACAACCACCACGACTTTCTCTCACACAGTCATGATTCTCCTTCTTAACTACTCGCAAATCCAAAGCTAACTTTAATACTCCCTTTAGGCCCAGAACCTGCCGGTGCCGTTGCACCTCCCCCTCCTACTGCTGTAGCAGCGCAAGAAGCCAACACAGAACCAAAGGCCACCGAAGCCAAACCTACCGAAGCGGCCGACCCAACTCCCAAGGCTGCTGCTCCTGTAGATGCTACACCTGCACCTACTGAGGCTGCAGTCCCAGCTGCGAAACCTGCCCCTGGCATGAGTGCTACGAGTGGTCCCCTAGACGCTGGAGAGCCTGATTTCAGCTCTGACGCCAAGGAACAGCCCAAGGAGACTCCTGCTGCTGTCGCGACTCCTGCCGCGCCTCCTGCACCGGCCGCTGCTGAAGCGCCCGCGGCCCCTGCTGAGGAGAAGAAATAGTGTATCCTGCTCATGGACAATCGGACGAGCAGACCATTAACGGCGGCTCGCAGATCTCAATGGATGGATATCTCGTTTGGCATGTTTCGCGACGGCGCAATCCCCACAGCTGCATGTTTCCGAGACCACAATTTCCCTTTGCTTTGATTCTATACCCCCATTCTGTATGTGTATTTCCAGCGAGGCGATTGAAGTGGTTTGATTTAATGGACGTGGCACGAGGAACCTCTTTATACCTAAAAATAAAATAAAACACAATTGCCCCTACTTGTCCGCTTTGTGAGCGTGAGGAACTACTGCGAGTAACAAAGTTGACGCAACAATACGAGTAGCAGCATTGATTATTTTAGTGGCCCAGAAGGTGGGAAATGGCTCCGTCATAGCCATCAGAGCTCTGGCACTCTAAGACCAAACGGCACTAGCGCGGGGTCAAACATGAGGCTCACACGTCAATGTAGTGTCGAGTCCTCCGTCCTCCGCTTTGAGAATCGTAACTTTTATGCAGCCACATCAACAATGCTTCTCTAGACCAGCGCCGACTTCTTTTCTCTGATTACTTGTGGAGCTATTTAAATCACTTCCACGACCGCTTATCTCTTGCCACTGTCTTTCTTTCATCACGCCGTACCGAACCCGCAACAATGCCCCCGAAATCAGGGCACCAGCGCGCGAAGAACGTCGACTATGACGATGACGATGTCTACGATGATGATGATTACTACGAGGAAGAAGATGGCGGCAACCGTAAGTCTGAGCATTACAGGCAAACACTAATTTTCCACTGACAAATTGTAGTAATGTCAGACGAAGATCGAGGTACGATGAACATCACCTCAACGTTGCGACGACGATGCCCTACCTGTTCCATATTATACCGAGTGATCAAAACGTGCCCTGTGCCTCTTATGGCATTACATAACAGCGACTGCATGCGTGGATGAAAGGGCTAATGCAAGCACAGAGCAAATGAGGTTAGGCACAATCAAAGTCAGGGAGGCTTTAGACTCAAGTACAAACGTCACGGATGCTCAAATACAAGAGGCATTGTGGAATTACTACTATGATGTCGGCAAATCGGTCACATATCTCAAGAGTACGCCCTACTTGTTGTGTCAAAGGATCAAAAACTGACAATGAATCAGATAAGTTTGCGCCCAAAGCTGCGCCTCAGCCAAAGAAACAGAAGCCAGTGTCACGGTTTGATCAAGCAGCGAGCGCTGCGGGCGCAGAGGTCAAGACAACACCAGGTAAGCTCTTTCATTTTATATACTATATAACGAGCCATCATGCACCGCACCTTTCCCGGAGCCACTCGTGCGCACGAATGTCAATGTCCACGATTGTTCGATCAAACCCTTCAGCTGGCTAAAGACTCCGCAGTCTTTCCCCTGCCCGTATCGATGGATTATACCTACGAGACTTCAGAGGACTTCTTCGCCGACGTTCCTTGGGGCAAAGTGCCTCCGCACCGACTTGGCAACATCACGGTCGAGCCTCTATTTCCCAGAGGTGGTTTGCTTGGTGGGTCCAAATTGGCAGCGCTTGCCGCAGCAAGAAAGAGGAAGCAAGAAGAGTCTAAAGGCAGTGCATCTCAGGGTGGAGCGCCCGCAGAGACGCAAGCTGAAACAGATAAGGCGATCGCGCTGCTCGACCGCTTAAATGTTGGAAAGAGTACAAAACTGCCATCATCGGAAGAGAGTAGTGAGCGAGATTCAGCACGCAAGATTTTCCAAAAGAAATATCCTCGCAAGAAGGCAGAATCTCCTGAGCCAGTAGCACAAGAGCCAGAAGAGGAGTCCGCTCCGGAGCCGGCACCTCCACCCATCGACGTGTCAAATATGCGAATAGGACCATCTATTTTTGCATCGACTTTGTGTGGCGATAAGACGGGTTCAGCAACACAAGGTCGATTGGAATCCATGTTTGTCCCACTGGCACGGAATGGGTCCTCCGATGTGAAACAGGCCGATCCTTTTGCTGGCCCAAGTCCAGATGACATTGTACTCCGGGCGCAGGGGAAGAGTGTGGTGCATGGCTAGGCTAACTTAGCGGATTCGTTCATGGATGATTCTAATGCAAATTCATGTTAGGAACGAAGTCGAACGTAACAAAACCAAAGAAGTCAACTGGTGAATCGTTAGCAAATTCGGTAGACAAATTATCTGTCGAGGAGGTCCCCAAAGTTAAGAGCAAAAATCTCAATGTAGTAGCAGAGTTCGAAAAGAGTGGTATGAAACGTATGGCCAACTTTGTTGTCATTGGTGAGTGTCGCACAGTCCATTTTTCAGCGAGGCAAATACTAATGTAGTCAAAGGCCATGTTGACCACGGCAAGAGCACGCTTATGGGTCGTCTCCTTTACGACCTGAACGTCATCGACCAGCGTTCCGTCGACAAACTTCGCAAAGAGGCCGAGACGATTGGCAAATCTTCCTTCGCACTCGCATGGGTCATGGATCAGACGAGTGAAGAACGCAGTCGAGGTGTCACAGTCGACATTGCCACCAACTATTTCGAAACCGACAAGACGAAGTTCACGATTCTCGATGCACCCGGTCACAAGGATTTCATACCCAACATGATTGCCGGTGCATCGCAGGCCGACTTCGCCGTTCTCGTCATTGATGCTAGCACTAACAGCTTTGAGTCTGGTCTGAAGGGCCAGACGAAGGAGCACGCATTGTTGGTCCGCAGCATGGGTGTCCACCGCTTGATCGTCGCAGTGAACAAGATGGACACGGTGTCTTGGTCACAGGCGCGATTCGAAGAAATCTCACAGCAGATGAACGCTTTCCTTACCGCAGCCAGTTACACGGCGAAGAGTATCACATTCATCCCGTGCGCAGGTCTCACAGGCGAAAACGTTACCCGAAAAGTGGAAGACCCAAGCGCGAGTTGGTACTCCGGCCAGTCCCTCATCGAGGCCCTGGATGCCTCCGAACCGGCGAAGCGCAACATCGAAAAGCCGCTGCGTATGACCATTGGTGACGTCTTCCGCGGCGGGATACAAAACCCGGTCAGCATTTCTGGTCGCATTGACGCCGGTTCCGTCCAAGTAGGCGACGCTATCCTCACAATGCCAGCTGGCGAGACCGCGATAGTGAAGGCTATCGAGGCTGAGAATGATGTCGTCGACTGGGCAGTCGCAGGGCAGATTCCCACACTTCATCTCACCGACATCGACCCTGTGCATCTGCGTCTTGGTGACATTGCGTGCGACCCTAAACATCCGGTTAAGCTGATCAAGTCCTTCACATCCAAGATCCTTGCCTTCGACCATGTGCTCCCTATGAGTGTGGATGTTTTTAGGGGTCGTCTGCAGGCGGAAGGAAAGATCACAGCACTGACAGCAACGCTGAACAAGGCGACTGGCGAGGTGTTGAAGAAGAAGCCAAGAGTGATTAAGCCAGCAGAGGTGGCGAGGGTGGTGATTGAGCTTGAGAGAGAACTGCCGCTGGAAGCTGGCACTAGGGTTGTTCTTCGTGAAGGAGGAAATACCATCGCGGCTGGTCTGCTAGAGGCATAGTCGAAGTCCTTTTCTGCGTTTGTTCTAGGGCGTCATCCAGCATCACTTCGATGAGAAGTCATAGCTGAACTATTAGACTCCCATATACCAATCCAAAATACTGTTTCTTCTCCATGTGATAACTCCAATTCTGTGAGACATTTCAGGTTCAAGGAGAAAAAATATATAATAGGATAAATGTATGTCGGCACTACGTTTGATATCTAAATCGACACGCTGTGCAAAATTCACAATGAACCCTCAACCACAACCTACTCTCCCGCAAGAGTTACAAACTACTTCCTCACCTCCCGAAACCACTCCCCCGCCCTCTTAATCGCAGCCGCCAACTCCTTCTCCAACCCCAACGGCTTCCCCATCAAAAACAGATCATGCGGCACCTTCTCATCCACATCCAACACCACCTCATTCCCCACAGCCTTCATCTCCAGCACCCACTGCTTATCATCGAAAAACAGCACCTCAGCGCCGCCCGTATGCGTCCAGATCTTCGTCTCCGTCTTAAACGGCTGCCTCTTGAACGACACGTACGGCGACTCCAGCACCTCTTTCCCGCCCTTGCCCGCATACGCCGCGGCGCCCCAGTCCGTGAACGGCCTGCTCAGGTAGTCGGTACCGTAGTTCACGTTCGTGCGCGTGAAGTCGCCCTTCAACGTCTCGCTCGGCGAGATCCATGGGGACCAGAGGAACGCGGCGGCGGGAGCGGGGATCGGGTCCGGGATGTCGGCGCCGTGGGACGAGATGTAGCGGAGGAGGGCGATGGCCGCGTTGCCGCCTGCGGAGTCGCCCGCGACGATGATGTTGGACGGCGGGATGCCGAGCGTGCGGACGAGGTAGAGGTACGATGTCAGGGCGTCCTGGACGGCGGCGGGGAAGGGGTTGGAGGTCGCTGAGGCGGGGAGGCTCGAGAGGCGGTACTGCGAGGCGAGGACGTGGGTTGCGCCGCCGTGTTTGAGGAGTTGGTGTGCGGAGTAGCCCATTGAGTCGGTGCGGCCGTCGCCGACTACGTAGGCGCCGCCGTGGAAGTGGAGGACGACGGTTACTTTGCTGGTGTCGGAGGCGGGGGTCAAGGGTGCTGGGTACCATGATGCGCCGATTTCGACGGGCTTGACGTCTGCGGTTGGGGCGAAGGGACCGGTGTAGTTGTCGGATGAGAAGGGCTTGATGACGACGAAGCGTTCTTTCTCTTTACCTGCGGTGAGGGGGAGAGGAGTGCCCATTTGGACCATGGAGAGGTGGTAGAGGGCGGAGAAGGCGATGCGGGCGACGAGAGCGTTGCGGAAGGTCCATTCTGGGTGCTGGCGTCCGTATTTGGTCAGGTATTTGATGAGCCAGATGGGGAGTCTCGCGAGCTCGAATCCGATGGCTCCTATGAGGTAGACGCCTTTGAACGGCTGGTAAGTGAGAAGTCCCATTGTCGCGATATCTCTTCTTGAGCACCGTCTGAAGTGGAGGTTGGTCGGTTGATCGGGGTTTTCCCAGCTCTTTCAATGAATCCCTAGGATTCAACTCGATTCCTTTGGATTCGGAATTTCAGATTGCCACGATACCAGACGTAGATGTCAGTGTCGTGGTCGATAGCGGCGTACTTAAGTTAGCTAGCACTGCGGGGAACGTGCGGCACGGGCGTGGAGAATCGACAAAAGCTCCAGGAAGTGGAGATCGACGTTTTCCAACCTGCCTACTTTGTTAGCGAATCCACCGAGGACAATGGCTCTCTTATGTACAAACCCGCGCACTGACACTAGATTCCGGAATCCCGACCAGCAACTTACGCAAAATGGATGATGCCCACTAATCAGCTAGCTGGTTGTGTTGTGTTGGTAGGGTTTGACGCCATTGTTTTCCCCACAAGACAAGATACCTAATCAGATGGTCTATTCTACGAGCCGAGGCTCGAGGCGAAGGACGCGTATCCTGGCTGCAGCTGACGCTGGGCACCACTTGCCTGTAAATGGTGAGGGAAGTGCTATCAAGGCTAGGTAGATCAATATCTCAGCTTGCTGTTCTGTGGACTTTGCTGGTTTCGTGTAAGGTCTTACCTCCTCTATCTCTGTCTCTTTCTCTCCCGCCCAACTGGACATGCCCCCAGTCAATTTTCACGGGGGAATGAATGGACACTATAGTAGATTCAGCTCATATCATGACCAAATTCAAAGGGCGATGATACCAGCAGATAAGCACCAAACATAAAGTCGGTCTCCTTCATCAGTGTTGTCAGCATGCTGAGATTGAAATAATCACCAATTAGCAGAGGGTAACGTGTTTGATGACCTGAATCTATTGTACTACCACCTATGAAGAGCTTGCAATAGCTCAATTGAATACCTGGACTCCATTTTGTCTCAAACCAAAGAAATCCTGGACGTGTTTTCAAACGCCTTTTACAAGACGTGGACGTCAACTCGTCTCTACCTTCAAACCAATTTGACATCGGTAATGCGGCATCCATCGAGGCGACGTGTTAGCAAAGAACAAACAGGAAAATGCAACTGCTCGAATCGCGAAATCGCACTGAGAGATCCCGGCGGCCGTGCGAATGCGTTGCAGTCTTCTTTCACTGCCCGTACGTCACTCCATTCATCCCAGAAGGTGAGAGAGGAGCCTCGGGGAACGATCCCATCGTGCCGTTACCGTCGTATCCAACACCATTCGCCGTAGGATGAACGCCGTGCTTCTTGCGAAGATCCTCGAGAAGCTGCTGTCCTTCCAACAAAAGCGTCTTTTTGTTCAACAGGTCGTTCCGTTTCGCTTGGACGTCGTTGGGTTGCTCCAGAATGCGCACGGCTTCTTGCTGACCTAGGCACAAGTTAGTGTGAGGTTGATATAGAGTGAGGCCTGTGTAACGTAAAGTGGCACATACCTTGATCACCAAGAATTCCCATCTGTGAAATCATCTCGTCGTGCAACTGTGTCTTGAGAAACTTGAAGAACTTCGACTGAACCCTCATACACACCGAATCAACAAATCGGCAGGATGCCATCATGTAATATGATGTAATCATAGCAACTGCTTCAATCTCAACCTTGTAGGGTTCCTGGCGAGCAGCAATTTTAGCTTTCTCCTGCTCGGCTGCTGGCATCTTCCTTCCGAATAGAGCGTCGAATTCGGCTTGATACATCTTCTCTCGTTGTTGTTGTCGAGCACTAGTGTACGTGTCGAGGACCTTTTTATGGAAGAATTGATGGACCTCGTTGCTAATGATGTGGGGGCCATCGCGCTCGTCTGCAAGACAGTCCCTGGCCAAGTAATTGCACTGCTCATCAATATTAAACTGAATAGTTGTGTTGATCACGTCTAGTCCAATGGCGTACACGAGAGATTGGTCCCACTGCTCAAAGTGTCTGTTAAAGATGGCCGTAATACGTTCGCGCAAAAGACGATCAAGAACGTTGAAGAACATTTTCAACGGACTGTCCCAGTGGTCCAGAGTGCGGACAATCATCCTTTCAATGATTTTAGGGTCAATATGGCCGGGCATTCGAGTAGTAGAATACTCGGACAGGCTTCGGACAACTTCGTCGAGGTCATAGACAGTTCGCAGCGGATTCACGGGTCGCTTCGTGTTGTTTGTTTTAGCTTTTCGAGCCCTAGGAATACCTGTGGCAGGCGTAGACATCTGTGATGCGGAGGTCGATGAGTTCTCGAGCAGAGACTTCGATGGTGTGACAGGTTGAGAAGAGCTATCCAGCTTCCGCTTCTTCGGACTCACGGATCCCGACTCTTCATCACAGTCTTCTTCTTGATCGGAGTCACCGATCACGATCGAATCGTCAACAGACTTCCCTGCTTGCTGATATCGAAGGATTCCTTGGTCCAGCCTACCGACTGTCTTCAGGACAGGCTTCAGGTCTGTTAAACAATCGGCAAATTCGGTGCACAGCTCCTTCCAGAGTTTGTGCCAAGCAGCATGCTCAAAGTCACCTTCAAGTTCCTTTCGTACATCATCAGAAAACTTGCGGACCTTGTCAGAAACAGCATGGACGGCGTTGAAGGAAGTAGGCGTCTCCGGAATCTTCTCAAGCTCATTGTCAATGTCTTTGAGGCAATTCGCAATCTTTCCATCAATCTCAGGTAGAGCCCTGAGAGACTGTGCCGCCAGCTCCTTCGAGAGGAAGGACTGCAGCCTTAGTGTGCCAAACCGATCCTGGTATTCGGAGCTCAACCAAGGTTCATTAGCACTGAAAAACTCTTCCTCTTGTAGCCGGGCGTCTGCGTGTGATACACCTTTCTCGATGTCGTCTTGGGAGAGATTCTTCACCACAAAATATCCATGCCCCAATCTGTACGCTTGTCCACTAAGGACTTTGGAAATGGTAGCCTGACTACTTCCTCCGGGAAGGTCAGGCTTAGTCAATACGCCGACGCAACGATGAATCGCCTTATTTCGATTGGCAATTTGGGTCATGGACGAATTTGCCATGTCGTTTGCCAACGAACAAGTAACAAGGATCAATGATTCAGGGTCCTTCACGTAGTCGGTGACTAGATCGTGGACAAACTTGACTAGGAACTCATGCGATGAGTCTTCAGTTTGTCCGATCACTCCTGGGAGGTCGTAGAAGGATAATGCAGGCAAGCCAGGCGCTGTAATTTCTATGCATACTAGGTTCGGACTAAACTCCGCTTCGCGACTGACACCGACATTGGTGTCTCTCTCTCTTAGCCAATTAGCTGAGGGGACGAACTTCCTTGTATCGGTGCTTGGATTCAACAATGCTAACTGGGCTCGAGCAATGAGATCCTCAAGCTCCTTATAGTCGTTTGTAATGGCAAAGTCTTCCTCACGAGGAGCTAGAAGCGGCTTCCAAGTGTAGCGCCTGATAGGCTGTCCGCGCGGAGTCCTTCCAGGAATGAATTCACAATTGATTCGCAGCTTGACCTGCGCAGTCCAGGTTTGTTGGTTCTCGGGGTTGGTCTGGTGGTTCCCAGGATTCATCTTGATGAACAACGGGCATCGAGTGCAGGTGTCCGTTGATCGAGGCGTCTTGATTCCTGATATAGCCTCTATCACAGACGATTTCCCAGTGGACTGTTCACCAAGGACGACGCACTTCGGCAACGGAATATCGAACTTTGCAAGACCAAGGCTGTCTAGCTTTGCAATGGCTGAAATAACGTCGTTCATGTCGGCTCCAAGAGCAAAGGCCGGCACAGGTTTAGCATGTGCCTGCGTGCGATCCGCAAGTTCTTGCATCTTCACTTCGGCACTTCGCGGAGTGGCGATCGGGTTCGTCTTCGTCATGATAGCTGAGCGAAATGAGGACGACAACCAAGACGATGACGACGAAGCAGAATGGAGACAGAAAACGAAGATAGTGGTGGCTTGGAAGACTTGGGGCCCGCGAAAAGAGTGCGATAAGAGGCGAAGAGAGACAGAGAAGTCTAAGGATGGCGGCACAGAAAGAGAGAAAGAGAAGTCAAGTGATGACGGTAGAGAAGGAGAAAGAGAGCGGCAGGGTGAGAGAGAAGTAAAGCGATAAGGGCAAAGAGGAAGAGCGAGAGAGCACGAGAGAAAGTAAAGCGATAGGAGCAAAGAGGGAGAGAGAGAGCACGAGAGAAGTCAAGCTAAATACCCGTGCTTGACGATTCACTGTAGCAACTGTCGCATGGAGCGGTGAAGGTGGAGGTGGAGGCCAAGGACGCTTCCTTTACTGTGTGAGTAAAGTAAAGGCGTGTCAGTCAACAAAATGCCACAATATCTCTGCCTTACAGCTTGAACGCTCTCCACGAATGGTTGTGCAATATCACAAAATTGTATGATGAAGTCAGTGAAGGTAGAGTAAGCCTTAAGGCAAGCAGCAAGTATGCCGTGTAAGAGGGTAAGGACAAGTTCAACAAGTCAAGACTGAAGATAGGGTAGGACAAACAGAGTCAGGCAGAATTCGTAGAAAGGAGTGAAGTAAAGGCAAGATTGTGTGCATCCACAACTTTAGACAAGTTGCACATACAAATCTTGGTTGTGAGTTCGTTGCATGCAGTGAAAGATCACAGCAACAACTCCGCTTCCCTTTAAAATGCGAGAGACTGCCTACTAGAACCTTATCCATGCTTAAGTTTAATTATGTTGAAATATTTTCCCGTCGTTTCATTCGCAGATCGATTTGACAAGGCTGTTGATGCGAGAGGAAATGCATTGGTTGATCACAGCGTGCCCAACGACGAGGATCAAATACGAAATGAACTCTCGTTTCGAGGTCCATTTGTGCAGTACAGCTGGCATAACCTGCAGAATATCCCATGTATTGTGTTGTAGAAGTGATACGTCATTTCTAGCTGACTGCACATTCGTCACTGAGTTGACCCGCCTGTCAAAGTCCAATGGCGTGCCTGTGGAAATCATCATAATATCAATTGTTATGTCAAGATTCTGGTGATATCAAAAACCATTCATTATATGAGATTGATAAGTAAGGAGAAGAGAATGGCTTTGGGTGTTGGACTTTTTGAAGTCCCAAAGGTTGATGATGTTGGGCGAGCCAATTGGATGAACCTCGGCTAATCCCACTTGCCGGCTTTCGCAGGGTGGCAGGGTTTGGAGAAAAAGTTGACGACTACATCACCACCACCACCATCACCCTCATCCACGGCCAACCTCCACCATCGTGTTGCGTCCTCGCAGACACTCCAATACATTCCCTGACCAGTCTCCGTATTTGGTTGCTTTGTTTCATTTTACACAATGGATCACTCACGCGATCCCTGCCCATGGGTGATTCTGAATGACTTTGGCGGTGCCTTCGCCATGGGTGTACGCAATCTACACTTTGCTCTTCACTGCGCAGTTCGCTAATTTGTTTCCAGGCTGTCGGCGGTGCTGTCTGGCATGGTGTCAAGGGCGTAAGCAATCCTGCAAAGCCCTCGCAAGGCTTCTTCTAACTTTCAATGCAGTTCCGTAATTCTCCGTATGGCGAACGACGAATCGGTGCTATTACAGCCATCAAAGCGCGTGCGCCCGTTCTTGGTGGAAACTTTGGTGTTTGGGGTGGACTTTTCAACACATACGACTGCGCTGTCAAAGGAATCAGGAAGAAGGAAGATCCCTGGAACGCCATCATTGCAGGTTTCTTTACTGGTGGATCTCTCGCCGTTCGAGGCGGCTTCAGATCGATGCGAAATGGAGCTATATCGTGCGCAATCCTTTTAGCCGTCATTGAGGGTGTTGGAATCGGATTCAACAGAATGATGGCAGACAACACAAGACTGGACGCTCCACCCCCACCCCCGCAACCCGATGCGCCCTCGGGCGTTGGCGCTCCTGCAGTGGCGGCTTAATTTATACGACATGATTTTCTTTTGTATTTTGCGTGGGAGAGGGGGCTGTACAAAAGCTTCCTGAGGAATTGGGAAATGGAGTGCTTGCTTTTATATGGTCAGGTTGCATATCCGTGAGCCAGGTCGGTCACGGTCGGCGTTTCAGCACTCTACTCTCGCGTTGTGCCATATCTGTATAACATCTAGACTTGTACAAACAAGGAGGGCGTCTAAAAGAAGGAAATATGGAGGCGTATCTTGAGGGAGTCGAGATTATCGAGGTTGCTATTCTCTATCGCTCGGAATCATTGCCCCACTATTCTTCGCATGTCTAGTCACTCCCTAATAAACCATGCGCCCACCATTCTACTGTCCCCAAGCTATAGGCTTCCTGTTCGATGGCATCAAACCCTGAGTTTCATTACAATGACGATGGAGCCCTTCGAGAAAGTGACATTGTTCATACAGAGGTTCATTGTGCATGTGAGAGGTCTGTTGATGGTGAACAACCTTTGTCATTGCACAACACGCTTCAGACTTTGACAGCGCGATACGTCTATATTAATGGAGGCCTAGTATACCTCCTAATCTTCGTTCTGGTAAACGAATCCGAATAAAATTCCTGCGGCCATTACGACATCTATCTCGATCCAACTGCAAAGATCCATTTTGAAATCATCATGGATTTCGAAGATGAATTTCACGAATTGTTATATATCGAGTTAATGAACGCGCTCCCCGATGATGCAACTATAACCTTAGATAATGATACAATGGGGGAAACATTCGGACAAAGCACAAGTGCACCTGTACCGAATGCGGTGCTTCCAAACGGCGAGGTCCAGGCCTCTTCCCAACCTTTGGACGAATCTATGATGCATGCAAAAGCGAATAGGTTTGCCAGTGAACTTGGCTCGACTCCAGGTTCGGAAGGATTCAATTGGAACTGGGAAGTGTTCCCCTACCCCTTCATACCTTTGTCCAAGGAAGCAAATTTCGCATACATGCAGAAGCATTACCCATCTCTCTCATTCGGAAGCAAATTATGCGGTTACTACATCCCCCAGATGCCCCAATACAAGCCAAGATCACAAGAGGAGGTGGCCGCCCGGTATCCGCATTACTTCAAAGCAAGCGGTGAAGATCTCGCCAACGACGAATCACTCCCCAAGTCCCTCGTAGAACAAGAAGAACTTAGCATATACATGTGCGAGTATATCTGGTTTCATTGGACGACGGGAATCTTCAACCTGCCACCTTTCCCGCCGAAATCGCATCCCATATATCCACTTTGGCTTTGTAACCACCCAATCAACGATATTATCATGCGAGCTTTCACAAAATTGGAATTGAGGAGGATTGTGGCGAGCGATCCACGTCAAAAAATCGATCACATAGCGGGTAACTATGACACAGCTGATCTACGGCAGAAGTATGCTCGTTTCATGCATGCGCGTCTAGGAGAACTCGAATTTGAACAACTTCCGACTGATCTCGTGGAGCTGGAAAGACTATGCTTTTGGATTTCGGATGAGATATACAGATATTCCAAATTGTACCCAGACCTTTACCCGCCATATGCTCCAAAGTCGCATCCATGCTATCCAACGTGGCTTCCGTTGCATCCCTGTAACCAAATCATCCTTAAGCGTTTCAATGGCGGCAACGAAAATTGAGTGGTTTGTTGGCTTCTCAGGATGAAGATTCCCTGGTCAGACTGGCTCTGATAGATTCATAGATGTACCTTCGGCTCTTTATACATAGGTAGTAATAATCGTTTTTGATTTGGCTGGACTCAAATCATGTAATTGGGCACGTCTTTAGCGAAAGAGAATATAAGAATATTGAAGTTCGAAATGCTGTCCCATACCTAATCATAAGATGAAACTGAAAATGCTCTGATCGAACCGAGTGTAATCTTGCACACTCAGTTCGAGCAGGATGAGGCCCAAAGCCAGCAGTGATTAGCACCGTGAGAAGAGGCGACCCCGTGAAGTTCAGCTTGTACAAGATTAAGCCGGTACAAGTCTGAATATGGCTAATGGATTGCAGCAGCGGAAGATCTAGTGCACGTGATTAATCAATTCCTTAATGGAATTTTGAGGAAGCCATGCGTCTATATGGATGACCATGTTCGTACACAATACTAGGCTAGCTTTAAACAAGGCGATGGCAATATGCACCATGAATGGAGTCAGCTGATTGTTTCCGGTAAAGTGAACAACACATCACCAAAACAAAGCGATTTGTTGTGTTCAGCTTGTAGGTTCTCAACCCTTGCTCATTTTCACTATGCTGACTAGAGTACTATTCGTTTGTTCTACGAAGTTACCACGTCTATGCTACCAGTGCAGTCCAATCTCTCCAACAAAAGATTATTCCGTGCCCGCAGGCCTAAAGTTTTTGTAGTCTTTGTACTTTGAGAATATGCCGTCTATAGTTGGCCGAGAAACTTTTGATAGAAGGTCGTAGATAACCATTTGAGGAATATTATCGCAACATCAGCGTGGCTTGATCCTAAAGCATCAGTCATCCGTCTCGTGATGAGATGTCTCTTGTAGCTATAGGATGAATTTTAGATCAAGATTACATGGATGCTATCGGCTGATGTTGTTGTCTACTGAAACTCATCGGCATCACATTGTTCACGGCGAACCCCTCGCTTATCGATTAAACAACCGTAGTTACCCAGACACGCCAGATCAAGCTCTCTTCCGCATCCCCGCATCAGATCCCGCCCCACTCAAGACACGTGCCAATAGTTACGAGATCAGAAACTCAAATCAACGGCATCTTCGGTGTGCTAATGTTTCGATCGGCATAAGCCGATTGTGTGGTGTCCGCGGCCGCATTGTGTGATTAGTAAATGTGAGGATGACGCCATTGCATAAGCACTGCTGCTGATGCAAATTGCAACACCACCCATTGCTACATTTGAAGTTGAAAAAAGAACTACGCGAGATCCTACCATATCGTAGATCGGGCCTAGACCATGACGTGGTGTGAACCCCAATAGCATATATATCGAACGAGACCAGTCTAAAGAACAATTAAAATCAACATCAAACAACGATCAAGATACAGCATTGACCATCTTTGAAGACAATAACGAAAGCGCCAGATCTGCACGATGGCATTCTCAATCGGCATGCCATGGAGCCATGGTGAGCATAAAATGCACGAACTTCTTCACGTACCTGAATACGACAATCCGACCTCTACCTCGCTCACAGCCCAAGCGTCATTCATGCTTCAACGGGCACCGCTCCTCGCGTTCGGAACTCTGGATTCTCAGGATCGGCCATGGACTACGCTATGGGGTGGTCATCCCGGATTCTCTCAGCCATTAGGTGGTGGTATGATTGGAACGCGTACGATTGTTGATGGCGCACACGATCCGGTGGTGCAAAGTCTGACCGGAGGTGTCGAGAAGGGAGAAATGATTCAAAATAGCAACCGAATGCTTTCTGGACTAGCAATCGATCTCATGACGAGGAAACGAGTGAAGATCGCCGGGCACATGGTTGCGGGCGCACTCGGTGAAGTTGATGTCGAGTACGAAGACGGATCAGAGCGACTCGAAGGCGGTCCGGACAAGCAAGACCAGTTACAATTGGTCTACAAGGTTGATCAAAGTCTGGGGAACTGCCCAAAGTATCTAAATCAGTATGAGATTCAGCCTGCCCTGGTAACATCGAAAGTCAAGTCGACGTCGGCATCTTTATCAGCGGAAGCAAAGGCGCTCGTGTTGAAGTCAGACATGTTTTTCTTGTCTAGCACGACTACCGAAGACATGGACACAAACCATCGTGGCGGTCCACAAGGTTTTGTGCGTGTGCTCTCTGATACAGAAATAGTCTACCCCGAATACTCCGGCAATCGACTCTACCAAACGCTTGGAAACCTTCAAATGAATCCTCGAGTCGGCATTACTTTCCCAGATTACCAAACTGGAGACATTCTGTACATCACTGGCGTTACGGAAATCCTGGTGCTGTCAGAAGCAGCAAAAGTTCTGCCCGGCAGCAACCTAGCCGTAAAGATCAAGATAGAAGAGGCCAAGTTCGTCGAATCCGGCCTTCCATTCCGAGGAAAGAGGATGGTGCCATCTCCCTACAACCCTCTGGTACGCACACTTGCCACAGAAGGCAATATCAAATCATCACTTTCAACTTCCCATCAAACCGCACGACTTGTGAGAAAGACTAAAATAACACCGACGATCTCTCGTTTCACATTCTCTGTCGAAGGAGGCGTCTCATATAAACCGGGACAGTGGGTAGCGCTGGATTTCTCAAAAGATATGGACTATGGGTACTCACATATGCGAGACGACGATCCCAGGAGTTTGAACGACGACTTTGTCCGCACGTTTACGATATCATCCACGCCGGGATCTTCAACCGCAAAAGATGAGGAATTCGACATCACCATCAGGGAAGTCGGCGTCGTGACAGGTTACTTGTTCCGACAGAATGAGCGCGCTGGCTTCGAAGTGCCAATCGTCGGCATTGGAGGGGAGTTTGAGATAGTGCAGGAGAAAGGGAAATTGACGCCTTTCATCGCGGGCGGAGTGGGCATTACTCCACTTTTGGGGCCATTGAAGGATCTCGATTTATCGCCGGAAAGCTTTAGGCTTTTGTGGACGGTTCGGGAGGCAGATGCAGATTTGGTGGTGGACACATTGAAACGGCATCCTGCCCTCGCAAAATGTACGACTATCTTCTTTACGGGTACGCAAACGCCACTTAATTTCGAGAGCGTAGTTTCCAAGTTGTTCGAGGAGGGCGTTCAAATCAAAAGAAGGAGACTGGAAGCAAGGGATCTGACGGAGGTTGATGCGGATACATGGTATTTGTGCGCAGCTAAGTCGCTCAGGAAGAATATTTTGGCCTGGTTGCATGGCAAAAAAGTTGTGTTTGAAGACTTTGATTATTGAGTAAATTTATACCAGGCGGTTTCCTTTTCCTTTTATTTGTATGAAGTTTTGAGCTTTTAACTTCAAAACATAAATCTCATATTTTTATCCTTTGCAATCGTTGATCCTAGGGCGCCTTTCGAAGTTCTATTCTAACCTGTGGTATTCTCTCTTTTCACCACCAATCTCTTCACCTCCTCGATGCACCATAGTAACTAGAATCCTCCTGATCAAACTGTTCAAGTGGCACCGCATATCCCTCCCTCCCACCTCGCCCAAGCCTTCCACCCACCATCCCAGCATTCTCCGCCGCACCCAACTCAACTCCTCCACCATCACCATCACCATCCGCACCACCCACAACCTCCACCCTCATCCCTTTCCCATCCCCACGCCCCAACGCCGTAAACCTCCCCCTCGCACCCGCCGTCCTCCAAACCCTAACATCCAATACCAACGCCCCCAAGGTCGCGACAAGCCCGCACAGGGCGAAGCTGAACAGCACTTTATATATCCGACAAATCGCCACGCCGACATCGCTGTCCCAGTTGCTCATGTTGCAGACATGTTTCAATGTTCCCGAGCTCCACCAGGATAGCATACCGAATCCGACGGCCCAAACCGCGAGGAGGATGGAGTTGAGGGCGATGTTGAGGAGTGGGCTGAGGCCGTAGAGACAGTGGAGGACGATTGTCGTTGCGAGGGAGAGGACTGTTAGGAGGGAGACTGCGAGGAGCTGTGTGGGAGTTAGTGGAGGCTTCGGGGAAGGCTGAAGAGGTGTGGGACGTACGAGGATGAATGTCCATGGGATGCCGTAGTTGTCGGTTGATAGTTCTTTCACGAAGTAGATCATGATGCATGCTACTACCAGCGACGAGACAAGCTGGGCGCTTCGTAGAATGTGGAAGGGAATGACGGGGTAATGCGTGGGTTTCACGCGGTCTTTAACCAACACCATTGTGACGGCTGGGATGGAGCTGGGAAGCTTCGTCTGGTCTTGCAAGATGTGTGTAGCGGATTGTATTGAGGCTGAGAAATATTAAAGGACGAAGTCATACTCTTCTTTGCGTATTTCCATGAGGGAGGCAACCCTTATTTCAAGGGTTGAGGTAGTGCGAGGGGAGGTGCAACACGTACTATTTAGTACTTCAGCTGAGCTGAAGTCTTGTCCCATGTGGCTTGTCGGGTGCAGCCAATCCTGGACAAGGGCACGAAGCGACGAAGCTCAGTATGTACAACACAAAGTGCATCTTTAACATTCAAGCATACAAGAGTGGGTTGCATTATATAAAGATCCTCACTATGTAAAGCGAATATGGATGCAGAGAAAGCTCCCATTTCTACGGATTGTGACTACAATACATTTAATGTCTGTGATGAGGCTCCGCCAACCCTCTTGCTTGACTGCGTCCATTGACATATGCCATATGCTACGGTAATTCTGTCCCTTAGTCGCAAAGGCGCCTTTTCTGCGAGCGATAGCAGCTCGAAAATGCAACAAAATATCTTTGTGCATTGGCCATTACTCTCCGCGATGGTCTAGTTAGACCAACCATCTTTTTCGTCTCAGAAGTCTCAGAAGTCTCAGGTTGGTATTCTCTTCAGCTCAAGTGCGTGGCATGCTTTCAGGTGAGTGGCTAGCGGACGGCATCCTCCGCGTAATTCTGTAGGGGTGTCTAGTTGATGAATGTCGCATTGATGAGCTTTTCATCCCTTTCCGTCAAACCCTTTATCGAGTTTTGCAAGGGCAGCCGCCTTCTCAGGATCGGTCTTCAAACCTTGCACTCGTGTTGGAAGCTCCCTCATGACTTGTTGAACTAATTGTTCGAGGTCTTTTGGGTCTTTCGTCTCCAGCTTGCCCTTTCCTTTGGCTGTTGTTCCAGATACAGGAGTCCTAACCTCTCTCTTTCTTAGCATGACTTGTCCTTTGCTGTCCATGTACGTTTCATAGCCTTGCTGGTCAAGTACTTCGTCCGGAACTTGTATTTTTGGCGATAGGCTAGGTCTACCGCTATCGGCGGGTGCTGGGCTCGAAGGATCGCCCTTTTCATGGTACTCGTCCAGTGCGCGGATATGATCTTGGTTCTCTTTATTTCCTTCCATGAGGAAGCGGAGACACATGATCGCATGTTCACGAATATATGGATTGTGTTCGTCGTAGCTACAGCAATTGAGAATGGCTTCGATTCCACCCAATGGGCGAACTTGATCCTGTACCTGGCGATTCTTCCACACAAGAGAGGAGAGTACAAGCACAGCCAGTTTCTTCAAATTTCGCCACTCGAAATCCGATGGTTCGTCTTGTGCTTCATCGATGTATGGTCGAGGCGAAGGCATATATCCCTCTGGCGCATTGGGATTGGCCGAAGTGTCGTAAGGGCGTTCGACGGCGACAGGTGGTGGGTCTTCAATATCACCATGTTGTGGTGCGGTGGTCCTTGAAGCCGAGTTGAGCGGAGGAATCGACAATTGACCTTTGGGGATAGCGGCATCCAATTCCTTCAGCAAGGTGACGAGCTCATTAACGATCTCCCAATTGCTGAGCATATTTTTCCAGGTTTCATGCTCGGTCAGGATCGCGAAAAACTCCAAGTATTGATAAACACCTTCATACATGCGTTCCATATCCCATAGGTTGAGAGGGAAATCTTCAGGCTGTGCATGCCCAGCCCGAATTTGGCCTTGTAAGAAGATCAGCGCACATGTCTGAGGGATAATATGACGCCGGAACTCGGTGAGTAGAAAGTTGACCATGTGAGCATCGCCTTGGTCGACCTGCGAAGGATTATGGCTGGAAGGGAGGCCAGAAGGTTTCGCTTGGCGTGCGCGGAAGATGTTGGTAAGTAGCTTCATGATGACTGCTTGGGCTGGTGAAATGATGTCTTTTGACCTACTACAACTGTCAGCGATGTCACGGAGAGGTAGGATAACACGTACTCTGGCTCTCTGAAAGCGTGATAAGCAAATGGAAGGAGCTGGTTTGCCAATATTGCCTCCATGATCTTGATCATAAACTTGAAGTATAACTCTTCCTCGCGCAAATCCCATGCAGCAACGAAAATGAGAAGCTCCCGCAGAAGATTTCGTCCATTGTCTTGTGCCAGTAAGAGGTGGCAACGAACGCCATGCATGCTCCTGATGCTATTGTGCACGGCAGGATCAGGATGATATCCAGGCATTCCCTCAGGAGGTTCCACGATGCCACTCATGATGATCATAGGCAGGACCTCAATCTCAGTTGGTCCAAGGATCAAAGGAACATCGGTGAGAAGACCACGCGTTTCATCGCCGGGTATGTCATCATACTCGTCATCATTATCATCTTCTTCGGGTGGAGGTGAGGTTGGTGAGGCTACATCGGATGTCAGCGCAGCCGCAGGACGATCTAGATCAGGCTCTAGACGTTTGAGCAAATCTTCTTTGCCATTCTGGAGGATCTCGGCACCGAATGATGGCGGATAAGTCACGCGGAAATCGATCTCACCTGCCGGGGATGACCGTCTGATGCTCGGGTCCAACATTGAGTCGTCGACAACTGGCTTTGCAACTGGCTTTGCAGGCTTTTTCTCTTCTACCTGCGCGGCGGATGACTGTTCGGCTTGGTGGCCTTCGGGGGTTGAGATAGCAGATCGCATTCGATCGACTTCAACCTGGAGTTGGTTTATACTTTGTGCAAGTGCTTGTACACTTTCCTCGTTCTTTGCATGCTGGTCTACCACTTTCTTATAAGCGCTCGACTGCGTGATCTCGTCCCTATACCTTGCTACCACCTCTCCATAGAGCATATTCCATTTCTTTGAGAGGTTAGTCGCTGCAAGAGCAATCGAGTGCTCACAACTCACATTCTTCTCTTCATCTGTCATTGTTTGCCACCGCCGTCGACATTCAGCAGCTATCTCCGTAGCACCTGCTTTTTCCCCTCGCTGTGCAAGAGACTTTTTGATTTCATTTCCAATTTCTCCGATGTAAAGAAGGAACGGCGAAGAAGCAGGTTGTTGGGGGATTTTGAAGGCATCTGGACCACGACTTGACTTCTGCCCGCTTGGAATGGGTTCAGTCGGAGGTTTGGATCCCTTATCCAAATCCGGGAAGATGTCCATTTTGTACTTCATGTCCGCAAAGTTCGGTAGTTCGTTATCAAGGTGGCTGTCGAACAGCTCGATCCAAAGCATTAGTTTTCGTTGCTCGTTCCGGCCAGTCAGATTATTCAGGAACTGCAGGCATGTGATGAGCAGTTTCTTGTCTGGCGCATGGAATGTCAGTAAGTCTTCAGTCATGAGGCAAGAGTGTACCCACAAGCATTGATAACAAACTGCCATTTGTCCTCATCTGGAGCGCCCGCTTCACCATCGTAGCCACGAGCCGTGACCCGCACGCAGACGTTGATCAACGTGAATATGTCTTTATCAAATAAACGATCTGCTGCCAGGTTCTGTGCCTTCTCTCCAACTGTGAGCACATTTCGCGCAATTCCAACGACCTGGTTCAATCTTTCCAAATCTGCGAGTAGGCTTGTAGAAAATGACGCAATCAGTGGCCCAGAAAGACCCTCATATTCCGGAGTGGCAGGATCTGGAGCCGCGAAGCTTCTCCGTTCGAGCGAGGGGATCGCGGATTTCAATACGCTGGCCGAGTCATCCCAGAATTGATATGAGAGACCGAGTTCTTCTCTAGGCGGGGTTAGCGATTAAGACCAAATGTGTGAGGATCGCAGAGTGAGTTACCGAATCTCGAAATTGCGCCGAGTCTCATCGAGGGTCTTTTTACACACTTGGATGTCGAGCATGCGCATAGTCTCGCTTTTGATATAGCCCGGGTTGCTGAAATGCACTGCATATGGGCCTAATGCCAACCTCAGTCGCGTGAGGTATACTTTGGGGGCAGTCTGCTCCTCCGGCTCTGCGTCGTCCATCGTAGGCTCATGAACACCGGTCAATCAGACAGGCGAAGTTTGGTGTTTCACAAGGATATAAGTCGAGTCTTTTGGACTGCAGCGCTGCAAGTTTCCAGTCGGGCGGGAAGAATGTTTGCGCGGTGCAGGGTCCTCGGTCGGCCAAAATTTAGTCTAGAAAGTTCGTCATAGGTGAGTGGTGCCCCGCCACTCCCGCCTTCCACACAGCAACTACTCTGGATCTCAGGCTGTAGCTCCTCGAACGATTAATTTCTCGTTTCAGCAAGCAGTGATACAAATACCAACGCCGGGAGTTTTAGCACGAGCATAGAAGAATTGCAGTAGTAATGAATAAAATTGATTAAGTTAAATACTTCAAAGTAGATGGGCATGTGCGGGGTCGTTTTGTAGGACGTGAAAAGCTACTTGTTCAAGCGTTTTCACGGCAGTAATCCCCGCCAGTTTCTCTAGGAACTAATTAAATGTGAGACTGATGCATGGATAATAGCATCTCTCACGGGCATAACTGTTCCGATCCATAGATCACATAAGACATCACGACATCATACACACAAACGAATAGAAGAGAAGAAACTTGAGGCAGGCACCCTTCGATTACCTCGAGGTATCTTACAAACCTTCAGCCTTTAATCGCGCCGCTTTGAATCGGCTGACCCTTTTGGTCTTGCCATCCTTCTCTTCCACAATAGGGTTCTCCGTGTCCTCTTCACTCGGCGTGAAGCCACCTTGTTGCTGTATCATCTTGTTTCGCATCTTGTGGTATTCAGCCTGGACCTCACGCTTGATCAAGGCAGGATCGAACTCGTCAGGTGGTTGAGCATTGGTACCATGGGCATCGTGTTCGACAATAGAGTCGGCAAGCGTACGACCTTCGGGTCCTGCTGGAAAAGCTTGCTCTACTGGAGCAGGTGGCATAGGAAGCGAGTTGAAACCACCCTGTGATGAACCAGCACGGGCACTCTTGAATCGTGAAACCTTCGCGGGCTTGGATGGCGCCATAGGAGATGCCTGGGATGAAGGATCTACCCGTTCGATGATTGTTTCTGACATTGTTGTGGTGGATGTGGAGGGAAGATTGCGCCTTGATTCGATGGGGGCTTGCGGGGCCTCGGATATGTCCAAGGTATCCGCAAAGCGAACACCCTTCTTTTGTGACGATTCTGTCGGTTCGTTGTTCTGCCCGTCTGCTTGTTGGTCCGCCTCATCCTTCCGAACTCTAAGTGTGCGAAGATCATCTGAGTATTGAGCAAGCGGAGATAGTTCCGGACGTGGTCCGACGTTCTCTAGCATTCTTGCGTTGAGCTTTTGTTCTAACTCTTGCATCTTTTGTCGATAATCGTCGCTCAATTCCCGTTTGGTACTGCGACCGTATTGGTCTTCCTCTTCATCGGCACTGTCGTAGTCTTCATCATAATCATCGTCCATATCTTCATCCGAGTAATCATCATCTCGACCCTCTAGATCAATCTCGGCGACGACATTTCCAACTTCAGACAGGCCGTATTGCAACATTTGCTTTCGCAATGCGGCTTCTTCGGGTGTGTCGCCTTGCGGGACGACGGGATAGGATGCAACCTCGTTCCAGTCATCATCAACTTCGATGACTTTCGAGCCAGGCGCGAAGTTGAAGTCTGAAACATCCCCATTGTAGCCATTGGCTTCCAGAGTCTGCTTCTTTGAGGGTGGCGTGGGATCCGTGTCCTTCGCAGCGGACACTGGTTTCTTAATAGTTTCCTCTGCGTTTTGGTCTTTGAAAGAGACAGACTTCTTTGCCTTTGGAGGCCGAGGGCTTGATGCGTCGTCCTTGTCCGTGGCCGCAGCCACTGGCGTTTTGGGGGTCGATGATGTCGCAACGTCTGTGATGTTGTCCTTCTTAATGGACTGTGCAGGCGCCTCGTCCTTCAACATCAGCTTCTCAATACCTGTTTTACGCAAAGCCTCTACGAGCTCTGGCGCCTCTTTCCCAGGCTGAAGCACCTCCCCAGATATGACATTCCCTTCTTCGTCCAACTCTTCCACGATGTCCATCAAAGGCAACCCTTCCTCATTCTCTGTATCAGGTGCTGTTAGTATGGAAGCACCAGCAAACTGCTTCTCTGCTGTATCTAATTGCTTCTCGACTGTGGAGATGTTCTGTTGAACGTAGTCCATACGCCTTGAGATCATGTCAATGACTTGGTTAGCAGTGCGCCTAGAATCCTTTCCTAGGAGATCTTGGACCTCTTTCTCGGTGAGAAGCTCTCCCTCGAGGTTACGGCCCATCTCGGTGATCTCAGATGAAGTAGGATTGCTCGCATTTTCGATTTCTTCTTTGAAGAAACCATACTCCAGCTCCCATGTCTGCCAGTGCCTCAGTGCTTGCTTCAGCTTGGTGACATTCTCTTCAAGCTGTGTTCGTTTTCGCTCGATGTTGTCCATCGAGAGCTGTTGAGTGGAAGCCATAAGTTGTGTTGGAAGGTTAAGGTCGGAGAAAAGTCCTGTGAGAAAATTTATGCGAGATGAGAACGGACCTTCAAGGTCTTGGCGCGGCTAGGCCCAGAACGTATCAAATAGGTGAACAATGCATGACAGAAGAAGATGAGGGTTCATGTATTCGACCGATACTTCAAGCTGAAGAAGTCTCTTATATCTAACGATTCATTAATTTCACTGATAGAACGAGAACAGGTCACAAATCACTGGTATCTTATCGTTGATTAGTCATCCAGAGCTCCATTGTAGATTCGAAGCTGGACGCGTGAAGCTCGACACCTCACCACCGCCACCATTACAACTCTTCCAACACCATGTCGACGAAAGCCGGCCTGCGCGCCGGCGACGGGGCCAAAGATGGCGGTGCGTCACCTCTCTCCAAATCCCTCTACAATCTCTCCATTCAGCAGCCTTCTTCCTCCTCTTCAATGTCTCGCGCTGACACTACCTCAGACATTTGCCCTGTCTGCAAATCGTCTCGCTACCTGAACCCCAACATGCAATTTCTCTTGAATCCGGAATGCTACCATAAGATGTGCGAATCGTGTGTGGATCGAATATTCTCGCATGGGCCGGCGCCATGTCCAATCGCTGGGTGTAGGCGCACGCTGCGGAAGGTCAAGTTCAGGAAGATAACCTTTGAAGACCTAAAGGTGGAGAGGGAGGTTGATATCAGAAAGCGGGTGGCTCGTGTGTAAGTCACACTTTTAGCATGCCATTATGTTTTATAACTAACAAAGATCTCCAGGCTTAACAAGCAGCTTTCAGACTTCGAGACCCTCCGCGACTACAATGACTACCTAGAAACAGCCGAAGAGGTGACCTGGAACCTCATACTTGGGGTGGACGTGGAGGCGACGAATAGGAAATTACAGCTGTGGGAGGATTCGCAAAAGGCTGAGAGGAATCCCAACGCAGTCAAACGCTCATTCCAGGCCGACAGCTCTACGACGTCAGACGGTTCACACGGCGTGGTCCTTAAAAAGGGTGGAACACAGCGCAAGGCTATGGCATCTTCATCAGGAAACACTCCAGACCCATCGGCTAGCTTGGACGAAGCTTTTCTGGAGACCGGCTTCGCTTTCAAAGGCCTCAAGAAATACGTTCCACCGCCGCCTGAGAAACCCTTCGATCCTTACGGCGGCTGGAGTGTCAAGCCGCAGCTTTACACTTTACGGGGAGATTATGATGTAGAGTGGTTGACGAAGGTCAAGGACGACCCGAGTCATGTCGCTGGCGGCTATGACATGCACGAATTCTATTCGAGAGCACTCTGCGAAGCATTTGGTGGACTCGGTGTTTTCATCGACGAGGAAATACCGGCAAGGGAAAACCAATCGTCGGGCAATGCAGTCATCGGTACGCAGACGGCCGCGGCTGCAGCGACTGGCGCAAAGGACGTCAATATGGACGATGTTTTCTGAATTACATGATACCCAAAGATCTGTTTCGCATTTTGGGAGTTGGCATTGGGTTTGGGCATAAATTTATATCCTGTATTTTGAGATAATTTTAGTTAATGCTTGCAGCTTGCGTTGACGCTGCCCGTAATCATATCTGAAAATTATGGCCACGGTTCAACTGTTTCAACTTTTGTATGTGAAGAAGTCCAAGAGCAACGGCTCTTTTGATCTCGGCACGAAAGTTATCTTTTTGAGCCGTAGTAAAGCAAAAGGCTGAACAGTCACTGTCGAACGTTCTTTTACACATGTTTAAAGCAGCAATGATGTTGCAACTAGGATCGTAGGCACAGAAGTATTGATAATAATGTTACATTTGGGAATCTGTTTTAATAGTATTTTTTCCAGCCTTTTGCGCCGGTATCGTCAACAATAGCACTAGTAAATCATAGATGGCATTCTCGATGAGTGTTTATGCCTTGTTGAAGGCACCCTCCTCCTGCTTCTGGAGACCGTACTTCTTGAGCCTAGAAAAACTATTAGCCGCTCTGTCTAATCTAAACAAATCAATAATGCTTACCTGATGCTCTGGATGGCGATGAAGCCAGTGGTGTCCATGGGGCTGAAGTTGTCAAGGGTATCCATGGAAGCCTCCTCCTCGGAGTAGAGCTTCTCGGTCGCGCTGGACCTTCCAAGGACGTAGGTGTTGCCCTTGTACAACGATAGCCTGACCTCGCCGTTGACTCGGCGCTGAGAGAAGACCAAGCTGTTCTCGACGAACTCACGCTCAGGTGAGAAGTACATGCCGTTGTATAGCTGGTAGCTCCAGTTGTGAGACACGAATTGGTCGCGAAGGTTGCGAACCTGGGTGTCCATGACAAGACCCTCGAGGTCCAAATGGGCCAGGCGCAAGATGGTCATGGCGGGGGAGTCGTAGCAGCCACGGCTCTTAAGTCCGATGAACCTGTTCTCGACAATGTCGATACGGCCAATACCATGGGTGTAGCCAAGCTTGTTCAAAGCGACGAATAGCTCCACAGAGTCGGTGTAGGTCTTCTCAGGAGTCACGACCTTCACGGGAATACCCTTCTCGAAGTGGATGGTGATGTTGGTTGGCTTGTCGGGGGCGTTGAGAGGGCTGTCGGTCATGGTCCACATGTCATCGGGGGGAGACACATCAGGATCCTCGAGGATACCTATATTTTTGTTAGCCTTTGGTCTCGCATCGAGCTTTTCGGAGGACTTCACCGGCTTCGTAGCTGCAGTGAGCAAGGTTGGCATCCATACTCCAGGGCTTAGCCTTGGTGCTGGTGACGGGAATGTCGTGAGTAGCAGCGTAGTCGAGGAGATCCTGCCTGCCCTTGAACCTGTCGCAGAATTCTGGCAACCTCCATGGTGCGATGACCTTGATGGTGGGCTGCAAAGTGTAAAAGGCCAATTCGAATCTGACCTGATCGTTGCCCTTGCCAGTGCAACCATGGCTCACAAACTGGCAGTTCTCCTCCTGAGCAACCTTGATCTGGGCGCGGGCAATGACAGGGCGGGCCAAGCTGGTGCCGAGTAGGTACCTGCCCTCATACGAGGCATTGCACTGCACAGCGCGGAAGCAAAGCTCCTCGACGAACTCCTTCTGCAGGTCGACAATGACCATCTTGAGGGCACCAATCTTGAGTGCCTTCTTCTCGACCTCATCCCAAGGCTCCTCCTGCCCCACGTTGGCGAGGAAGCACACGACCTCGTAATCTTGTTCTTCAAAGGGTGTCAGCTCTTGCGATCGATTTCAACAGCAGAACATAGTTCCATGTTATAAAAGGTAGTAAATCGTAGGAGGGTATATCGTACCGATCAACCATCGCAAGATTGTAGAGGTATCGAGACCGCCTATGACTCAGGTCAGAAAAATGGTCGGGAATCAAAGATAAGAACACTAAGTCGCAATGACAAAAGTATTCAGAGGTTAACTCTACCAGAGTAAGCCAAGCAAACGCGTCCTTTCGTCATTTTGATATGTGTACAATGTCAATTGGGAGGGAAAAAGGATTTGATGTGGAAAGCTATGAGTCGAGAAAGAGGGAATCTGGTGGGGCGACGGTCAAAATAGATAAACCTGGGGACGACAATGTTTTGCACGGACGTCCTGTTGGTTCCGATCTCGGCTAGATAGCCCTATCAGTGACGACAAGCCTCAAACTCTTCTTCGCTATTCTTCACAGATGTACACAGTAATCTACTATGTTACATTCGCAGGATTCCAAGTCATAAGATTGAAAGGTTTGAATTTTCAATTAGAGTCGGCAAAATATTTGATGATCTGATATCTCCAGTCGCTTATGACGCCACCACGCAGCATCCGGATCTGCTCTATGTAGCCAACGCCGTGGGACAATGCATCTTTTAACGCTCAGGTGAAACAAAACTCAAATAAATAAAAGATGAAACAAGCTTCGTGAAAAACGCAATATATCGCCTGATATGCCGTTAAGATGTGACATGAACATGTCCGCTAAATGCCACTGTTCCTCCGTGAAACGGGAATTATGTACAAAAGATCCCGCAGATGAAGAGTGTTGGAAAAGTTCATAGCGCTCATCACGCAACTCGTTCACGTTCATAGAAAACGATGTATGCTCGCTCGCTTTGGAGACGGTCCATACCCTGCAGATTTGCAGGCTCAAAGTCGTTGACATTGGTGTCGTTGAAGCGCCGCCAACAGCCACGAGATTTGTCTTTTACATGCGCGATGTAATGTCCGCTACCCAGTGAATTGCCAATGTGATGGATAACAGCATATGCGTTGTATTGGAAAGGTCCATTCATGGCAGGATCCTGTTTGAGGCTAGCCAAATATGAGGCACCGTCTGGTATGGTCATCAATCTCTTCTCGTCCTCGGGAGTGATCGAGGGTTCCATGAAAGGTGCGAGATCCAAGCCTTGCAATGGGAAGTTAATCTCTGACCGGACCTTATGTGCTCTCTCCGTATGAGAAGCGCTGAATCGTTTGAAATGCACAACCAACGAATCCGGTGCCCGTGTAATTGTGATTTTCTTCATGGCCTCGCGGTCTTTCTTACACCTCGGGCATCGCCAGACTTCGTCACCCGAGAGTCTTTCTGGTGAGCAATAGGATCGCAAGCAATCACGAAGGTCTGCCGGCCGGTTTCTCGGAATCTCAACACTTATACTCCAGAAAGCTTCATAGGTTGTACTTGTGATACCGCATGTTGTGCATGTGAGTTGGGAGGCATGCTGCCCAGCAAACATACGACCGATCACAGACATCTCACGATGGGTGTAACGGCTCCACTCAACAATTGCCACGTACGGCCGGGGGAATGACTCTCTTCTCATTTCCTCGGCCTCTGACAATTGCTTCAATGGCGACCGGTTCCACTTCAAGTTGAGATCCTCATGTAGATGATCTAAGACGAACTCTAGAAACTCTTTCGCATCCTGTTGTTCATCTACGCCCCACTGGGAGTTGAAGTGGCCGCATATTCTCTGCAAAATGATTAGATTGGAACACAGTGGAAAAACGCTATTCGCTTACCCTGAAGCTTGTTGGACGGAGATTGTTCACATCTCCTTTGTAAAGATTGGAGATCAACGTAGCATAAGCTTCCGGTAGAATTCCCTTCGTCCCTTTCCAGTTATCTCGTTGAATGTCCTGTAGATATCTTGGGGACAAGAAGATGCCACTCAGTTCGGCATTGGCTGCGAGGCATTGCACTACAGAATTCATGTAGCATGTAACACCAAAGTTAATGAGTCCTGTTCGGTGGAGTCTCATTTGTCCATGGCGACCGGGCGATACATATACTGGCAATTGATTAGCGCGCCCTTGAGGTGCCACTTGGCGCTCATGGACACCACTGTAGCTGACCCTGGGGACCGAAGGAGCAGGCCGTGATGGTGCCTGTGGGATGGGCGGGGCAACGTATGGAGCGGGTGCGTTCATTGGCACCGATGGAGGAGGCCTTGATGGATATACCATGGACTGCTGCGCATCGATTTCCGGGAAGTGACGTAGAAATTCCTCAGTGGTGCGATACACTGGGGATGCGGGCTCGTCATCCTCATAGTCTTCATCTTGTTGATCAAACACCACCCTCCCTCTACGTGCCTCCTCAAGCCATTGCCGTTCTTCATCCTCGTCCATCGGCGCATATTCGCGCATTCGTCGTCTGTGTAGATTGAGCTTCGCGGCCTGGCTTGCCGCAGCGGCTCGCCTGATCGGCCTGGCAACTTGATTACGGCCACTTGCAACCTGACCGGCTGTTGTACTCATTTTCAATGATTGTGTGCCTACCAAATCCGTCCAAGCATCAATACCACCCATTAGGAATATTGGAGGTCTCTGAAGAGGCTTTTCTGCGTTGAACTCGTGTAAAGTGGTGTACACTCGCTTCAGTGCAAGTTCTCTCTCGTTGGGATTATATTTGTTGAGAAACGCGTGTGTCTTCGTTGATTCATCGTAATATACGACGAGGTCGTACTCGTTGCGTCTTTCGAACATTGCCAGTTCCTCATCGGGTGAGATTATGAGACTGTCCTGCAATTGCTCGGCCGAGAAGTCGTCTCTTAAAGCAGTTGGCTCAATGCAAATGACTGACCTGACAAAGATATGACCAGAATCAAACTCTTCACGGTTTCGCACGTCGATCAGTAGCACATTGTACATCCTGATATAGTCATACAGTTTCTCGGCGGTAATCTGCAGCTCCATAGGCTTGTTGACCGATGTCCTTCTGGCTGGTGCCGGTGGCACATTCATAGGCTGTGTAGGAAAATAAGAGTCGGAATCTCCATTTGAGCCTGGCGCATAGGCCGATGCACTCGACGACGCAGCTAGAGAATTGCTGCGACCGCCCGTGCCAACCATACTCCTCGCCGTGGACCGCGGAGCTGGAATATGGGCAGGAAGGGAAAGATTACGGGCAGGACTGTAGGTTGGACTCGGCTCTTTAGGCATGGAAGCTGCAAGTTTAGTATCCAGTGGCAGCTTCGGGGGATGTGTTGGGGCACGTGAGGATGATAGGGGAGGAGGCGGCATGTCGCGAGGTCCCAAGGGTCGGTTTGAGTGGTAGTCTGTGGGGGATGGCATTTTGACGGATGCATTGTGTCCAGAAGGTGCTGGTGATGTATTGATTGGTGCTGCTGTTCCTCTTAGACTTGCGAATCTCGCTGCGAGATCATTTGTGTCGATCGGACCGCTGATTGAGGCCGAACTCTGGTGAAGCGCTCGGCCATGCAATGATTGTGGTTTTGGGTGTACTTGAGGTTTGCGAGGAGCGTCGGCCTGCGAAGAGGGGGGCGCACGCCCAGAAGGCGCATGAAGCGGTACGTTGGGCATCATAAGCTCATCGTCGCGCTTTGGAATAGCGCTACTTGAGAAACGGCGGCTGTTCAGTTCAGATTCTACCGAGGCGGTGGTGTACTGCGAGGCTCCTGACGATGGGCGCGAGGATGTTTGCGATCCACGAAGTCCATTTCGCTTGTTTTCGTTGGCTATAATTTCCCTTATGCGAACGAATCGCTCCTCGTTGGACCTTACTTCCTATTGTCGTGTTAGCTCCACACCAGACCACGCATACAGGGTCCTGCTTACCCTCACTAGGTCCTTGTAATCGCGTGAAAGCTGGCCTCGACTGTTATTGATCTTGTCATAATAATCGCGGTGCCCTGGTACTGCCTCGACGACAAGCTCATACGCCATCAAATACTCCCAGTATGTTGCGGGAAAGCCTTCTCGCCCGTTTGATCGTAGTTTCGCATTGTGAAAGTGCTGTCTCGCTAGCTCGACCAAACGTGCGATCTGTATCTCATAAGTTGGGTGAACCCACGGATCGCCTTTTGCGACAACATACCGGCTGGTGCTTCAGTTCGTTAACCTTCTCGCCTGCAGCCGCAGATATTTCTGCAACGGAAGGAGATGGGCCCCCTGAACCTCTATTGCCACCCACTGTATTATTTACTGCCCAACTATCACCGCTACCGTTCGAGCCATGGGGATGTCCATTCATGGCAGTGCCTGGTGGTCGTCCTGGGGGCGGTGGGGGTAAGGGACCAGCTGCACTCATCGCCTGTCTAAGATTTTCATGGCATTCAGAGTAGTAACAGAGTAGGAATCAGGCGGCTTCGGTTTTGACGGTCGTAGTCTACGATATTGGGTAGAGTTTAGGTTCTCGGGTGGGGAAACGGCGATCCAGGGTTGTGATATAAGGGTACTCAACGAATGTGACCCTAGAATACTAGCGTTATGGAGGATTCAAAGTGAGCGGATCGTACACTGGCAACGTCTCAGAGGGTTATACGTGAAGCGAATCTGTGAAGAGTGCGTATTAACGAGGATTGAAAGTGAGGTGTGCAACAGGAAGGTAGTGCGCATTGATGCATGTGGCGGAGGATGACGAGGAGCCAAGCCCAACCCGAAGAAGCTCCCGCGACGTCCAGGAAAGCTTCCTACCTGTAACTCCGCCGCGGAACCAACACAACACCCAAATTACTTATCAAGGCATACAAAACCCCAGGAACGGCTCGATTTTGTATTTTCCGGCGGTCCTCGCGACGACACTCACGCATAGTTCTCTCTATACAGGCTCCCCAACCCCACCGCCACACCGCTAGGCATCATGGCAGGCTGGTTTGGGTCTTCATCCAACAGCATGCTCGATGAGCAGATCGAGCGCGCTACGTCTTCGAGCTTGTACGGCCGTCCCTTTCGGAATCTTCGGTATCTCCTTTCAGTGTTGGACCTTTGCTAACGAGATCATAGGGAGGACATGCCCCTCAACCTCGAGATATCCGACGTCATTCGCTCCAAAACAGTGCAGCCTAAGGAGGCTATGCGCGCATTGAAGAAAAGGATAGGAAACAAGAACCCAAACGTACAGCTAGGCGCATTGAATGTATGCTTTCCAGCACTTCCTGGAGTCTGGCACACTGCTAATCCCGGTTCTAGCTTACGGATACCTGTGTTAAGAATGGTGGCGCGCATTTCATCACCGAGATTGCTTCACGCGAATTCATGGACAATTTGACCTCATTACTGAAGGCTCCCGCGGGCGTCGCACCGAACGAGGATGTTAAGAACAAAATGCTGGAGCTGATTCAATCTTGGGCCAGTGCTGCTGAAGGCCGCAGCAACCTCGTTTACATCAATGAGGTCTATCGTACTCTGGAACGCGAGGGATTTAGGTTCCCACCAAAGGTCGATATTGCCAGCAGTATGCTTGATAGCAGTGCTGTGAGTGATTTTCCTATAAGGCATCAAATGCGCAATGCTAACCTCATCGATAGCCTCCCGAATGGACCGACTCGGACGTTTGTATGCGATGCCGAACCCCCTTCACGTTTACGAACCGGAAACACCATTGCAGAAACTGCGGAAACGTCTTCTGCGGCTCTTGTTCAAGCAAGGCCATCCCCCTCCCGCACCTAGGAATAATGGAGCCTGTCCGTGTAGACGATGGATGCCATGCTAAACTGACCGACAAGTCTCGTGCGACTCCTGTCCCAAGAGGATTTGATGCAGCAAAGCCGGCTAAGACATTATATCAAGGCTCCATGGAACCGAGGAACGCTCGTGTGGAGGATAGTTTTGACGCTGATCTGAAGCGAGCATTGGAAATGAGTTTAGAGGATGCAAAGGGTCACAGCGGGGGTGGTTTTGTTCCACAGGCCCAACTACAGCAGACCAAACCAACCACATCCCATGTATCGAAAGCAGAGCCAGAAGAGGAGGATGACCCGGATCTGAAAGCAGCCATTGCGGCCTCGCTGGCTGATATGGAAGAACAGAAGAAGAAGCATGCGGCCGCCCTGCGTCAACAAAGCTCGACCTCGAACGGTGCCCCAATTGTTGCACCGAAAAATGACTACGAGTTGACACCCGTGGAGGCAGAGAACATCAACCTTTTCTCAACGTTAGTGGATCGACTACAACATCAACCACCTGGAACAATTTTGCGCGAGCCCCAAATTCAAGAACTGTATGAAAGCATTGGCAAACTGCGGCCAAAGCTGGCCCGTACATATGGCGAGACAATGAGCAAGCACGGTAAGATTCCCCTGACTGCAAGCTATGATGTATCAGAAACTCATCGTTATAGACACACTTCTTGATCTGCACGCTAAACTCTCGACGGTCGTACGTTACTATGACCGTATGCTCGAAGAGAGGTTATCAAGTACCTACAGCCAGACATCAGCTGCCTACGGTCTCCCACAGAGTGCCCAACGTCCCGCACCTTCACTGTATCCAAGCATTGGATCTGGACAAGCGGAAGGCCCTGGTGGAGAAGGCTACTACACCGGCAACACAGCTCCAACGAGCTACGACCGACCTCAATCATACTACGGATACCAATCTACACCACATCAGACACCAGCCCCACAGGCCCAGTACGACAGAGGAGGTTCAGTCCCGCCCCAGTTCAACGCTCCCACATACGAACAATACCAACAGCCCTCACAACCCTACCCAACCCTATCCTCATACCCATCCGGACCAGCCCAACAACAACAACGACCACCCAGCACACCCGCATACCAGCAACGACCCTCCGCCCCAGACGCCTCACCGCGACTCCAACGCCAAGTATCAAACCAACAACAATACCCACCACAATCCCAACCCTCCTACCCACCCCAAGCACCCCCATCCACAGTCTCCGACGCCGAAAGCTCGAATTACTACTACGGCGACGCGTCCGCCCCCCCGCAACCCACCGTCCAACGCAGCCAGAGCTTCGCCTCCCCCCAACAACAACCACAACAACAACCATCAGCACCCCCTCAACAACCCTCCTCCCCCGAACTCTACAACCGCGCTCCCCAGCAGCAGCAGCAGCAGCAGCAGCAGCAGCAGCAGCAACAGCAACAACAAGCGCCCACCTCCCCGCCACCCCCCCAACCCGCCTCAACCGCACAGCCATACCCTCCCCAACAACAACAACAATCATACCAACAAACCCCCTCCTGGCAACCGCAACAACAGCAGCAACCAGCACAAGCCCCATGGCAGCCAGCACCTTACGCAACCGGCGGCTACGGCCCCGAAAGCTTCCCCGCCGCCCCGCAGAACCAGATGCCCGCCATCGCCCAGCAAAAGGTCGTCGACGAGCCGCTTATTGATTTGTGAACGCTTTCCATTTCCTTAGGTTTTTCATAGTCTTGGTCATCGGATACAAGGCGGCGGCGGCGTGTGCTCTTGTTTTCGGCATCTTTCGCGAAAGAGTGGTTGTGCGCGTTGTGATGGTGTGGGAAGGGCACGAGGGGGTATAGTAGGGTGGAATTGTGTCATGTAGTGTAGTTCAGTTTACCTCATAGGACGACAGACGTGGGAGTATGAAGGAGTAAATGAGAATCAGAATACTTAATTGAAATTTCCCCACTTGATGTCTACTTGATACACTGTCCCCATCACGTCTGTTATCCAACTTGTATCTGTTACACATATGTCCAAGCCCCGGTGTCACAAGTGCACCTGTAACCAGAAGGGGGTAACAAACAAACAAACAAACATTTCACATCCCATCACAGGCCAAGACACTTCTTCTTTCGTTCAATTCAATTCAATTCAATTCACTAAATCTCCCCATCTTCCCTGTCTTCCCTCATCCCCACGCCCCTTTCGACTTTTCCTTCTATGTACTTTATACAGCGTTCTCCCTCCGACCCCGCCTCCTGACATGACACGACAATGGGGCGTGAGAGGTCCCCTATTACTGAAGCGCGTGTCATTCTTTTATTGTACTTGTGAGTGAAAAAAAGCGCGCCGTGTGAATGAATCTCCTTGATAGAAAAACAAAAAGACGAAGAGAAGACACGACCGAACCCAATGGAACGTGGTTTGGGTTTAGTGGTTGTGGTAGAATAGAATGATGATGATGATTTCTTTTGTGTGTGAAAATCCCCTGTGAGATGCGGATGAGGGGGCAATGCGAGGCTCGACTTTCCAACCCTGGGGCCGGGGAGGTTGTCGAGAGACGGACATTCTACATTGAGCCCCGGATTTGGCGTGCGAGCCTGAAGAAGCGAAAGAAAAAACAGCGGGTATAGCATAGTTCACAATGTTTCCCCTGAATAAAAACACAAGAAGCGAATGTAAACAAACATGATTTGGTGATCATGGGGGTATGAGAAGAAGTCGGACAAAAAGCATGAAGCGTCTGTAGATCCTGGTATGTAACTCCGACGCTGAACAATGGCGCCTGATCCTTTGATAACGCCGAATATGTGATGGCCGTCAACCGAGTAATGGGATAGCTCTGGAAATTGCCACAGAGGTTCCGGCAAGCGAAACGTCAATCATGTGGTGTACGCGTCTATTGATCAAAGATACTCGTCCTTCGAACAACAGAGCAAACCACCACGCAGGTCCTTCATGAGAAGTGACGAATCGTCCTTCTCATTGACGAAACCTGCGAAGCGGCGTCCTTCACGACGGTGGTCTTGTGTCGACCACGGTGAAGGGGGAAGGTAAATGCGATGCTGGCCGGGTTCAAACAAACTCGGGCCAATGGTTGTATGGCGCAAGGTCCATGCCAGTCCACTTCTCACCGTAGATGTTGGTGCGAGTGCCTGCGAAGAATCCATCGTGTGCATGTTCGAGAATGGAGATCCAAGACGACGGTTCGGGGTGCTTCAGCCACTGTGAGAAGACGTGTTAGCCACTAATCGTGATTGGCCGAGGTTTTGGCGTCCGGCTGGTAGAGAACCACGGAACAGCTGAAAAAAAAATAAAATATATGCAAAAGCTGATAGGCGCGACATATGCAGGAACGCAAGCCAACCCACCAGCAAAATATGCAACACTTACCTGATTGTGAATGTGATAGGTCCAGGCACCGCGGAAGAAATTCTCCAATGTACGGTTGTTCGGCGGGAACTTATCCTCGGCAAGGATGTAATCTGCAACCACGCCGGCCTTTCGCAATTCGGTCTCCTCATCTGGGGTTGCCTGGAAAGAGTCGGCGTGTTCGACCTTCGGGGTGGGCGCCGCTGCCGAAGCTGGCACGTTGTCTTGATCCTCACGGCCCCGCTTGATGAGCTTTGAGGGGGTCGACGCGGGTCCATCAGCCTCAGCCTCGTCACGGACTCGCAGCTCTTTCTGTGACTTTTCGAGATCGATAGCCTTCAATTGCGGGCCATCGTAGCTCTCCCACTCGTCCTTCAATGCTCCCTTCTTGCCTTTGAATGCAGCGCCGTAATCTCGCAGGCACGGAACCGTGCATCGACCCTCTCGGTCCCAGTTGAACTCGGTCCAGATTGGGTCGAAGGCGCCCGTCTCCAACATGAGGAATTCCTGGTCGCGGTTGTCCTTCCAGGCCATGCGTCCCAGAACTCGGGGATGGAAATTGAGTCCCATACGGATTCCGCCGTAGAGCAAGTAGGAGGAGATCGAGGAATTAGCAGTGAGCGACATGATGGCAGTGTTGTAGTCTCCTGGGTGAGGATGGGCGGCCCATCGCTCTGCGAATGCGTGCTCCTTTGGTAGTAACAGAGGGCGCATATCTCTAAGCATCAATACATCCATGTCGAAGTAGGCGCCACCGTGAATGTGCAACACGACGAATCGAACAGCATCTGAGACAGCGACAGGCAGGAATGTCATTTGTTTCGGAGTAAGCACGAGCCACTGCTGTCCGGATTTATCTTCAACGATGTTTTCCGCGACCGTCTTCTCGCCCTTGATGTTGGGCTTTCCCGGGCTGCTGTAGTAACCATATCCGTTCTTCTGTTCGTCATCCTTGGGGAGAGGAATTCGGGAGGGGAACTTCCAGGCCTTCAAGACGATGTCACCACGGCGGACAAGGGGGAGGAAGCGTACGAAAAGGGCATCCTTGTTCAGCATATCGTCCACTGCCTTTGGATTCCTATCGCTGTCGAGCCAGATCCAGAGGCGCGAGCAGGCCAGGTTCTGAGTGTATAGATAACTTTTGACAAAGACCTCAACACGCCAGGTCGCAGGACCAGTCCAGTATACATGGTAGGGAATGATGGGTCCAGAGCAGGTGCCAATGTCGGAGCCATTGGCAGCCACAGCTTCGGTGGGAGAAACGTACTTGGTGAGGGAGTTGTTATTTCCATCCGCGTTCACATATTCGGCCTTGCGGGGATCCTGGGCGCTGGCGCGGGCAGACTCCTTGGGAAGGGAGTAGTAGCGGTCCTCTCCATCGGCGAAGAACTTGAGGCAGTCGAAAACGTTACGCATCTTCTCAATGCCATCGTAGGTACCCCTGCACTCCTCCACCAGCATTTTCAGGTCGGCCTCGGTATCCACGTGGGGTCGGGGGCCCATGAAGTCGTCCTTGATGTGAACAGCGCTGACGGGGCGATTGAAGACATTGGCATGCGGGTTGATGGTAACGGTCTTGGGAGAGCTCGCGAATTTGACCTGGACGCCGGCTTTCGTGGTCTTGATGAGTTCAGTAGGGCCAGTCTTGTCGAGGAAAGCGGGGATTCCTAGTTTGCCCTTCGTGGCCACACTGGGGTCGCTCACCAAGTTGATTATGCCAAAGATGACAGCGTAGAGAAGTGCGGCGAGGATGAGATTCTTCAAGAGGGTGCAGAAGGCCCTTGCCCTTGAGCCCTCGGTCAAGGCCATGGCTACTGGTTCCTGGGTGCGGGACCCCTCAACGAATGGTATGAATTGGTTCCGTGTTTGTTTATTTGTGCGTGTGAGCGTGGCGGAGGAGAGAGAGCGTTGCGCAGGAGAGTGTGTGGGGCTGGCGGTGGATGTGGAGATTCGCAAAAAAAGGAGTCTCGATCGGGGGGTGGGAGGGTAGGTGCGTCCCAAGTAGCTGGCGAGGAAATGACGGTGAGCGAGTACAGGTAGGCCGTAGAAATTAGATCGTCAACGGGAGGAGGAGAGCGAGGAAATGTTGAGGAAGTATTAAGGTGCGAGTAGGTATAGGTATAGGTGTAGGTGTAGGGCAGGCAGTGCGACGACAAGAGGTGGGTTAGGCTTGTGTCGAGGCTGTGCTACTTGTAGATCTGCAGTATACGATGCAGGAGGAGACGCGCAACGAATAGGTGAGCACACGGCAGTGCAAGCCAAGCAGAGAAGAAAAAAGGATGAGGAAGAGGGAGAAGAGGAGGGGAGGGGAGGATATGAGGTAGTTGAAGGAGAGTTGTAGGATAAGAAACAAGAATGCCAGAGCGGCACGGAGAAGAGAAGAGCAGCCAAGTAAATGAGAGTGGTGGTGGTCAAAGTTGGGTTGGAAAGAGAGAAGACGAGACGGAGAGGCAAGAGGAGGAGGAGGAGGAGAGGTTTGGGTGGTGGGTGTGTTTGACTTGGGTGGACAGTGTGGACTGGGGCCGGGCGAGCGTTGGGGGGGACTTGGGACTGGCTTTGGTTGGTTGGATGGTCTAGGGGCCGGAATAGGGCCTGCTTAGGGGGGGATTGTGCTTGGAGGAAGAGGAGGAGGGGGCAATGGTTAGGCAGTTTAGGTACCTCTTAGGTTCCTCTTAGGTGGGTTAACAAGCGAGAGGAGGATGAGAAGCCTGCATAGTAATACCTACCTAGGTATATATTCTATTACAGCAATTACCCGCATGTCACGACTCACAGACAGCATCGTCAAATCCAGTGTCAGTGTGTACAGCGAATACATTCTGTGTACGGCGTACTGTATACGGTACATACATTTTGGTAGATACGTACCCAGATACGCACGTACAGAATACGACGTTTACGCTGTAGGCCAGTCGCCAAAGTACTGGTACAAGCAGTAGTGAATCTCCGTAGTTAGCCTCACCAAACCTCCAGTAGGCAATTTTGGTATCCAAAACCTCAAAGTATAGAGCCAATCACGAACGACACAATCGCCCAGGGGAACCATTTCAAGTGGATCTTCAGTCAATTCTCTTCTCCACTCCCATCGGGGATGCATTCGATACGCGTTGTAGTGCACGGTACGGTGCGGTAGTGGACCGTGGAAGGGGGAAATGGAAATTGCGAAAAAGGGTGTGAGGCGATCCAGCCCCCAATCCAGCCCAGTCCAGGCAGAGCAGAACAGAGCAAAGCAGAATAGAGCAGAAGAGGGAGCAATGATAATATCATAGCAGAGGTAATAGAACTGTCAGTCGGGAAAGCTAAAGATAATCTAGGCAAGGCAAGGTAAGGTCAGGCAAGGTAACACGCCGCCCTGCCCCTGAGTTGAGAATGAAAAAAAAACCAAATAGAAAAAAGAATTGAACCAACTATTACTCCGTAACTACTTACTCGGATTACTCCTCCTTAGTTACAGAGTATGCAGACAGTAATACCTAACGAAATAATATCATCTCCATCTTTTGGCTGACATGTGGATCATTATTACCCAAACGCCTTCTGCCTCGTAAATCGTATATACAACACTGGCACTGGTACGGAGTACATACATGCTGGTAACGCTATGTATCTGCTCGTTAATCTGTCCATACGCACCCACGACTCAGCGATCCTTCGTAGACAATAATCCTCCTCCTCCTGAGGATTGGACACTATACACTACGACAATACACGATTCTTACACAGTACAACACTCTTCCTTTTTTTCTACCCCCAAGAAGATCAACTTCGAAACGTCTACTGCAGGGCTGCAACACCCGTGAACATCGCGATACCCTGAATACCCAGATATCGCGTTGGCACTTCCCCATTTGGCCCGATCCCCAACCGGCTCCCTCCCCTCTCTCTTTTTCCTCTCGCTTGTCTTCTGCCATGTGGAACAACCCCTACCAAGTACCGTAACCGTACCAACGCCAATCCCATTTACAATCCCATATTCTTGTTCCCATCACCATCCTTTGCCGTCCGCTATGGTGATCCTGTCCCATCACCTCACCATCTCAGCTCCACGCACCGCCATCTCCGTTCTTAGTCGTTTCTCTTCCTCTCTCCGACACTCTACCACCTCCCATCTCTACCGCTTTCGACACGCACTCCAAATCTGTCACTATTCGTCTGTTGTCTCTTCCCCTCTTCGGGAACAGATCGACATCCCATGTCGCTCAAATGGCTCCATCACTCTAGAGTATGTTTTGTTTCCTTTCCAACTCCGCTTTCCTGCACGGCAACCTCTTCTCCACCAGTCTTTTCTTGTCTTGTTGGTCTTGTCCTTTCTTCTCCTTCTTGTCTCCACGCCAGGCCGCCCGACATGAGATCATTCTGATCACATTCGTTACTTCGCATGCAATGGTTGCATCTTTTGCATGTACGATGAAGTCACATTGTGTGGTAGCCGAGGCCACCAGTCCCCATTCATCGTGGGCCTGATTCTTCTTTCCCACCAAAACGTTCCCTTCCAAGACGCCCAACTACCGCGCTTGCCTCCTATCACATCTACCACATACTCCGTACTTACACTTTGCAATGCATGATGCTCTTACAATGTCAACATTCATCAGTGTTCTCGTACGGTTCATGTTGTAGCATGGCGACGAACATTCCCCCCTGTCCCCTGTCTTTCTCTTTTGTCTCTAAACTTTGCAACAATAATGGCTCTCATTTTAAGATTACTTGGGCCCACACGCGAATCCACTCTTATTAGGGTAGTAGTCTCTTATAGTCTCTTATTATTACCTCCCCCGCCAAGCTGTCTTACCATTCCTATTCCGAGCACACGCTCACGATGCGGCGCTTTCTTAATTTGACCGTGGATCAAATCCTACACTTCTATGGGTAAAGTGGCATCGCTATACGGACTCTTGCTGATCTTTCCAGCATCCTTTATGCCGCGGCTCCTTCGCCTCAAATCCTCCTCTACCTTCCCCCAGGGCCTGTGCTTCAGGAGACTCACGACGATGAGGATCGCATCCTCACGGGGCTTTCTAGCTCGAGTAAATGCACAGTAGTCAAAATCAATTATCGCCTCTCCCCTGACCACCAATTCCCAAAGCCCGTCCACGATGTCCTTCAAGGCTATGACTGGGTCCTGGACAACCTACTTCACGATCAACCACGCGCCCGACTCGCTGTCTGTGGAGAGCTTGTCGGCGGCACTTTAGCAACTACTTTGGCATTGACCGAGTGTGATCTAAACGGGCGACGTATACACTGTGCAGCAATCAACAACCCAATCGCGGACTGGGTCTTTCCAGATGACTTACCACTCGAGCCTCGCTCCGAGTTGCCTGAGCCAAATGCTCCAGAGGAGACGGCTTTCCCTGCTGATCAAGACATGATGGCCTGGTGGGCAAAGCAGGACGAGGAAGAACCATCACGCACGTCGCGAAAGCAACGGCGGACTCCAAAGCCCCGCAAACCAACCGCATGGACAATCAATAGTGACAATGTAGACCTGCCCACGTTATCACTATCCGGCGAGCGAGACGTTCTGTTCAGGGAATCAGAGGATTACTTTGATCGCTTTGCCTCTCCAATACATTTCTTTCGCTCGCCTCACGGAAAACTACTGTATCCCGAAAGTGACGATATCTTAGCATCATCGTCACCTTCTGAGGTGCCCAAGGACCCTCTCGATTTTGAGACACAGATGGACCTCAGTCATTATGCATCCTTTGCGCAAAATAATACCTCACCACTCGAAACTCCGCTCCTGGTCAGGTGCCGGGCCTATGCGCGAGTTTTCCCGCCAGCTGGCTCCAACCTCAGTCTACCGCTATGGCATTTCACTTCCGGCTTGACCAGTCCGCTGTATGACCAAACATCCGAGCTGGCCAAGATGATCAAACGTAGCATTGCTCGCCAAACACTACGAGCGCGAACGGCTCGTGTGCACTGGCATGACCCTATTGAGAAGAAAAATTACGAAGCGTATGCCGAGGAACGAGTGAATGTAGAGACTGTGCCAGGTCTCGGTCTTTGGTCATTGAATGATGATGTGCAAGAGAGCAGAAATAAGATCGAAACCATTGGCCGTTGGTTGAGGGATTCACTGCAATCATGATTCGACTCTGTGCCTCGCTCCTACATAAAATTAGCTCCTTGCTTTCCATCGCCTTCGCACATATACCAATAGAATTCCCCGTGTCCACTCGAAAGAGCATGCACCATAAATCTGGAGAGGGACTCATGACAGGCTAAGTCACTTATTTTTTAGGGAACTGCAGCAAGATGAGCTACGGCAGGGTGATATCCGAATGTACTCTCGTACAACCATAATCCGTTCCAGCTTCAGACATCAAGCAAACAAACAGACAAACACAGTTCTCCCACATGTCTACCTAAGAAAAGAAAAGAAAAGATATTGTCACTGGAGCGTATACGCTATTCTCACGGTGTAACAGAGACTTAGAATGTTCGCAGTATAGTCAACTATCGATAAAGGCGTCTTGAAGTCCTTCTGGCTTGGCACACAACGTCATCATGGTATCACATGAGCACATGGGCTGCCGACCGTTAGACATACACTATTTATGGTTAAATGAATGTTATGTCGAATTGAAGCTTCGCGATTCACGAGATCCTAGGCATTGGGCACATTTTACGAGTTAAATCAAATCTGAAGAGTCACACCACTCGTCTCCCTTGCTATCCAAACCTTGAGCGAACGTACCACAAGTGGTAACCGTACTGATCGAATCGAGAAATAACATCTATATCGTTTTTGCCGTTCCGGCAACTCAACCCTTCTGCATAAAAGGAGATACCCGCCAATACAGTCTTATCGACGTTGACACTTTCTCTGTCACCCACACAGCTATCCAACTCCTCGAACCCCTCTCATCTTCCAAAAATGGCCAAGAAAACCGCCCTCCTGATAATCGACATGCAAAACATATTCCTCCCGATGACCACCACAAGCCTCCCCAACGTCATCAAGCTTTCCAATCACTTCTCCAGCCGACAATACCTCCAACTCTTCACTCAGCACGGCCACCCGCCCTCAGACTTCGAACCCCCCATTACCAACCAACTTGTCCTCAAATGGGGCAATTCCGGCTCCATACACACAAACACGCCAGAATGGGAACTCATCCCCTCCATCAAAAGTCTCGTGACTTCCCAGTCTCAGGTCTTGCCCAAGAACACATACGACGGTTTCCTGGGTACGGGACTGGAGGAGAAGTTGAGAGCCGAGGGGATCGAGAGGGTGATCATCTGTGGTGTCATGACGGACTGCTGCTGCGACACTACAGGCCGGGGAGCATTCAATAGGGGATTCGAGACGTGGATGGTGAGTGATGCGACGGGAAGTGCGAGTAAGAGCCAGCATGAGAGGGGCCTCGCTGCTTGGGGGTTTGGGTACGGAGAGGTGTTGACTACAGCTGAAGTTATCAAGAGGCTTTCGTAGAGGGCAAACCTCGTAGATGGTGATGGAAATTGTGAGGATGTTCGGAGGCTTCACGATTGTGGTTTGCTCCTTTGTCTAGGAGATGGAAGTAATTGTTACTTGCTGCTTCTTGTGTGCTTTTCACAAAGGTATGGTTGATTGCTGTGCGCTTTACACCTAGTAAGTGCTTGCTGCTTCTGCAATGTCAAGCACTGGAACAAAGCTGACACTTTTCAGGAGCATCCAGTGAATGTTCGACTGCTAGACGTATAAGATGACTTCAACCCTACACTGCTTTTTTCCATAATCCCTAGAACGAACTGTCGACAGTGTCTTTTGGCATACCAAAGCACATCATTCCAACTCCAAGTCGAACAGCTCTTCAACTCAAAATCATCACCATGAGCTCACTTCGTCCTGACGATGACACCGAGACGGTCCTCAAAACCCTCCCTTACCTCACCCATGAAGATAGTATGCCTCCTACTACTCTTCCTCCCAACCCGCCCTTACCAAACCCAACAGGTGAATCCGACCGCTCCCTCATCGAAGTCTCCCTCAATCCACCCCCATCCGACCCATCATCGTCACCACCACCACCCTCTCCAAAACCCAACCCCAAAACCAACCCCCGCAAGCGACCCAACCCAGCAACAGCACCACCTCTACCCACCACCACCAGCACCACCGCCGCCGGCGCCCCATCCACCTCAACCCCCCTCCCAAAGCGCCTCCGCTCCGCCGGCCCCCTCCCCCCAGCATCATCATCATCAACCACCCACCCCCAACCCTCCCCCCTAATCCCCCTCTCACGCATCCCCCCGGACCACCGCACCTACTCCTACACCCCCTCCACCCTCCACCACCCATCCCCCTCCGCCGCACCATCTTACAACCCCACAACCCTCCACCGCAACAACATCACCCACTTCATAACCTCCCTCCTCACCCTCGCCGGCGACTTCCCCGTCCTGCCCGACGCGATACGTCCGCCCGGACGCATGGAGCACTGGGACAGGACGCTCGTGTATAATCTGCACCATGTGTATGCGAGTCTGCCCGCTGCTGGCGACGAGGGGGGTGGGGGTAGGAGGAGGGATGTCAGGGCTTTGCATAGGCACTACGAGAGTGCGGTGCTGAGGAGGGGAGGGGAGAGGAGGGCGGATGGGGAGATTAGTAGGGTTGTTCTTGGGGAGTTTTATGCGATGAGGGGGTGGAAGGGGGAGGAGGAGGAGAGTGGTTTGAGTGGAGAGGATGGGGAAGAGTCAAGTGAAGTGGGGGAAGAGGAAGAGGATGAGGATGTGGATGTGGATGTTGCTGGTCTGAGGTCACTGGAGGATAAAGGAGCGAGGTTGTTGTCGTCGCCTAGTTTGAGTGAAGAATCCGAGGAGGTGTCTGGGGGATCTGAGAAAGAGTCTGAGGGAAACGAGGAGACGAATGGAGGCGGTCCTTCTGGAAGAACTGAACGTCGAGATAAAGACAAGGACAAGCTTGCTGATCCGGAGACAGGACGGGTGGACGTTCTGGATCGCACCGATGGCGAGGTAGTATCGCGCGGAAATTCGCCTGTGGCCAACCTGTCCGACGATTTGAATGAGATCAGCAGCGCCTTGAGCGCCGACGACATGTCGACAGAACCAAAGCCCATCAGCAGTCGTGCAAAGGGGAAACTTCGACAAGACTCATTAACCGAGGATGATGATTTCCCGGACGTGGATTCCCCAGCTCCTAACAGCTCCCCAAGCCTTTCCGACGAGGCAGTGGAAGACTCAGAACAGATATTCAACGATGCTATCAAGAGTATCAACCAGCAACAACGTCCCAGGAGCCAGAATGACGATGGTGACGAGCACCACAGCACATCGCAAACAACACACCAGCTCCCAGACAAACACACTGTCTATACATACAGTGCCGGCCAAACAGAAGTCGAATCCAACCAGGCGAGCAGTTCACGCCCCGAAGCTACATCGACACAAAAACCACCCCATCGCTGTTCACTCCGCGTACCAACATCGAATCGCCCCAAAGAACCAAAAAGCACCTACGTACCCTACAAACAGCACCGATACAACCCCCCGCCTTCAAATCAACCGTCCAACACGCCCACAGCTCCACCCACCAAACCACCCCCCGAACCCATCGACCCTCAACCCCAAGCCCCAGGACCCGACTTCGAATCTGAACCCAACACCTCCAGAAGACCATCCGCCGAAACCGTGGACTTCCCTCCCCCGAGCGACGAGCCCATCAACGCAACCCGCAACACCATCGCACACGCCCTCGCGCGCCACAACGACACCATGCGCATCCTCTTCGCGCAGAGCGCCTCGCTCATCCTGCGCACGGCGCGCAGCTCGTTCGACGCGACGTTCGGCGCCGCAGCGCTCGACGACGCGGGGAGGATCCATCGGCTCGGCGATGCGTTGGGGGAGAATGTTGCTGCGATGGCGAGGCTGCGGGCGGAGGTGAGGAAGCTGGGGAGGGAGTTGGATGGGCTGGATGGGGGTAGTGATGGGGAGGAAGCGGAGGAGGAGTAGATATTGTTGGGATGGGTGGTAGTGATGGTGGTTGTATGAGGTATGAGGTAGAGGAGTGAACGATATAGCTGGAATGAATTAATCTGTGATATATCATATATCTATATTCCCAAGCACTTATCCAGGCTAAACATTGAAATAGAAAAGTCCTTCCTTCTGCCTCTAACTCGCACTACAGTTCCCTGAGATACCATCAAATGCAGACATGCACACTCGTGACACTCAACCAAAACCCCCCAGAAAATCCCCTGAACCCATGACAGACAAAACAAAAGATTTCTCCGATCCAATCACATTAATTCAAGAATCCCGACTTTTGGATTACGCCTCGCGCCTCCAGTCCCACAGTGCATGTGGCGCATAGCCCTCAGGCAACCCATTTCCCTCGTGCCTGATCGTCGTGTGAGCCACTTGCACAGCCCACGTCGCGGGAACCACTTCCCACCTCCAACGCACGGAGACGGGAGTCCCTAACGGAGACAAAAATGTTCAAGTCGAGGTAGTTTTGGGTTTAGGATTAGAATTAGGATTTCGGGAAGTGAGAAATGGTTGTGGGGACGTTGTACGTGTCGGTCGGTCGATTGGTTTGATAGATGGCTGCCTGGGGATTTAACCTTGCGATCTACATCCAGTCGAGGGCCTGATGAGTGGCTTTGATTCTCAATCGGAGTGCAGGTATATAGGAAGTCGAGGCGTGATTCGAATCCGAAATGGCACAGCGCTCTCGCGAAGCGTTCACTGCTGTGCCGTACCGTTACTTTCCATCTTTATAACTTAATCGTGTCCCAGCATATCATATCCTACCCTCCTCCACATCACACAATATAAACAAAAATGGCCGGCGCAATCCTCACCACCACCACCACCCTCCCCCCTCTCCCCCTCCGACGAACCCCCCTCTTCGTCCTCGCACCAGCTTTCCCCCTCCTCCTAACCCAGGGCCTCATATCCCGCCGCGTCAACCCCGCCATCGGCATCCTCCCACTGTTCCTCTCCGCCGCCTTCTCCGCATACCTGCTCTCTAACACCAGCCGGATCGGCCTAGCAGGCACGCCGGTGCACCTCGTCGCGGACGTGGTGCTCGCGATCGCGCTGCTGACGTGCTTGATTCTGGATTGGGTTTGCTTGCCGATG